ATACACAAAAGGTTGAACAAACTGCAATATATAGTTTAGCATTGATCTGCAAATGTATTGCTGCAACTATGGTACTGCCTCTCGGGAGTAGCGACCTTTTGTTATAATAGTATTATCAGTTTGATGGAACGTTTCATTATCACAATCATATTTGAACAATTCCAAATCAAAATCAATATCAGATTGTTTAGAAATTGGGTCAATGAATAATCCTCCATAATAGAATTTTTTCCTTTCTAGTAATCCAACAAATCCATGAACCCGATAAAGAGGGATTATAGTACCTATAACAAACACAATAAGTATAGCAAAGCCGAAAATAGTTCCAGATATAGCTAAATCACTTCCTGTCTGGTAATACAATCGGCCATCTCTGGAATTGGCTCTGTAAGTATCTGTAATTGAATCCCATATGTATATAGTATTACCAATAAACAAAGAAATATCAATAAATAAAATAACAACAGGAATTATGGTGTTTCCACAGCATGGAAGAACAATCAAGTCAATCACCATCCCAGTGAATACAAATGTAAATAATACAATGCCAAAAATTAAAACACCTTCATATTGTTCAAGAACCCACCAATCGGAATAAAAAGGGTGTAATTCCATTGAAGTTAGAATTATGCCTGATAAACCAGGCCATGCAAGGTATGTTAACCTGATGATAATTGAAATGACTATTTTTAAAGTTTTATTTGAATCTTTTGATTTCATAGTTGAATATTTGGAAGTTGTATCTTTAAACTAAATTTACTCCTATGATGGGTTAGTTGCAACTTTAAATGTTAGGTGGATTTGTACTTGAAATAATTCGTAAATCTTGATATTTGTTTTGTTCCCCACAGTCAACAGTGATTTGGTATTGGTTGGGGATACACGAGGGCCAAGATATTGGTAAAATTGCTCTGATGATATAATAATAAATTATGGACACCCCGAAAATTACAATCACAGTGAATGTGCATTTATCAATTTTGTTTATATAAACATTAGTACTGATCTGTGCTATTATTTTCAACATAACTGATCAAAAATATTTACAATATTTAAAGAAAATCCCTTTTTGGATACATATCATTCATTTCAAAATCTCCATCCTCTGTTGTTTGACTTACTTGATCGGGATTTAGTGAATCATCTTTTTCTGGCTCGGCAATAAATAAACAACCATATAAGAATTTTCGTGTTTTAAATAACCCTGATATACCACTTTGTCTAATAACAGGAATTGCAGACCAGATAAATAAAATTATCAAATATAGAACATGGTAAATAGCACCTGGAACAACAGCAGCAATGTTCTGTTGTGAATCCCAATGATAAGACGCATATATCGCAATGATGATATTTCCAATAAGGGACAATGTGTCAAGAATGACAATAGTGGCAATGCTTACTCTATTTTTAAAACAAGGAACAACAACTAACATGAATAAAACCAGAATAACAATAAACAAATAAACTATGAAAGAACATAGGTAAACTGATCGGGCATAATCAGCTAAAATCATTCCATAACCACTCAATACTACATATGTCATTCCTGGTCATCCAAGTGCAGCCAATCGTAATATCACAGATATACCAATTTTCCATCCCCTAGTAGCTTTTGAAGAAACCATGTTTCTTTTGATGTACAAAACAGATACATAGTTCCCCAAGAGCAAGATTTATATCTATCTATATATATATATTATACAACAACTACAATTCTCTTAGCACTTAATAAATCTCAGTCTCTATCATGTTTCTATTCATCACCCCAATAATTTAAATACAAAAAAAACTCACACTAGACATGAAACTGTGAATATGTACTCCTATTTGACTTTCTAAAAACAATAATAAATCCAATGAGAATTCTCGAACTTTATGAAATTATAATTCTATAAAAGCAGTTCTCTGATTCTACTTTTTGTGAGTTAATTTCTTTTATAACAATAACTTCTACTTAGCCAAAACTATTCAGGGAAGATCAAATGTTGATGGGTGTAGCTTGTTTGTAATTGTTTCAAAAAATAATTAAAGGCTCAGTTCCACACGGCTGCTATTCTCACACAAAACCTAAACAATAATCAAAGAAGACTCTGTGGTAATGCAGAATCCTTAAACAAATTGGACATATAGTATAGGTAAAACGTAACAATTAACTGGGCTATGTATGAAAAGGGCAAGTTTGGACATTAGCTTGGTGTTGGTTTGCATATAATGTTTATGTAATTGAAGCATATTCGGTTATTTCCAAGTGAGGCAACTGGTTCGTATGTTATAGAGGCTCAGTCATGGGACTGTTTATCATAATTCTAATAAGTAAAATATATCAATTGAAAAAGAAAACTATTAACGAGCTATAATTAGAATATCAATTCTACTTTATAATACTATGTTGACTAAACATTTTTATACTTTTCCTGGTAAATCCCACATTTGGTAATCATATCTATTGTACTCGTCAGTATCAATTGGGTGAATAATCATATTAGTTGGTGGATGGTACTTTTCCTTCACAAATAACCCTCCATAATAAAATTTACGTTTCTTGAATAAGCCCGAACATCCTTCTTGACTAACAATAGAGAATACTGTTGCAGATATAAGAATAACCAAGATGAAAAACAATATAATAATACCTGAAATACCCAAACTAAGTGTAAAACCCCAAACATTACGACTACTCATATAAGCAGTTAAAACAATACAAAGAACAAACAGAATACAATCCCAAATAAGATTAACGATTGGTAAGCAAAAATTTCCACGACATGGCATAATGACTAAAATTAAAACCATTTCAAGTAAAATTGAAATAAAAACAGCAAGACTGAAAATAAGTGAATCATTCTCACCCAGAATAGTAATATAATAATAATTTGAACCACCAGAAACCAGTAACAGTGACTTGGCGGGATCTGCTATAACTATTGCAGAAATAATTGCCCCTATTATAGCTGGCCATATGGTTAACAGGTATCTGAAAATAACAGACACGGTGATTTTTAAGAATTTGTTTATAGTAGTAGAAGACATTGTAATTGGATTAGCAGAAAGAAGTACCTTTAGATTACGCTTGAGTCAGATGGAATTACTTCTATTTATATACAATTTCTATCTTGTGTTAAATTTCAGTCACCCAGTGTGGTTGATACTATTGTTTTCTACTTCTAAAGGCAAGTTCATGCTTCTCTATTCTATTAAAAGAAGAAGGCTGTACTGTCATAATTAATTTACAAAGCATTTGAGTCACATTCTCAAGTGAATTTTCATGACGTATTTCATTGACATTTAATCAAATAATTACATACTGATATAGTTAGTTGAGTTTTGTGTGTTGTGATTGTTATAATTTTAGGATCACTTCTCTAACAACGAAAATGACTGGAATAATAGGGGAGTACCACGAGAATAGTCCTAAAATTATAAAATTTAATTGTTCATTATTTCGTTTCAAACAAGTTGTGAATAATTATTGGTCAAAAATTAAATGATATATTTTAATAATAATAAATAAACAATGCTATTAAATTATTGGATTTATTAATAGGCAATATATAAAACAAAGAAAACGTATACCACAGAATTTTATTAAATTATTAAACTATAAGAAATTAGGAAAATCAAACAAATATTCTAATGAATAAGTAGGTGGAATATCTAGACTATTTAAAGTACATTTCTTTTTGAATCATCACCATTTCTTTCAAGATCATAACAATCACCTTTATCAATTTCAACTAACCCTAATGAATTAACATCTTTTAATGATTTATAGCCAATAGTTTTATCAATAAACATACAACCGTATAAGAATTTTCTTCTTTTCAATAATCCTCTAATTCCTTTCTGTTTGATCTCTGGAACTCCTGACCATATTAAAACAATCAAAATAGTAATCACATGGAAACCAATACCAATACTAGAATAGGATGGTTCAAAATCTATTTTTTGTGAACTGTAGGCCAAATATATAATGTTTAAAATAATTGGAATTATATCAATGATAAATATTGTAAGTATACTAATATTATTATGAAAAATGGGAATTATAACTAATATCAATAAAACATCAACAAAAGCAATTGTGTAAATTACCAATGTAAATATTTGTTCAGAATTATGTCTATAAGGATCATCAAGATACCAATATAAGTGCATAGAACTAAGTACCATCATAGTCAAAGAAGGAAACCCCAATTGAGTCAATCTGAAAACAGTTGAAAATCCAATCTTTAAACCATTTATTAATTTTGAAGATCCCATAGTGAATGCAGAATATAGCAGTTAAGTATGAAGTAATTTTTTGAGGGGGGAGGGAATAAGAAAAGAAATCTCTGTAGTTAAATATCAAGTTTGCATGTACCTCGATATTCTCGTATTTTATAATTTTTCTCCTATCTCAGCCACTTTTGATATCCATGACGTCAGTGGGAAGTTACTATAAATGAGGCATAAATCTACATAAACAATTGTGTATTATATGTACCCCTACCCCAGTGTCATGACAAACCCGATAAAATTCTAATGGCTATGAAACATCATCGATGAAAGGGTTCCCCTATTTTTTTTTTAATTATTATTTTTTGTGCATTGCTTTAAATCGAGGCTTATGTCTCAATCTGCACGCGAAACTTCTAAAACCAAGAAGGCGGTTATGACACTAATACGGCTTGAGTGAAACAATAGAAGACTTGAATTTTGCGTGTGTCAATACTGAACGCGTCACGAATATACAATGATAAAATAGGGCAATGTTTCCCTTAGAGGTTCAATGAAGTCTAGACTCGAAAATTTGTGTAAATTTTGGTCCCAAATTTAATTGAAACTTTCTTAGAATTTAAAAACAGAGTCAGAAATATTATATATATATATTAAATCAATAGATAGAACTAAGACAAAAATCAAACAATTGATAACTTAAGGGACAACTTTATCAGGCTCATTTTTGTGTGGACTTTCCTCCTGTTGATATTGTACAGTACCATGGTTAGGAGGATAAACATCCAAATTTGGAGTGATAGGCAATTCTGCAAATAAACAACCATAATAATACCTTTGAGGTTTAAATAATCCGGAGAACCCCTTTTCTTTATTCAATGGAATAACTGATCCAAAAAGAGATACAATTATAATCCACAATCCAATAACAGTACCAGAAATAGCCAATCTAAAGCCAAGTCCATATATATAACCATAATATGCCAAATATACAATATATCCAATGTTTGTGGCAAATAATAGAAAATCAATAATGAAAAGAACAGCAGGAATCATCATATTTCTAAAAATTGGAAGCAAAACCATGACAAAAAGTGTATTAGAAACAACAAGAGAATATAATACCACACAATATATCTCAACACCTTTAATACTGGATAAATAATAACGACTACCATAATATTTTTCAAGAAGTAATGTGTTCCTTAAATCAATTGCACCAATTGCAATACCAGCAACACCTGGCCAACCAAGGAAAACCACTCTGAAAAGAATAGAAAAGAAAATTTTTGCACCTTTGTTTGGATCCACTGTCATATTTTTTTATTGATTGACTGATTGATTTTGATCTTGGTGATTTAACACTAGTTCATACATACTTCAAGGATATTGTAATCTTTATATATATATATATATATTCATGGAAATATAACCATATAAACTTTAAGGTTTTAGTAGTATTCTTAGTGTGCTTATGTAAGCTCATCTTCTCCCCAATCCATTTTATTGAGATATTGAAGAGAACAAAACATTATACGAATACCAAGAATTTTATAAGATCCATCAAGCACGTGGAATCCCACCTATAAATTGTGTATGACTTTGCCCAAAAGAATAAGGATCTTTTCAAATCAGATGAATGATTCTACAATTGTATATCCTTGTAATAATTCTTGGGTTGTAAATTTAAATAATGCGGCTGGATCGGAGGCTTAGTTTTTAATCGACAATAAAGAAAATGATATCAATTTTTGAATGATGTCAAGTAATTGTTCAAAATGAAATATAGTCATGAATGGGATATATGACCATCACTACTCCTATTATGGGATTATCATACGAGAAGGTTATCAACGGGACATTACTTCATCAGAATAATCTTCATCGGTAATACTTATACATTAATACTACATGACAACAAATACATAAGACCGTGTACAATTCGGTTAATCATACTGTAATATGAGTTAATATCTCCGTTCCAATCACTGAGTTTTTTCAATTCTTATATTGAAATGGTCGGTTTAATATTTCCGATTTCTATTTCTGAATCTGAAAAGGGGTTTTTCTTATCTCGGTTATGTTCAACATCTTGTTCTTCTTCTCTAACAACATCATCAAACATAGTAACATCAATATTATTGGCATCTTCAATTGTTTGTTGTTTTTTATTTCTTAAAAACACACATCCATAATAGAATTTCCCCTTCATGTTAAGAATATTATTTGATGATTTAATCATGGGAATAAAACTCCATATTATAAAAGGAATCAAACTAGCCAAATGGAAAACTATCCCAGGAATTGCAAGTGGAGTAAATTCAAAAAAAGGTAATGTAATTTTACTAGAAATATGAAATGCAATATTACCCAAAAATGATAAAAAATCAAACATAAATAAAAACAATAGATTGGTTTTTATTTTAAATATAGGAGTAATAATCATTATATAAAGTATGATTATTACATTTAAAAGGTATAATATAGTTGGAAAAATTCCAAATAAAAATCCTCGTTTAAGTAAAAGTATTCCTATTGCCAGACCTAAACCACCTAACCATCCTAATTGTAATAATCTAATGATGACTGAATAAATAATTTTAATCCATTTTGACACTCTAATAGAAATCATTTTCTTTCAATAATTTCAATTTTTTTTTTGATTATTTTTATGACATGTCTGAAAATTGTCCAATATATATGACAAGTGAATTCCTGCCCTTCCCCCCTGAATTTTAACAATGTGTCAATAAAGAATGTAAGATGTAGACGTGTCATAATATCACATTTTCACATGATTTGAAGATCAGAAATACTTTCAGAAGCAACAGATAAAACATTCATCATCATTATCCTTTTCAATCCAACTAATGGTATTCTCCTACCCAGTAAGGGTTTAAGGGTACATATTTAATTCAAATGGTTGCAATTTGTTTTCTCTCTCTTTTGTTGCATTTTCATTGCGCGAGATCTAGACACCCCAAAAAGCAAGTTACACAAAAAAGAGTTCCTCTCATCAAAATCAAAAACACTAATAATATAATCATTTACGTATGTATTTCAAACCTTTCAGTCGAAATAATCAAAAAACCACTCAGAGTTATTAATATGAGATATAATAATAATAAATATATATGATATGATAGTGTTTCCAAGAAAGTAATAACCCTTATTGGCCCATTTAGCTTACCGTAATTTCCCGATACATAATAACCACCACTAGATGTATTGACGCGCTTGAAACAATAAAAAATAATCTGAGTTAGGAAATCTTCTAGATTGTGATTCAAAAGTAAACATCAATAAAGTTAAGATATGTGTGTATTCATTATATATATTATTACAAACAATCGATATTATTACAAATAAAATTATATTGATATTCCTAAAATGTTTAGCTTTTCTTCAAAACTAGCGATTGGATAATAATTCAATTAAAATGATTATAATCAAACAAGACAGAAGTAAATTTATTCTTTAATAATAGTGATAATAACAATAAAAAACACCTGCTAATACGAAATTTAATACTCAAACTAGCTCAAAGACCCACCAATGGTATGGTTCAAGGGTAAGGTCTTTCATTTGCAGCTAAATCTTCTCCATTAGAAAGACGTTCGTTACTACCACTTGGGGAACGACCTTTTTCCTGATCTTCATCAGTAGAGGCAATACCAACGTTAGCTTCAGCATCAGCAGGAGCAGGAGCAACAGGAGCAGCTTCACCCTCAGCACCAGTACCGGCACCAGCACCCGCACCAACAGCACCATCGACAGGCTCTCCTTCAGATTTAACACCAGCAACAGGCTTTCCAAAGAGGTTGAAGGTATTTGCAAAAATAACACCGAATTCAAATCTCGTCAATGTAAAGGTATTAGCAAAACCATACGATCTAATCTGTGGGATATATGAAAATCCAATAAACAATGTAAGGGTAGCAGTAAACAACAACCAGTTGAACAAATTGAATGGAAGTAAAGCTTTGTACATTTTACAAGCAGAAGCAAGATCGTTACTAAAAAAGAAGCTATCACAATCACCAGAAGGAAATACATCAGCAATTGCACCCATGGCAGCAAGATAGAAAATAGTGAAAAGAGCTTCACAAATGAAAATAAGTGAAGAAATTGTACGGTTTCTTTTGATGGAAGGAACCAATGCGAGACTATAACCGAAATAGATGATATTCATTATGGCAACAACTAATGAGTAGGTGACCCTACTCTCATTGTGACCCAATTTGGCCAAGATCCCTGAAGTAAGACCAAGGATAATGATTGCAAATACAGATTGACAACCACGAAGAATATAAGATACGATTGGTCTCCAAGTCATTGATAATTGATAATTGATAATTGATTGATTCTTAATAAAAAAATTTGATAATTGGTTGTAAGAATCGTGTTGTAAAAAAAAAAACCACAAAGAAAAATAAAAGAAAAAAAATGAAAACGCAGGAAAAACGTGAGTTTATTTATTTAATTAATTTCTGGGGAGCACCCCCCTCCATACATCATATTATAATGAGGAGAGGAAAGTTTTTCTTTATTTAGGATTTCATTGTTTTGCTTTTGGGATTTTCTTATTCAAAGAATAATACACAAGATAAATATCACAAGTGTGATTTTAGTGGAACCTCAAAGATTCACTTTTAAATAAACAATGACCTCTTTTAAGAAACTTAAAAAACATACACCAATCCATCCTTTCATCCACATCTACTTACGACAAAATAATAAACCAATAATATCAAAGCAGTACAAACAACTACAGGAAAAAAAAAATCAAACAATAGATTAATCTTCTATTAATAGTCTTGTACTCATCACTTGTTGCTACTATGGTCCGTTACCCAAAACACATTTATTGTAATTATTATGTGAAATGATTGTTTGTGTTCTTTTCAAACACAGCCGTGTCGTGAAAAATCAGAAATAATAATACAATAAAAATCACACCAGAAATACGCCATGATATTTTTTTTTTCCTTTAGCAATAGAATAAATCCCTGATCATGGATTACAAACATTTGCTCTGATATTCAACATTGACAATATTTTTATTCTTTGCTAGCAAATTTTGTTCTTAACATTCTGCTCTCTTTATCAAACTAGACTCGTCACAACTAAGAAATAATTATTATGCATCCTAACTTAAATCAAATGGTAGCGCGATGCCGTGTATGCGGTGGTTATGAGGAATGTTCAAGAGAAAATTATACTTGTGCATTCCTGAGATGTTCATCACGACATGAGTTCCACAAACTACATCAAATTTTGTTTGTCTTCTTGAAAAACGGATTAATGGTTGTCTGAATAGTATACATAGGTGTGAGGAATACACAAAATTGGACTAAATACAATTGAAGCTTAATCAATTCCGAGGGGGTGAGTAGACAATCAATACTAAACATCAAATACATGACATCAGTACAATCTAAAAAGTATGATGGTAATAACCACCACGGCTGTGCTCTACGTCTTAATGAAAGAAAGTAAATGACAATCCCAGAATAGAAGCAAAAAAAAAAAAAAAAAGAAAAGGCTATCCTAGATTTAGAATTACGGATTTAATTGTTAATCTTCTCATATTTTACTTGACTTCAATCACGCACACACAACAAATAAAAATGTTCGTAATTATCTATACAAAAACAGCTTACATAATCATCCATGATAGGTTAAATTTTCGAAACAGGGCTGAGATTCTTATGCTCTCTCTGTGAAATAACCGATATAGGATTTTCTTTGACTCAATCCGTAAAGAATACATGAGGGAGGGGATGGTGAATTAACCCCTTATACAAGTGGAGAAAGTTAATTCTTTGTCACTCATATACCACGAGTTATACATTATTGTCTTAGTAATAGTAGTCAACTTGACAAATAAAAGTAGATAATAAGGTTTTTTTATTTTTCCTTTCTTATATTCAATTACTGTTGAAATTGCGTGGTTTTTAGGAACACAAGTTGATTACGCAGAAGAATTCTTGCTTACGTAATCGTGATATACGTTTGTAGCCAATGGACTATTTCTCTCTTCTAAACAGTGTGGAGATAGTATGTAAGATCAACAATATAAAAAGGTGAAAGTTATCACTTAAAGCTTTAGCACTTACTAAACACAGTCTTTATTCTGCTTATTGCAGGAATTACTAATCTTAGTAATTAATCAAATGATGCGTCAAATATGTACACTAAATGAGATGAGATTAATTTTTCACTAATTGGACTCACCCACCAAGCTCAACAATTATTAAGGAGAATATAAAAAGACAAGCAGCCATCACTATTTGAAATATCGACATTCACATTTCCTTGTTATGAATGCATTCAATCTAATCAATCAAACTTGGAGTCGTGCATTTTTGATCTTAATTATTTCGCTACTCGCGGTTCTCTTCTCCATCAAAAATAATCAATCGCAAGTATTAATTGAACAACAACAAGAGAAGGATTCTATCAATCAACAATCACAAGAAACAATGAGTGTATCAGCAATTAGAATTCCAGCAAATGGATCACAAGGTAAAGCTGCTCTTATTTTTGTACATGGATTAGGTGATTCAGGTCAAGGATGGTCATGGTTGCCACAATTGATTGCTCAATCAAAATTAATCACTACTCCAATCAATTATGTTTTCCCAAATGCTCCAGAAATTCCAATAACTATCAATAATGGATATCGTATGCCAGCTTGGTTTGATATTTATGAACTTGGAAATCCAAATGCAAAACAAGATATTGAAGGATTTTTCAAATCTTGCGATATATTGAAGAACTTGGTTAAACAACAAATTGAAGAATTTAAAATCCCTCCAGAAAAGATCATTATTGGTGGATTTTCTCAAGGTGCTGCTATTTCTTTAGCTACTTTAGCTACGATGGAAACAAAAATTGGTGGTTGTGTAGCATTATCTGGATTTTGTGCTCTTCGTAAAGAAGTTGAAAGCAAATTACTGAGTGCCAATTTGGACACACCAATTTTCCAAGGTCATGGTACTGCTGATCCAGTTATTAATTATCAATATGGTAAAAAAACTAGTGAATTTTTCAAAGAATTGGGATTCAAGAACTTGGATTTCCAAACTTATCCTGGTGTTCAACATAGTGCCAGTGATGAAGAATTAGCTGCAGTGATTAAGTTTATCAAAGATGTATTAGAAAAATAAATATAGATTTTATTTACAGGCATAATAGCATATATACATATATACATATATACATATATATCTTATAAAACAGGGTCCAGTTTTCTTGCTTCACATTTCTCTTGTAATGTCAAATACATAAACTCGCTAAATTTGGGTAACCCAGTTTTCCCGCTGCACATAGTATACATGTCATTTTCTTGATAAGTATCGGGGATCAACTGACCCTTGTCATTAACCATTACATAACCAAACACATCTTCGATATATGGAATACGACCATATCTTGGGATTTCTCTCATGTCATATATTGGCATGAAAGAATTGGCATTAGTACTTGCTTCCATGATGAATGTAAAATCGTCATGAATTTGGTTCTTCATTGTGTCATTCAACAATTGTTTAAATTCATCTCTAATACTGAAATTGGCAGGAGTTGGATTAGTAGAAGAGGATATGCCCATGTCTAATGCATCAGGGGATTTAGAAAGGGAGAACTTATAATTTCCAGGGCCTAATTCATGGATGAATATTTGTGGATTACGTGTATACTGTGATAAACTTCGAGCATGCAATCTTATTGGGAATCTTTGGTGTTGTAGAAGTGTTCTGATCATTGTTGGGCTAAATATGACAAGGATAAGGTGATCTGGTAGTGCGGTGCAGAAATAGTAAAACAAACAAAAAGAATTTTTTTTTCTTTATTCTTTGCTACACATCAAACACACACAGTGATGTAAAATCAGATGAAATGTGTAAAGCCGACGGAGAAACAAAGAAAACCGGGCAGTGTACACGAAAACGGAGATTTCATCATTTTCCATTTTCCATTTTTGTTTTTATTTTATTTTTTATTTTTTTATTTTATTTTATTTTTTAGATTAATTTTTAGATTTTTTTATTTTCTTTTTTCTTTTCTTATTAAAGTTGCTACATTAATGTAATGCACACACACACATTCAGAAACAACCCACCACTGCTTAAACTTCACTTTGAGTTTTACCAATCTCCTCTTCTCTGCTCCCCCCACTTTAAATCCAAGACCATATTATCACTTATTCACATTGGTGTTACTTGTTGTATAATTCTTGTCCATCTCCAAATAAATAACCTTACCCCGTAAACTGATCTAAACAAAAAGCAACAGTGAACACACATCTAGAACGAGAGACTATTTGGATCTAATTACAACGGAGGTCCCACACTAATTAGCCACTACCTGTGTTCCACTTCTTTTTTTTTTTCTTTTTGTTTTAAACGTGGAAGAGAACCCTCTTTTGTGATACACCGTTGAAGGAACATCAGGCGAATTTCATCTTTTTCGGTGTTTCTTAAAATTAAAATTGAAATGACATGCAAAGTCAGTTGTTTCAAAACCTGAATTGAAAAAGAAAATTCATCAATGGATCTCACAAACAGAAATCAGCTAAAAAAAAAAAATAAATGCTTCATGAGATAACAACCTCGCATAAAACTCATAACTCTAAGCAAAATGCATATACTGGATTATTGCGGTCTGCTGAAGTTGTAAGCCCCCCAAAAAAAAGAAAGAAAAAAAAAATAAATAAGTAAATAAATAGCCCAAGAAAAAAAAAAAAGATAAAAAAGATATAATCTCACCAAACATAATTATTCACGATTAAGGATTTATCACCATCACCATCATCTTCTTCTACATTTTTCTTTCCTTATCCACATATAGCCCACCATGACTGGTCTACAGAATAATCATCTAATCAAGGTACAGGGTTCCATCAACCCTCGTAAAAGAAAACACAATAGAGTACGAACTGGTTGTTTTACCTGTCGTAAGAGAAAGAAAAAGTGTGACGAACGACAACCCGATTGCATTGCTTGTGTCAGAAATAAACTTAAATGTGTCTATCCTACAAAAGAAAATGAAAAAGTACCCAGTGATTTCGTACTTGAACAACAAGAATATCACGAACCTTTAAACTTCAAGAAAAGAAGACATCTGTTTGCGGCACCAAAGGATGAACAGGCACCTCAGGATTTGTTTGGTGTCATTGTATTAAACAAGTACACCGGTCCACAAGTGTCTCTGCCCCCATCATCCGAAGATTCATCTTCATCTTCCTCCTCATCCGATTCTCAAGAAGACTTTATCACAACATTCAATGGAGATGCCAATGCTTTGATCCCAGTGGAGTATCAAACACCTATAGACCCTTCAATACCTTCCATTTGGTCCCAATCTAGTTTACTATCTTTTGGACGATACATACCCAATGTCGAATTATCAATAGAAGATTCAGAGTTGTATTCACATTGTGCAAAAAACTACATGAGTATGGTGGCACTACCTCATGCGCATCCATCATTATGTCCTGCTAATGTATGGATTAGACTAGCCTCCCATTCTCCAATCTTGGCTGATGTCTATCTAAGTTGTGGTGCTACTTATCTTGCTTGTGTTCACAATGAAAATAACGCCTTATCTCAAAAATATCATCGTCTAGCGGAATCAAAGTATAATTCTGCTGTTCAATCATTAACAGAAGCATTCAATAACGGATCAGTAGATTTAGATAGTGACTGGTTAATGGTGGCAGGGTTGAATTTGTGTTTACGTGACCGAGCATATGGGATGAATGGATCAAGGTGTTCCAAACACATTGTGTTTGTTTACAACTTAATCTGTAGAAGAGTTGACAAAAAGGCCGCAGATAGTCTTGCAACTCCCGAAGAGAGATTGTTAATGGAAAGTTTTATATTCAACTATACTACAGCTTTGATGACTTGTTCCAGATATGATATGATACGATTGCCTACTCCATATGAATTGTTCCTGAAACTCAACAAGTGGTTGGTGAATCCAATTGTTAAAAATTATGATGTTGAATGGGTGAACAATCCAGTTTTGGGATCTGCTTTGGCAATTTTCCAAGTAATGGCCAAATTATGTTACTTGTTGAGATGTCATTTTGAACAGAAAATCCCTGACGATAATGACCGTTGTTATTTGAATGATGGTAAGTTTTGGAGTTTGATATTACCATTGAAAGAAGAGATTAGAAACATTGAAGTTAAAAACTTTGAGAGAATTCAAGAATTGGATGCTCTGAAAGTATACGGACAATGGTATTTCAGTCTTCGAAGTAATCTTGCTGTGTCTATTATAACAGTCAATGCATGTAAGATCTTGATTGAAAAACTAATAAATCCTAGTATACCTGCATTTCTTCCCCAGATCCAAGAATCAGTACAATCTACATTACATGAACTTGATTTGTATATACCGAGTGATAACTACTCGTCTTCAGTTTCATTTTTGAGTTTGTTTATCTGTGGTTCAGCTATCATCAATCGTGCACAAGAAGTTTTGTTTAGTGAAGGTTTGGCCAATTTGGAAAATGATCTAAGCAAATATGTTGCTATTGACGTGGTTAAAGTTCTACAACGCAGCTGGGAAAGAGAAAGAATGGAAAGAATTACATTAGGCGATAAAGGATTTAAAAGTTTTGATTTAGTATTTGACAGATCTACATTAGAAAGTTTTGCGTTCTAAGATAAAAAATATATTCAACCTAACATACTACGTTTTCTTCCTCTTAATCGGACATCTTCTAGTCTTCGTATAGTTTCTTTGTATTTAGTTTTACCATGTTTTTTAAACTCTGGAGAATTGTGAATATTCTCATAACCTTCTAATAACCAAGCATTATAAGTATCTGCAAATACCGAATGAGTACTTAAAATTGCTCTCTCCAACACATATAAATCAACAGCTTTATCTTCAGGTAATCCAGAAAATGAAGATAATCCAAAATCAATCAATGCTGGTTCAGTATAATCGTCTTTTAGAAGAATATTTGAAGAAGTTAAATCACCATGAATCATTTCATTTAAATGTAATCTACCAATTAATTCACCAACTTTATTACAAACTTTTTTAACTCTTTCATCAACGCAGTTCTTATGATCTCCTTGTTTTTCTAAATACCATAACCAATTTTTAAATGAACTTATATTTCCATCAGGTAATGCAGATCCAAGATGTTCCATCCAAATTATTCCATGAGGAAAATCTGCCAGTATAACAGCAGGTGAAGAAATTCCCAATTTAGCTAACTTATACATGAATTTAACTTCTCCAATAGTACGTGATTTAGTAATACTGGAATCAATTTTAGGATGTCTATAAGGTTTTGGTGGTCTGAATTTGATAATAAATTGTTTTTTATTATCTAATGATGGACTATTGGAATATGGATGAACACTAGTTTCAAATACTAATGCTTCCGCACCTTGAGATATGATTTTAAGTGGAACATTAGGTACATATGATTGTACTATTGATATTAAACGATCCGTCATCGGTGATACTTGTGATGATAACGATGATGAAGATCGATGGTGCTAAATTTGGCGATGATTTTTTTTTCTCTCTTGAAATTCCCGCGGTCTTGTTGAATTATTTGCGAGTTATAGGGGGCAACCGATCTGAGAATAAGAACAATTTTTTTTTTGTTTAAATTTGAATATCACCACAAAGTTCAACATCAGACAATTATCCTAGTATCATTTGCCAATCATGACATCGTTGTGCTATATTATTCCTCCTTATCTTCTTGACACATCTAAAGGATCACAATTACAAAAAGAACTCATTAAAAAAAATGAACAAATGGGTTTACTTAATGTGGTGACTACTGATTCCCCATATTATTATAACCACACCAAACATCAAGAATCACTTAAAACCAAAAGGTTTTCCAAAGATCCTTATTTAAACCAAATAATAAAAGATAAAGTTATATACAAATTGGCAATTCTTGGTATTTTAGGTACCAATCCAATGGAAATGATTCAAGATAATGATGAATATCTATATCAGATATATAACGATTTCAAAAGTAGATTGATTAACAACAACAACAACGACGACGACAAACCATTATCTAAATCTAACGCAGAACATTCATCACTAACTGAATCAAATGAAAAATTGCAACCTTCGATTTTTAGTGATCCAAACGTTGCCGAAGTGGATGTTAGTAAATTAAATCAGGGAAAAAATTTACCTTCTGAATATAAGAAATATCTTCATATGTCTTTAAAAGATTTGATATTATTGACTGATTTCCATAGGTACAAATATCCACCAAGTTTTGTCGATTTTGGAAAACAATCTTATTTTGATTATCCGTTACCAATTACCTGGGTACCTGTTATTCAAAATCAAAATTTAACATATTTGGAAGAGAAATGGAATTTAGAAATTAATAATGATGTTGGCTATTCAAATATAAGCTTATCTTCGGGAACAAGTCCAAAATCAAATGATGAATTTGAAAATTTTGATGTGTTGACGCAACCAAGATTTTATAATTTTATAACAGATAAGCCGGTTAGTTCATCATGTGGTATTTTTTATTATGAACTTGAAGTGGAACAAACAGCTACAGATGCAACTAATTTCAAACCAATTATAATGATGAATGATTCTTCAATCAGTACAAATTGTAGTTTGATTATGGCTACTGGATTCACTAAAAGAAAATTTAACTTGGAACAAGGTCCTACTAATCCAAGTTTGTTAACTCCTGGTGAAATTGATCTAGAGAAGATTAAATCAGATATTTTTTATAACAACTCATCAGCATCAAATGATGAATCTACTAAATTTTTAAATGCTCGTCCTGGTGAATTTCCTGGAAGTGTTGCTATTAATTTTGAAGATTCGACATTTTATAATTCAATCAAGAGTTCTGATCAAGTTCAAAGAACACAAGTACTTAACATGAGTCGACGTTTGAATAATAGATCTGCCAATGAAGTTGATTCCGGTAAAGTGGATATAGGAATTCCATTCAAAACAAAATTGATTGAAGATATTGATACTAGAAGAGTTCATAAGACTGATACTGTTGGTTGCGGTGTAAATTTCATTGATAAATCTGTTTTCATCACATTAAATGGTGTATTAGCCCGGGTATTACCTGAAGAAGATTTAAATTCAACTGATTCTAGTACTGATGATTTATTTGGCAAAGACATTAGAGATATTTATCCTATGATTGGATTCAAAATAAACGAATTGGAAACGTTTGACTCTAGTGAACCCACTGCTGTTAATATCAAATCTAATTTTGGATTTAAGTCATTTATGTTTAATATCCAGGATTATGTCGATTATTACAAGAATCAACAAATGAAACTGATAGATATGAAATTATTAGAAATTAACGATGATCCATTGGTTTCAAATGAGCTAATCATGAAATATTTATCTAAGTATGGTTTTACAAATACCGAAAAAGCATTTGAGAAAGAGCTTCCAGATCAAAGGGTTGTAAATATCCCTGATGCTTCATTAGAAACAATTGTCGATGATGTTCAAAAAAATATGTACAAACTTGCTGAAAAAGATGGTGAATTTCTTCTTACAACTAGTGCCACTCAATAAGATAATGAATTAGATTGTATATTCATATAAATGAGTACAACTATAACTATGCTTTCTTTTGTCTCTTTTTCTTTGGTTTTTTGGGTCTACCATCTAAATTTGGTTGTTTATCTAATACCAATGCATGAATCTGATCATCATCGAAATCCGGTTCGAGATTCTCTAATTTTTCAGTACGTTTCTTTTGATATATTTTCAATGCCCAACCACCTTTTTCCAAAGTATCAAAAGTAATACCTGGATGTTGAGCCATTAATTCAAAATAAACAGGTAAATATTGTTCAACATATTCTTTAGTATCATATTTAATCTTCTTCATTTCTGATCCACCTTCATATGCATCCAATACATAAAATGAAAAACCTTCTTCACTGAAATAAGGAGGACTAAAAATTGGACTAATTTTAATTAATAAACTTGCAATTAAACTAGCAGTTGAAGGACCAACTCCTTTTAATTTACAAAATTCATCAAAACATTTCTCTATAGCATCAACATATTCATATTTAATTTCATCTTTAACTTCTGACCAAAATTCTTTAGAAGGATTCTTATGTTCATTTATAAAATCTAACATATATTGAAATCCAGATTTTGTACATTCTTCAATATAATCATCTTCATTAGATTTAATAAATTTAGGAAGCATTGGACGAAATGTCCCTTTTGCTAATTTTAAATCAACTAAATTAATTAATTCTTGTTTAGTTATCCAAATACTATCGGTTTCTTCATATCTAGTTTTAAGTAATTCTGGTAATTCTTCATCTTTATATTTATTCAATTGTGCAAATGTTTTACTTTTATTATCATATTTCCTCTTGATTGTAGACGATAATTCTTCATGAATCTCATCATAGAAATCTTTGCTTGCCTTTATTATATGATCAATGTTCACTGACATGGATTGATGATTGGCTTGATAAAGAAAACGTGTAGGCGTGTATTAAACTAGGGGGATTTTTATGTGGGGCAAAGAAAGAGTGAGAAGAAAAAATAAAAAGAAAGGCAAGCGAACTTTTATCGTTCAAGTTAAGAAGTTTTTAACCCCTTGAAACTTTTCGGTTCTCTTGCATCACAACGGAATGCAAATAATAGAAATGCTGATTATATAAATATGGCTATTTCGAGTTGGTGAAATAAGAATTTATATTAAATTGTCCAGACACACCTACAATATGATTAGAATTTTCAGAGTCGACCACACCAATGAGTTGTCTAAAGATGACCCACACTTTGAATACATTGATGTAACAAAAGACACCAATATCAAGGAAAAGTATATCAATAGCAGACCAGTCAAGAAAATGACTCCATCTAGTATACCATTGTACCTTGAAAACTATGTTGTTTGGACCAAAGATACTTTGTTGATGAAATCAATTCATAATGACTTGGAAAAAGAAGTTGACGAAACCGAAGTGAGCAAAGCCATAATTGGGTATTATGAACTACGTGATGCACCTGTGGTAGTATTCTACCTTGATGACCAAGAATTGGAATTTTTGAAATCTAGAAACAAAGCAACCAATGTAATATATGAGTTTTATGATCCTGACGGCCCATGGGGAGCCTATTCCGTGTGGTATTTACTTCCGGGAGAAAAAGAAATGGGCTATTCATTAGCACTGAGTTATTCATTAAGATTGAAGGAATTCAAAGACAGACCAAGAATGTTTTATTTCACGGAAAATGATAGGTTGTTTTGTAGTACAATTGGGACACGTTTCTGTGTTATTGAAGTTGATGAAATATTGGATTCTCCACATTCTTATTATGACATTGCTGAGAAAGTTTACAAGTTTTATATGAAGGCCGATGCAGATTTACAACTGTATAGAATACGTACTAGGAGGCTTGCCAAGTATCTTGGAAAGCCAGTAAAGTTTTTGGGAGAGACATTCTTGCCTGAATGATAAACACATGACAGATTTTCGGATGTATAATAGTCGTTTTACAACTTTCTACTTTGTACTTGTATCATTAAAACTATTTACAGGAATATATGATTAATTGATAACATCAGTGGCATCGTCATTCTTAGATTTTTTATAATTGAATCTGGTCTTAGGTGTGAAACTAATTGGAAATGCCAAATCCATAATGACATTTTGAAATAATGAATAAACTTGAGAACTTATCCAGTAGATAGTTAAAGCAGCAGGAGCATGTAAAGAAATCGCCATCATGAAAACCATTGATAATCTAGTTAAATTTCCAAATGCATCAGTTAAAGTTGGTCTGAATTTTAATTTCTTGGTTAATCTCAGTAATTCCAATGTTCTCAATGTCCATTCAATATTACATAATGCAGTTATACCTAAAATCACTGGGAAAACGTGCATTGGATCAGCAATTGTTAAGTCAGGAAACCATAACATACCTTCAGTGTATAATGTAGGATCTAATGCTTTATTATGAGTATAATCCCATGATGACCAACCACTTAAATTTCTCATTGTTATTGACATAATTATCCAAAGTGGAATTTGAAATGCAGGTAAAATGAAATTTTTCCATAATTGAACTCCATTTTTAGCAAATAATGCCTTTTGTCTCTTTCTTACTTCCTTAGCAGTTAATAATAAAATATGATCTTGTTTCATATTAGCAATGGTATTTAGTGATTGAACAGTAGTATAATCTTGGTTTTTTTCAGCAATTTTTAACTTAGATTGGGCTTGTTGAACTTTTTTAGCTAAGTTCATCTTTAAAACGGGATTCATAGCACTAACTAAAGGACGAAGTGAACTTTGTTTTTGAATTCTTTTTCTTTGAAATATAGCTAACGGTAGTGTCCATATTGAACGTAAAGTAAATGTAGTTATTGGTATAAGTGCCCACCATGGTAATCCACTAAATTCATGAATTGCTTGAAATGATTCCGTCATGGAATTTATAACTGCATTATGATCAAATGAAAAGTTTCTTGTGGTTACAACAGTACTCCTTCTGAGAATAGGTGAACCTAATATCCGACTTGTTCTTTGAAGTAACATTTGGTCAAACTGTTGAATATAGTACGATTTGATACCCTAATGTTAAGAAAAATTTTCAGCGATAATAATAATAGGACCACACACAACAAAACCAGCGAAAAAAAAAAACTCCCATGAAAAAAAAAAAGAAACATAAAACTGACAATATCATCCAACACTAACCTAATCATATACACATATACTAAAACATGTCTACTAGATCTGAAAGAGCTTGTATGCTTTGTGGAATAATCCAGCCAATGAAAACATTTATTGATGAAGGATGTCCAAACTGTGAAAGTATTTTACATTATCAATATAATGACAATCGTCAAGTTCAAGATTGTACTTCCCCATCATTTGAGGGATTAGTTGCATTAGGTCAAGATAATAAAGGATCTTGGGTGGCGAGATGGTTAAGAATCGAATCTTTTCAACCTGGTTTATATGCTGTTAAAGTTAATGGAAAATTACCTCCGGCGATTGTACAAGAATTAGAAGATTCTAATGTTATTTATAGACCAAGAGATGGAAGTGCTGAAGATTAAAAATAGTCAAATTTAAGTAAAAGAATAAAAATACATGTATTATTAAATGAGTCTATAAAGTAGCTTTGATTGAATCGATAGTATTCTTCAAGTTATCTAATGTAGCTGATTTATCCCATTGGTTTCTATCTCTCCATATAACATCCATGAGTCTTGCCATAGCGATTTCAAGTTTCTCAACGTTATAATGTTCAGTTATATCAAGTAATTCTTGACTTAAATTGTCCAATTTTTGTAAATCGATTTCAATTTCTTTAGTCAAATCAATATCGAGTTCTTCTTCAGCTTCAGATTCTGAGTCTTCCATAGTTTGGTCAGCAATGATTTCTGAAACTTCCGGTTCTTCAACTGCTTCTGATGTTGGTTCCTTTGGATCCAGCACTGGTTCAACTGATTTTTCCTCTTCAACTTGCTTTGTTCCTGATGTTCCATTTACTTCAACGTTAGCAGCATCTTTCATTTCAACATCTTCGGCAACAGGAACAAGTTTTTCTTCAATTGGTATAGGTCCGTTTTGCTTGATTTCTTCTTCTACCTCTTGTGTAGTACTTCCACCATTGACACCATCAACTTGGATTTCCTTCAGAGTCTCGTCAATAGTTTCAACTACTGGTTTCTCTTCACTTTCAGCGACACCACTAGGAACAGTTGTATCATTAATAACAACCACTGGTTTCTCGGCTTGACCTTCTTCGGCTTCTTGTACAATTTCAAGTTGTTGATGTTGTTTAGCCAATTCAGCTTGAAGTTTTTCATGTTCTTCCAATAATTTCTTTTGCTTGATAATATCTCTTTCTCGAACTTCTCGACAAGCTTTCAAAAACTCGGGAGTAGAAAAATCATCAACTCCAAATTGCGCATTGGTCATCATTTCATTAGCTTTCAAGATTCTTTCTCTATCTCCGCTTGTGAAGCAATCCTTAACAATCATTTTCAAATCTTTCAAAAATTGTTTTGGTTCACTGTAGAAACCATTCCATAATCTTTCTTCAATCAAATCCAAATCCATGTTGTAATAGTATTTACCAGTAGATAATTCCTTAATCATATTTTCATGGCCTGGATCGTCTGAATGAACGTACAAAACCATGTAGTTATTAAGTGGATTTTCCAAAATAGTAGGGTCAAATAAATGAGCAAGGAAACTTTCATCAATAATTGGTTTTCTAAACTTTCTGTATCTAACTTTGAACAAATCCATCAAAGCAGCTAATTTGATCTTCAAAACGTTCTTCAACTTGGTGTCTTTATATTCTTGTTCTTTAAGTTTCCTCTTGTTGGCAACTTCATCAGATAATTGTTCAGTACTTTGAACAACTTTCAATTGTTTTAACTTTCTCTTTGGACGATTTTCCAAATCATTAACAAACTCGTATGGTTTCATCAACAATGTTTTCTTTAAAGTTCCAAAATAAGCTTCTCTGGATGATCGACTTGGATTGTATAAAATCACATTATTCGCATGGTTTTCTAAACCAAACATCAATCTAACATCTGCAGACAAGTCTTCGATCGGAGTTTCAGAGATACCCAATAACAACAACTTCTCATTACTTTTCAACCCACGAAGCAAACTAGTCAAAGTAGCTCTTGCAGGATCTGGTAATACTTGAAACCAAATGTCGATATTAGGAATGAACAATATCGATGGCTGATGTCTTCTTGCCTCAATAAATGCTTGAACAATAGCCAGCTCTGGTGTCCTACTTGTATCACCAAACATAGTACCTAAATCTAACGATTGAACTTGGAACCCTTCAAGGTGATTCAATACTGCTGCACTTAAATATTGTTGACCATTTCCTTCAGAGCCACTGATTAACAAATGCGGACGGCAAATGATAGAATTTTCTAATGTCTTCAATAATTGTTGTTTAGCAAAACCACCATCTTCGTCATTGATTGTAGGATCAAGATATTTAGCTTCGTCTAAAGCAGTGAACTTCTTTTTGCCCTTCATACCAACGGAATTTGGTAAGAGCTGTTCAAGTTTTTCAACAATCTCATTAAATTCAGCTTCCAACAATGGTTTCAAATGATCAGGTAATGGTGCCGAGCCAGACGATGTGGATCTGGCACTGGATGGAACAATTTTTTCGATAGCTTTCATAAAATCTTTAGCAATTACCTTAACTTTTGATGGGTGAACCAATAATTTTTCGTTGGTCTCATAGATTTGTGGGTATTTTCTTTGTATACTATTCAAAGCAGCTTCAGTACACAATGCTCGTAAATCAGCACCACCATAACCTTTAGTCAATTCCGCAAGACTTTCCAAGAAAACATCTGGCAATGGTGGAGTCCATTTTCTGGTATGAATTTTCAAAATATCTTTTCTTGAGTTGATATCTGGTAATGGGAAATAAAACTCACGATCAAATCTACCTGGTCTTCTTAAAGCTGGATCAATAGCATCCGGTCTATTTGTAGCACCAATAACAATAACTTGTCCTCTATTATCCATACCATCCATCAATGCCAAAAGTGTTGACACTATACTAGCATGGATTTGTTCTTGTTTGGACGATCTAACTGGAGCCAACCCATCAATTTCATCAAAGAAAATAATCGAAGGTTGTTGATTTTTTGCCTCTTCAAATAATAATCTTAATTGACGCTCAGCTTCACCAACCCATTTACTTAAACAATCAGCACCCTTTCTCATAAAGAATGTAATTTTTCTTTGTTCAGTAGAACAACTGGCAGCTAATGCTCTGGCCATTAAAGTTTTACCAGTACCTGGAGGACCATGGAAAAGAACACCTCTTGGAGGAGTTATACCAAAATTCTGGTATAATTCTGGGTACAACAATGGCAAAGCTACCATTTCTTTCAATTGGTTAATATAGTTGTCCAACCCACCAACAACAGAAAAGTCAATATTCATATCAACACCCAATGGATCAGTATCACTGAGGTTATTCTTTTTCTTTTTATTGTTGCTATCGTCAGATCCACCAGTAATTAATTTTCCAGCACCTGTGCCTCCTATACTAGGTTTTCTTGTCTTTGGGGTCTTCTTACTTATAGTAGCTTCTCCGTTTATTGGAGCAATTTCATCTTCCGAACTATCTGAATCAATAGCACTTTGCCCAAGCGCAGTTAAATTACCAGAAGTTCCTGGTATACCTTCAGCACCTGGAATTGGAATACCAGCAGGTGGAATATTTGTACCAAATATTGATATAACATCACTACCACCAAATGGACCAGCTGTAGGGTACAAAATCTTTCTGAACTCATTTCTTGGATTTGGAGTTCTTCCTCTCTTACGAACATTTGTGGGTGTTGCTGCTCTAAATTCTTTCTCTAATTGTAAGTCATTGGTGATTGGTGGCGGGATAGTATAGTCTACTTTAGTACGTTGACGTAACTTGTGTGGTTTCTCAACATCTCCATGGATTGGTGATGAGTCATATAGGTCAGCAATTTCCTTTTGAATATTTAATTCCCCATCAGATTCAACAGGCGGTTGTTCCGGTTGATCAAGAGTTATATCAAGACCATCAAACATTCTATGTGATCTTGTTCTTTTAGCTCCATTTTGACTGGACTTCTTCTTTCTACCTCTTTTCTTTTTACCAGTTACGGAAAACGATGCATCCTCATCATCATCATCATCATCCCAATCATTTTCATCTTTAACAATAAAATCGTCTACTTTTTTCCTTCTAGTAACAACTTCATCTTCATCATCATCGGAAAACATTGCATCATCATCTTCTGTTTCATCATCGTCAGGGCCAGCTTCAAATTCATCATCAGACTCGGATATCCTACGTTTAGGTTTCAATGTTTTTCTTCTCTTTGGTCTTGGTGTATATGCTTGTTCATCATCATCGTCATATGCCGGTTCTTCTTTATAATCATCTTCTTCATTTCCGTCCTCCTTAGGAAGTTCACCTTCTGGTGGTGCAGCATCCTCTTCGTTTTCATCTTTAGGAGTATCTAAATCGTCAAAATCTTCATCGTCATCGGATTCTTTATATGATATTCTTCTCGTTGCTCTTCTAGAATGTGACCCATTACCATATGACCCAGAATTGTCATCGTCGTCATCGTCGTCATGAACAATTTTTCTTGGTCTACCTCTCTTGCCCATGTTTGTTTGAATTGAATCTGCAAATATTACTATCACCCACTAATTGGATCTATTGGAGTAATTTCGTTCGCTTGTTTTGTCAATTATAAGTATTTAAAAGGAAATCAAATATATTCCCCTTGAAGTAAATATTAATTTTAATTTTCTTGTAAGTAGTTCAAACGTAGTAATTAGAACAACAAAGATTGTAGGTTTTAGTGTCGTAGGTTGTTTTTCTTGCTTTTCTTCTCTTTTTTTTTTTTGTTTTTTTCTTGTGGTGTTTGGGCAAAAGAGAGAAAAATTGAGAAAGCAACGTAGAAAATTGTTGGTGGGAATTGAGTGACGCACGACCGCGCTAGAGTAACAGAAGAAGAAAATTTTGAACCACGCCTTGAGAAAAATCATCATGAGAAAGACAAAGATGGTATGAACCAAAGAATCATCATGATAATACATACAGAACATATCATAAATAATGAAATTTTTAATGAAATTCTAATTACTCAGTGATTTTGAAACGTTTCCAATGGTTATAATATAGGGTTGTCTATAAAAAATCATTGAAAATGACTAAATATGAGATTTACCTGATTTGAAACGCGTTTGGAATTCTTGCAGTTGTTTAATATCGATTTTTTTAGTAAATTCTTTTTTAAAGATTGAATTTTTTGCAACCATTTTTATTTGTATTGGTGGGGTTGGCATAAATTTCATTAGCAAAAAAAAATTATACTGTATTTTGAAGTCACGTGTTTTTTGGTACTGTGCACGACTTTCGATTGCTTGTAATTACTTGAACCTAGGTAATGATTAATTTACTTCTAAAGTTAATTAGGTTATCTATTATGTGAATTGGTTAATTATATTACTCGTTAGTTTGTGTTTGATGATATTTTTGGGAAATCAAAATTTTGCGGTAATTTTGGTTGATAATCTCTAGCAAATTTCTCCAGTTCTCACTTTCAATAAATATATTTACATGTCTAATAAAAAACTATTTACACACTTCTAGATTTAATCTTTTCTAAAGGAACACCATGTTTCTTAGAATTTGCATCTTTACCATATCCATCTTCATCACCCACTTTACAAGATTCCGAATCTCTACTTTGTACTTGTAGTCTGTTCAAAATCTTGTTTGATAATTCTGGCATGACAGGTTGTATAAGAATTGAAGAGATTCTCATTGTTTCTGCACATAAATAAGTAACATAATTTATGTAAGTTAAATATTTGCTTTTTGCTTCTTCTGGAATAGATTCATCTTTAAGTAGTTTAGAATATTTCCATGGTTCTGAAGTTTGGAATATATAATTTCCTTGATTGATGACTCCCCACCATGCTTGAATTGCTTTAATGTACTCAAAGTTCTTAAAATGGGTATCCATTGTAATGTATAAGTTGTTCAAATTTGCGATTAATTCTTGAGAAGCTTTAATCAAGTCGTCACCATTTGAGTTATCAACATCTTTGATAATTTGTTCAATATTGTCAAACTTGCCAGATGTGGAGTATTCAACTGCTTCTTGAATATTGAAATTCTTAGCACCAATTCTTGAAATCAAATTACAATATTTACCCAATACAGCATCTCGTGATCTTTCTAATAAATCAACACTAAATTTACAATCGTCTTCAATATTAGAATTTTCAACAAGGAAAAATCTAACTGGATCAACTCCATAATATTCACTTATCTCAATTGGATCAACCACATTACCTAAACTTTTACTCATTTTGAATCCATCACATAACCAATGAGAATGAACAATTACTTGTTTAGGTAATTCCACACCAGCAGCCATTAAGAAAATTGGCCAATATATACAATGAAATCTAATGATATCTTTACCAATGATATGTGTAGCGGGCCACATATTTGATAACTCATTGTTGTTGAACGTTTCTGGGTATCCAGCTGCTGTTATATAGTTCAATAATGCATCAAACCATACGTAAATCTTTTGACTTGGATCATTTGGTACTTCAATACTCCATTTTAATCTACTTGAAGGTCTTGAAATTGACAAGTCTGTTAATTTGTTCTGTTTCAATTCATTTAAAATAAACTGATACCGATGATATGGTTTGATAAAATCAGGATGTGATTCTAAATATTCAATTAATTGGTCTTGGAACTGAGACAATTTGAAAAAATAATTAGTTTCTTCTTGATAAACAACCTCATTTTTAGTTTCAATGGAAATTTTAACCATTTTCCCATCTTTTTCAACTTCTTCTATTTGAGTCTCTGGATAAAATGTTTCATCACTAACAGAATACCAACCTGAATGTGTATCAGTATAAATATACCCTTTTTCCATCATCAAATTCCAGAAATATTTGACTACTTCTATGTGATCAGGATCAGTTGTTCGTATAAATCTATCATAATTCACATTTGATTTCTCTGCTAAATAAGCAAAATTTTGAGATACTTTATCAACTAATTCTTTAGGTTCAATGCCCTGTTTTTCAGCAGTTGCTTGAATTTTTAATCCATGTTCATCAGTACCGGTTAACATAAATGATTTTTGATTAGGATTTAGTTTCTCCCATTTACTTCTTGTATCGGCAATCAACATCGAATACAAGTGACCAATATGCGGAGCTGCATTAACATAGAAAATAGGAGTTGTTATATAAAATGGTTTAGTTGACTTGAACCGTAATTGTACAACGGGTTTAAGACTTCGTAACTTCATAGGGGTGGCAGGTGTGGTTATGTGGTGAAGATGATGTGGTGACACAAGTGAACTGAATCCATGCTTTTTTTTCTTTTTTTGCTCACTCGTTCGAGCAATTCAATTCCGCGCCAGAATTACAACCAGTCAAAGCAATACAGTTTTTATTACATTCAAAAGAAGTCACAGAATCTATACATGTATATATATATACAACCAAGCCACATAGTTACTTATATTTCGTCAGAATTCTCTACAAAAATAGCCATTAAAGCAAACACCGAGTAAAACAAACACAATGGATAAGCGATCAAAGGTCTTACGTTATGCAATTTCAAAACACTAACAAAGAAACCACTAGCAGAATATGTACACCAGAACACAGATACAATACTCAAGGCATAACCCATGATATTATCCAAACTTGTAACAACACCCAAAACACTAAGTAAAACCAAAGGCAATAAACAATATCCAATAACTGAAGCTGATCTACTTAAATCAATAGTAGTTTCATTACTCATAAATTTAAACAAATAATGTAAACTTAAAATACCAAACAAACCCACACCATAAATATAACCAAATTGTACTTTACCAGCCAATAATAATAAAGTTCCAAAAAGTAAGACAAATAATATAGGTCCAGCAAGATCCAGATCTGCCATTATATCGCTTGGAATATCTTTAGTTAAAGGATTTAAAACGGCTAATGTTTTACTTTTGATATGTTGAAAATTTATTCCCAATTCTTCTAATAATGGTGGTTCACCAGGGTATCCCGAAGTTCCAAATGCAGCCAATAGCCCTGGAGTTAGTTCTCCATTACCCATTACTCCACTAACATCTATATTTCCACCAAAACTATTATCCATTGAACCCATCATACCAGATGGTTGAGTTGAAGTATTTGATGCCATTGTATTTGGTTGTTGATATGAATAATTTGATTGATAGAATTGCATGTTTTGTGCATCATTCATTTGTTGTTGATAGTACGCCATTGTGAATTAATTGATATTATGGATACAGTTGATTACTTTAGAATTAAAATTTGTCAATGGATGATTTAAGAATAAAATTGACATTCTGTTTTCTTTTATTTTTTTTTTTCTTTCTTTTTGTTTTCTTCGCCTCAGGAACTGAGCGTTAACAAAAAAATAATTAAGAGAGTGAAGCAAGTGAAAGTACACGTAGAGTCGTGCATAATGGATAAGAAATGATCTATGGGATAATCACGTGTAATTTCATTGAAGACTGGTAGATAGTGACCTGTAGTAACCTATTCAGTTAATCTTATCAATATTCATATTTCCAATCAGCTTGTTTGGTGTTTCTAAGTACTACAAACGTACAAATACAAGTCGTGTAATGATATCAAATTCTAATTTTCTTTTGATTAAGAGTTCTTTTTTTTTTCACAGTGACTAGTTTTTTTTTTTTTCTTTTTATGTACGAGCTGGCTCAACATTTAATTGCCCTCTACAAACACCATCACGACCACCACGACCTACATAATACAACACCATGTCTCAGTCATTAATAATATTCAAACCTTCTGGTAATGTGGAATATCAATATAATAATAAAATCCATCCATTCAATGAATTCATTTCATCCTTAGTTAATGAAACAGTTACTACAATTTCATTAAATTTCACAACCAAGACAATTAACAATAAGCGTTTTTATTGTTATAGTAAAGACGATGTTTATGTATCCCTATATTTTGATAGTATTACCACCATAGATAACGATCAAATTAGACAAACTTTATCAGGTATTCATAAAACATATGTAAAATTGGAAGAAAATGAAGAAGAACATACTGATAAATTGAAAAAAATGGTTGATTTGCAGTTTAACAATTTGATGAAATTAAAACAACAACAACAACCTACAGAAGAAGTAACCAGGGAATCCACACCTATTAGTAATGTTAACAGTGGCACATCTACTCCAAATAAAGGTAAACAGCAATCATCAAGTAAAAAGATGAGAAAATGGGATAACGGAGAAATGGTTGAAAATGTTGATGGAGGTGCATTGGATTATTCTGGTGCTCAAGATGGTGATATTACAAGTGGTAAATTACCAGAATTAAAAGTGGATAATTCTGCATTTATCAAAGATCATGATTTGGTTCTTGTCAATGAATTGAATGATATTTTGAATGAATCCGATGACGACGACGAAGATGAAGACGTTCAATCATCTAGTAAATCAGGTGGATTCTTTTCCAAGATTTCTTCGTACTTGGGTGGATCTATTGACTTGAATGAAGTATCGAAACAATTTAATGATCAATTGATGTCGAAGAATATTGCTCCTGGTACATCCAAACAAATCATTGAAAAGATCAAGAACAAATTATCAGGTAATAAAAAAGTCACCATGTCTATGTATAAACAAGCATTGACTGACGAATTAACCAAAATTTTAACACCAAACGTTTCTACTGATTTGTTACATGATATCAAAAGAAATGCCGAAACCAATACAAGACCATACGTTATCTCCGTTGTTGGTGTCAATGGGGTTGGGAAGTCAACAAATTTAGCTAAATTGGCTTATTGGTTATTACAAAATAACTTTAATGTATTGATTTGTGCCTGTGATACGTTTAGATCCGGTGCTGTTGAACAATTGAAGGTTCATGTGAACAATTTGAATAGATTAAATGAAAATTCTGAAAATTCCAAAATCGATCTTTTCGAAAAAGGTTATGGTAGTGGGGATCACGTTGTTCAAACGGCTAAACAAGCTATCCAATATGCAACTGATCATAAATTTGATATTGTTTTAATTGATACCGCTGGTAGAACCCATTCAAATGCTAAACTAATGGCACCATTAAAGAAATTTGGCGATGCTGCTAATCCAAATAAGATTATTATGGTTGGTGAAGCATTAGTTGGTACCGATTCGGTTGAACAGGCAATAAACTTTAATAATGCATTTGGTAACAAGAGAAGCTTAGATTTTTTCATTATTTCTAAAGTTGATACTGTGGGAGATTTAGTTGGTACTATGATTAATATGGTCATGGCAACCAAAGTGCCAATATTATTTGTTGGTACGGGTCAAACATATACTGATATTAAAAGATTGAGTGTTAAACAAGTAGTTGAAATGTTGATGAAATAATATAATTGGTTGGTTGTCAATTCCTAATTTTTTGTTGCAAATGTACTGTATAAATATAGATTACGTAAACTTTTAATTAAACGCCTCGTTTGATGTGTGTTTCACATTTTGATCACGTTTTTTGTATATGCAGATTAAGGTTATTTCACACCTCGGGTATATTTGTCCCTAGATGTTGGCTGTGTGTAGCTACGTAGCGACTTACACACACACACACACATGTGGGTCGGATAACCGTAACCAACAGAATGTAACCGCAAGGCTTAAACACCTACACATGAACATTGTCGTGTCTATGGAACCTGAAAAAAAAAAGAAAACTCACGCACGCATACACACACACACACACGCTCACACGCAAACAAACAAATAAGACTAAAACTTGCGTATACTAAAAAAAGATACATTCATTGAAATTAGCAGATTTACTATATAAAAAAAAAGACAAAGAAAAAAGGGATTGTTGCTTTTCTCTAGTAATAATTGGGATTGTCTATTAAAAGGAAATTTCATATCAACAATCATTTATCCAATTAGTTGTTGTCGTTGCTCTTTTATTGTAACTGAGATTGTTGCAATTCTACACTAATCATGAATTCCTCCGCATCTTTAGCGTTAACTGATGGACCAAAAAATAATTATAATAAATCATCATCAGTTTCGCTTAATCTGAAAATTAGTTCTGATTCAACTTCCCCACAATTTCCATTATATTTAAAAATCAATTGTAATAGTGCTGCTGATTTAGTACCTAGTGATAATCCAACTGGAGAGGTTAAAAAGAAGAAATACTCTTCAAGTAAATCAGTAAATCCAATATTAGTTGCACAATTAAACGACACTATTAAAACAACTTCAAGAAAATTAGATACCAATCAACCGAGTTGGAATGATGAGATATATTTACCTTTGAAATTGCAAGATCATTCTCCTTTGTTGGTTTTTTCGGTTTGGGATAAACATACCAGATATAAGAATTATTTAGGGGAATTTAGAATTGATATTCGAGATATTTTTATTAAAGATGATGGGAAATTTATTTCTAAAACTGATTATAAATGGTATAAGTTAATTTCAAGTACTCAAATTCATTCTTTTGTAACAGGATCAATTTTGGTTTCTTTTGAATTAATGCTTCGGAATAATTCTAAAAAGAGTAAGTTTCTGAGTACTAGCTCAATTTTAAATAAATTGAACAATTTATCATTAGAACAAGATAATTTAGAATCGGCATTTAGAAACTGGATTGATAGTTTAGTGACTGTTTCAGGAGTATCTATCAAAAATGGCATTAAACCAAATGATCAAGGATTTTATGATGATTCAATGGTTAATGGGTCTGATTTAGAATCTGTACTTACTGATAGATCAAGTATTCATAATTACTTAACTATTGGTGATGCTATTGCTCCCAACACTAGTAGGAATTCATTGGCTATTCCTCATGATGATGTTGGGTCATTTTCTGATGCGTCGTTTATTTCAACAGATGGTGGGTATGCTAGCGATACAGCCAATGGGTTGTTTAACAAAGAAGCTATGGTATCATCACCGAAAAAGAAAGGACTTCGTTCAAAACTAAGACATAGAGTTAAAGAAGATGCCGATAAGTTTGAACTAGCAAGTCGACAAGTTTTAGGAGTGGTATTTATTGAAATTGTATCATGTGAAGATTTACCTCCATACAAGAATTTCACGAGAACTACATTTGATATGGATCCATTTGTTGTTGTTAGTTTTGGTAAAAAAACATTTAGAACCGGTTGGAAAAGACATACTTTAAATCCTGTTTTCAAAGAAAGATTAGCCTTTGAGATATTACCTCATGAAAGCAATTTCAGTATTCAATTTTTAGTTCTTGATAAGGATCATTTTTCGTTTCACGATGATGTTGCTCATATTTCATTACCATTAAGAGATATAACTGAGTATGCCACTGTTAGACCGGTGGAAGAAAACAATTTAGACATTACTGATGGTCCTGACCTTGTTAGAGAAAAAACACCTGTTAGTTTCACCACTCCAGAACACGAAGCTCCAAGTAACGCATCGGTGACGATTTTATGCAATGAAGAAGGTAATGATAGTAATATCCATACGAGATCAAGAAAGAAATTTCTGAAGAAGAAATTAGTTCGTGTTCAGACTGATCCTACTCAATCTCGTACTATGTCGTTGAGTTTGAATTTACATGATCAAAAATTCATTGGTAAATATAGTCCAAAGTTGAAAATTCGTGTTAGATTTGAAACTTATTCTGAGTTGCGTAAGCAATTTTGGAGAGTATTACTTAAGGAGTATCAGAAAATCCTGGTTAACCCAGATGAGACATATGATTATATTGAATTGATTTCGTTATTAGATACTGTTGGATGTACTAACAGTGATGAAGTGGTTGAGAAATTCTACACCAATTTAAATAAATCTGCTTGGGGTGGAGATTTATTAACGTTTGATGAAATTATCGAACAATTGGAATTGCATTTAACCTCTGAGAGTAAAGGAGATGATAATACCAAAATATTTGTATTCGACTCATGTCCTATATGTAACCAAAAACGAGTTTCCAAGAAACAGGATTTGGATATAATTACTCATTTTGCAATTTGTGCAAGTAAAGATTGGAATGGAGTTAGTAAGATCTTGCTGTCATCATATGTTACTCCTACTCAAGCCACTAAGAAATGGTTTACTAAAGCATTGATTAAATTAACCTATGGTAAGTATAAACTTGGAGGTAACTCAGCCAATATTTTGGTTCAAGATAGAATGACCGGGATTATATTGGAAGAAAAGATGAGTGTTTATGTGAGATTAGGGATTAGATTGTTGTATAAAGGATTAGATAAGGCTAGATCCAAAAGAGTTCGTATTATACTTAGAAACATGTCCATCAAACAGGGTAAGAAATTTGATTCACCACTGCTGAAATCAGATATTGCTTCTTTTATTAAATTTCATAAATTAAATCTTGAAGAATGTTTATTACAAGATCCTGACCAATACCCGACATTCAATGAATTCTTTTATAGGAAATTGAAACCAGGGGCAAGATTAATTGAAGGAGAAACAAATGATAAGATAATAACTAGTCCAGCAGATTGTCGATGTGTTGTATTTGATAGTATTGATGAAGCTACCAAATTATGGATTAAAGGTACTGGATTCACGGTGCAGAAACTTATTCATGATGATCAACAAATTCATATACCTTCATATTCGTTAGGTATTTTCAGATTGGCACCACAAGATTACCATAGATTCCATTCTCCAGTTGATGGTGTTATTGAAAGTATTAAAAATATTGAAGGTGAATATTATACTGTTAATCCTATGGCTATTAGATCCCAATTAGATGTATTTGGTGAGAATGTTAGAAGTATTGTTACCATTAGAACATCAAATTTTGAAAGAATTTATATGATTGCCGTCGGAGCAATGATGGTTGGATCAACCGTGTTTACCGTTGAAGTTGGATCAAAATTAACTAAGGGTCAAGAAGTTGGATATTTCAAATTTGGAGGATCAACCATTTTATTATTAATTGAAAGTAGTAAATTTAAATTTGATAGTGATTTGATTAAGAATTCAAATGCTGGATTGGAGACTTTATTACAAGTTGGTCAAAGTATTGGTCATTCTCCTGATATAAATGAGTACACTCGTCATCATGTATCATTTGATGAATTGGATAAAAATAGGCAATTGAAACTTATTAGAGTGTTGACTGGTGGTGATTTGAAAGATAAACACCAATTAAGTAATTGGGAAGCAAATAGTATAGTCATGGAAGATTTCCAACCATCTGATTTATTTGAAGAGGATTCAATAGAACGTATCATAGAATAGATTAACTTTAAAAAAAATAAAATAAAATAAAATATCACATTATAAATAGTATGTAGAAATAAAAACAATTAAACCATTTCCAATTCAAATTCCCCGTGATGATGATAATGACAATGATGATGATATATATCAACGTGTAAAAATTTCACATGGGACCATAATAAGTAGCAGGACGATATAATTCATCATCTTTAAAACCTTTATCTTCTTCTAGATGTCTAATATGCCAACCAACATAATCCAATTCTTGTTGAATATAATGAATTTCTTTATGAATTTGTGAATCAAAATAAAATGGAACTATGAAAAATTTTGTAATTATGGGTGTAACTATTGAACCTGCCAATAAACCTTTGAATCCTGCTGATAAATATGACATAATGATAGATGACTGATGATATGGTTGTAAAAGTGTTGTAAAAGTGTTGTAAAAAAAAAAACGAAATCAGCAGAAGGAGAAAGAAAATAAAAATCTAGGAAAACAAAAAAGAAAGGAAAGAAATTGGCAGACAACCCAGGGTATATAAATTTTTCCTTTTTGATTGATAATCAAATTCAATGTGGGGAAGGAATTACAGTACAACAACCCAAACGTGAGAAATAAACATGTGCTGCTAAATTTTTATTTATTTTTTTTTTTCTTTTTTGGTGTGAGTGAGTGAGTGAGTGTCTCCGTTTTTGTGATCCGGAGAAGATAGGAAAGAAATACCCAAAACAGAGAAACAAAACTTTATCTTTTGCTTACACACAACCCGGGGCAGATTGGTTTAAACAAAATAAAATTCTTCTTCTTCTTCCATGGTACGACAAAAGTATTACGTCACTTTAAAACCGCCTTGGTCAATATTATTTTTTTTTCTTACTTTCTCACTTTTGGTTTTGCACCAATGCACATCACATAATCTCGGTACATCCATGACAAAATTGTTTGACGCTAGGGGACAAAGCCCTTTTCTCCTACTTAAATGAGGATATTTGTATTCAAGTTTTTGCAACATTAGAATTGTTAGTCCGTTTCTGCTACTAATACACAGCTAATCTGTGGGCATCATAAACAATTCTAATCCCAAGGTAATTTATACTTGTCCCGTGGTATCTGGCCCATGACATGTACAGAAATCACCTCCGAATCTAATTCTATAAGTTTCAAGGTTTGGTAAATCTTCAAAGCTTCCACTGATACTTTGTAGCGGTATATCTCTCACATTTAGATGTTTTATCGAAGAAGGAAAACATTCAAGCAGGAGATGATTAACATCTGAATTGTTTGAAAAATCTAGAGACTTCAATTTCGCACAATGTCTCAAATCTGACGTAGCCAATGTTTCGTCACTTATTTCATCGTCAGCAATATTCAATTTTTCAAGGGAAGAAGGAAAAACAGGAAGCTTTGTAAGAGCACCCAATTTATTAGTTGAAAGATTCAAATTCTTTAACGTTGGTGGAAATGTTGGTAAATCTCGTAAATTGTTATGACTTAATATCAAATCCTGCAACTGCGATGGAAACTTATACAGATCTTTTATCAATTCTATCTCCCCGCTAATGTCTAACACTTGGACAAAATCTGGTAACTTCCAGCTTGACAGTGTTAATTTCTTTAGTGTGGTACGTATTCTGAATTGCTGGAGTTGTGAACTGATTTTGATAGGTTGAATTTCTGGGGAATAATATATTAATTGTAAGTATTCTAAGTTCTTTAAATTCTTCAATTCATTTAAATCAATTCGTTCTTCATTGACAGTAAGGACAAGATTTTTCAACGAGTTTGGCAAATTTCAGAAAGACATTTGCTGTAAACAAGGTAATAGTTCACCAGAATCTGGAGCCATGATAACAGTTCTAATGATTGCAGAAAAGCCATTCTTAATTGTTAAATCAAAGATTTCATGATTCAACTTTTCTCGAATTACGAATTCATCCATTGTATACGGCAACTTTGTCAAGTCTTCAAATTCGTTTAGCAGCAATTAGTCTAGACAACGCCTAATGCGTACTTTGCAGTCATGTGACAATATTGGGTTGGATTTATGGAACTCGAAAAGATCGTCAATGGAATCAAAAGTGATCATTTTAGGCTTAAAAAAATGGATTCTTTGTTAGAAATTCAATCAACTCCTGATTGTTTTGACAATGTTTAACAAATGGAACATTCTCATGCAGCTCATACAAGACCTCGTCAGGAAATTTAAACTTGTCCAGATATTCTGATGGAGTATTCACCGAGATTGATATGTAAAGCTGTGACAACACATAACGTTTAATCTGGGGAATATCCTTAATCTGATTTAGTTTCCAATTTGGAATTTGCTTGAATATTATTCCAAGAATATCATCTGGAAACTCTGGTAACTACATTGTATGGAATGATTTTTTTATTTCACCAATGTTAAGATACGCCTATTTAATTTAGTGGAGCAGAAGTTATTACATAAACTAAGTTCTGCTTAAACCATGGTTACTTTGTTGAAGCGAATCTTTTCGTATATTGAACTGTAAATATAAGATGGGGTAGTATGGTTTAGCGGGAGGGGGAAAATGTATATTTAATTAGATAATCTGTTAAACTAGTAAACATACCTCGGTGTAATTTAATGAGATGATTTCATTCAATCGTGGTTACTTGTACTCATAAATAATGATATAAATACACTGATATCTACTTTATTTTTGTAGGTGATTCTCTAGCGTGGAGAAAGCTGTTGTGATTAATTTTTTTGTTTCACCAACGCGACATTAAACTGCGTGTTAATTATGTTGCAATTCTTGTGTTAACTGCCATTGGGTTTGGTTTGAATTCAAGCCAGCTTCAAACACACAGTTCATGAAATATTACCATTACATACAATTCTACTGTAACAGTAACTAACTACAAATCACTAGCTACAATCTTTTTTTGCTTTCATTTCTTGTCGTCAATGAACCGATATTTTAGTTGAGATATTTGTTCTTTCTTGTCTGAAAATCAATCTAGCACCTTTAAAGAGAGAACAATCACAGGTAATTAATTGCACTAATATAGAGATTATTCACCTGTTTGTGTTGTAATCACGAGAAATGGAGTTATTTGTCCATCTAGAACGGAAATACTGACTGTACAAATAATTTTGTCACTTCGTAAAACTCTTGATGTCAAATAATTTTGTCCTGGCTATGCCGAATCTAACCTGCAAGGTGTCAGTACAAAACAAATCGAAATATCGACACCGATAGTATGGGAGGATAACCTACGTCATAATTCAATGTATGCATTATCCATGGAAATGAAAGGAAATCGAATGTTATACACAACCCAACAAAATACCGACAAGAATAAAAGATTATCTGGTTTGAAACCTCGGAGTTTTTGTTTTTCTGTATCAAAGACTCATCGGGATCAATTTTAATTCAGTATTAGACTTTGCATGTTTGAATTAGTAATAGCAAATAAATGAGTTGTTCTAAGAGATGATGTTAAAGGGGTTTTTATTTTTTCTTTTCATCCCGAGGATGATTCGGAGTTCAAATCAAATCTCAATTAGTAAATGCCCGAGGGTACACAAAGTCAAAAACGTGTATATAAAGAATCTCTAAAATACTGTATCTATACTCTCTTATCACTTTTGTTGTTGTCCACCATATAAACCTCTCCATTCTTCAATCTTCTTTTCATCAATTCTGGTAAACAAGTATTGAGCTTTACCAATACAATGACCTGGCAACAAGACAAATTCAAATTTATCAGTGATTGACAAACTTGGTGCATTCAAAATTTCATTAATTTGTTTGGTTGTTTCTGGCATAAATGGATAAATGATAGCACTAATCAAATAAACCAAATTAATAGCAACAGCTACAACAGCATCGGATTTGTTTGGTTGATTAGTGTATAAACTGTTATCTAATTTATTATCTTGTAAGAATTGGTTACCTCTGGAAGAAATAGCCATGGCAAGTTCTAAACCTTTTCTTAAATTGACACTTTCCATGTTTTCAATATAACTTGACAACAAAGTGTTAATATCCTTTTCAAATGATGCGTAATCTGGAATGTTGGAAACATCATATTTTGGAACCACTCCATTATATTTGGCAATCAAGAATTTAACAATTCTGTTAACATAATTACCCAAGTTGGCCAACAATTCATTATTGTTTTTCGCAACAAATTCATCCCATGAGAAATGAGAATCTTGATTTTCTGGTCTGTTAGAAGCCAAATAGTATCTCCAAACAGATGGTGAAACACCAGTTTCTTTAGCATTGTTACCAAAGACACCAACACCTCTACTCTTACTGAATTTACCATTTTCGTATTGTAAATATTCAGTAGTACTTAAATGATGCAATTTAGTCCAATTATCACCAGTACCAATTTGTGAAGCTGGGAAGACAACAGTATGGAATGGAACATTATCCTTACCCATAAATTGATACAAATCAACATTTTCTGGGTTTTTCCACCATTTAAGATAATCGTCAACATTTCCATCTTTGAAATAATTGGCTGTAATGGAAATATAACCAATAGTAGCATCAAACCAAACATACAAGACCTTTTCTTCATATCCCTTTAATGGAACTGGAGTACCCCAGATCAAATCTCTAGTAATACATCTTGGTTCCAAACCTCTCTTGGTCCATGAATCGGTAATACTCTTTGAATTCTTGGACCAAGCACCTTTAGCAGAAGAGTCGATAATCCATTCTTTTAATGGTTCTTCTAATTCATTCAATTTAAGATAAATATGAGTGGATTCTTTAACAATTGGACTAGCACCATCAAGTTTACAACGTGGTTTAATCAATTCTAAAGGATCCAACAAGTTACCACATTTATCACATTGATCACCTCTAGCATCATCATATTCACATTTTGGACAAGTACCTTCAACAAATCTATCAGCTAAAAATGACTTGTGTTCTTCACAGTATAATTGCTCAGTGGTTTTTTCTTCCAAATATCCATTTTTATGTAATTTCATGAAAATATCTTGAGCAATTTCTGTTTGTAATGGAGTTGTAGTTCTACCAAAATAATCAAATCCAATATCAAACCAATCATAAACTTCCTTGTGAATAGCATGATATTTATCACACAATTGTTGAGGAGTAACTTTTTCTTCCAATGCTTTAGTTTCAGTAGCAGTACCGTATTCATCAGTACCACAAACAAACAAAGCATTGTAGTTTCTATTCTTAGCATAACGACTATAGATATCGGCGGATAAAACTGATCCAACAATATTACCTAAATGTGGAACATTATTAACATAAGGTAAAGCAGAAGTGATTAAAATGTTTCTTTCATCAGACTTTGGAAGAATTTTATCAGCTTGTTTTTTAATCAAATGACCAGTTTGAACATTTTGTTTACCAGTGTTTGTTTCTTTAGTTCTTTCAACTGGAGTGATTGCTAATGCATTCTTAATACCAGTTGCAACTTCTGGAATCTTACTGAATTCAACAAACCATTTATTTTCAGTAGAAGATTTCAAAGCTGGATATAAACTTGAAAATAAAATAATTTGAGCAGGAGTAATTTCAGCTTTTTCAAAACTTGGTAAGTCAGAAATTTTCAAAATTCCATCAGATTTATTTGATTTAAGAACTGGATAGACAACTTGTTCTTCAAATTTAATTGCTTTATCATTAGTGAAATCATTAGCTAAATATTTAACAATAGCATTTGGTTCAATTAATTCAAATCCGGATTTCTTATCTTTTAAAGACAATTGGGATTCAGTTTCATTTAAAGTGAGGGAAAGTTTTGGTTGGTATGAAGATAATGCAATGGCCAATTTCAAATTATTGGACAATGCTAATAATGAACTACCTTTAGTTCCATAAACTTCTAAGGACATCGTGATTTTGGTTCGTGGTTGATGAATAATAATGAGTCAATATTTAATGGATTGAAATTTTTTTTTTTCTTCTTCTTTGTCTGGAAAATTTTCATTCCTGCGAAATTAAAAGCGAAAGATATTTCGTGTCGCGACCAAAACGATGGGAATTTTGAAAATTACGAAAATAAAAAACTGTGGGTTTTCATTTCTGATCAGTAACTCAAATAAAAAAAGGTACTCATTAGTGGGCACGAGGTGTATATACGAGCCACAGTAATGATTAAACTACTACCAGCCACTAAAAGATCAATTAGATGTTTGACAACAACTTCATCAACTCATGAATTACTAGATAAATGGAATTGTCTAATATCGACTGTGACCATTGAACCAACATCTACTGGACCATTATCTGGCACGAAATATATTCTAAAAGATAATATAGTTACTAAAAACAGTACCTCCACCGCTGCATCAAAGACCTTATCTAATTATAAATCTCCCTTCAATGCCACTATTGTTGACTTACTCTCATCTCAAGGATCAACACTTGTTGGTAAATCAAACTTGGATGAATTTGGAATGGGTTCAGCAAATTTGAATTCTTATTTTGGACCCGTGATTAATCCACAAGATAAACCTAAAATTACTGGTGGTTCTTCTGGAGGTAGTGCTGCTGCTGTATCTAGTGGAATATGCGATTTTTCAATTGGTACAGATACTGGAGGTTCTGTAAGATTACCTGCTTCTTATTGTCAGGTTTTTGGTTTCAAACCAACCTACGGTAGGATTTCTCGTTGGGGTGTTATTCCGTATGCTCAAACTTTGGATACTGTGGGGATTTTGGGAAATAATATTGATATCATCCATGAAGTTTATAATGTTCTTAATAAGTATGATGAAAAAGATCCTACATCATTACCCGAAGAGGTCAGAAACAAGATTGATGCGACTATAAACACTGAAAAACTTGTTATTGGTATCCCGGAAGAATTCATTCTTGATGAGTTATCTGATGCTGTGAGAAATTCATGGAAGGAAATTTTAGTCAGGTTACAAGAACAAGGTCATGAAATCAAGCCTATATCTATTGGCAGTATTAAAAAATCATTACCGGCATACTACACCCTAGCAACTGCCGAAGCCGCTTCCAATCTTTCAAGATATGATGGAATACGATATGGTGATAATTCACAAAATCAAGTTGAAACTGCTTCTGATTTGATATTCAGTAATAGATCAACAAATTTCGGTCCTGAAGTACAACGAAGAATTATTCTTGGTAATTATACATTATCTTCAGATTCAGGGGATCATTATCTTCGAGCAACTGAAATTCGTCGAGAATTATGTATTGAATTTTCCACATCATTTAAAAAATCTCATATTTTACTTCAAGATGGTGAAACATCAACTGGGGTTGATTTAATAATTGCTCCAACAGCCACTAAATCAGCACCGAATGTCGATGAATTTGTATCTGAAAACGAAGAAAATTTCTTGAATGGATATGTTAATGACGTATTAACTGTTCCAGCATCATTGACTGGTATACCTACTATATCTATCCCATTCAATGGAATCGGTATTCAATTAATGGGTCAGTTTGGTGACGATGAATTGGTCTTACAAGTTGCCAAAGATTTATCAAATTAAGATCACAATTTCTTTTCTTTTTATAAAAAACATTATTCTGTAAATAGTATACAAGAATAGATAAATATACACACAAAATAAACAATATAAATATAAACAAAAATGGAGTGGGAGACAAGCAAAAACTATAGTTTTATAAGTTGAATTATCATAACGTCGTAAATAATAATAGAAAAAGCAAAAGGTATATATGTATGTTGTTCTAATGAAAAAGAAAGCAAAGAATTACTGTTGAAATATCAATTCTGTTTCTTTTAAATTAACTATTAGATGTGAGAATTTATTTTCTTCCTAATAAAGTCAAAAACTCTTCTCTAGTTTTTTGATGATCTCTAAAACAACCCAACATACAACTAGTGGTAGTACTTGATCCAGTTTTTTGTACCCCTCTACTAACCATACACATATGGGTGGCTTCAATAACCACAGCAACACCTCTTGGTTTTAAAATTTCACTTAAAGCCATGGCGATTTGTTTAGTTAATCTTTCTTGAACTTGAAATCTTCTTGAATACATTTCAGCTAATCTTGCTAATTTACTTAATCCTAAGACTCTTTTATTTGGAATATAAGCAATATGAGCTTTACCAAAAAATGGAACTAAATGATGTTCACAAAGGGAATAAATTTCAATATCACGAACAATAACCATTTCATCATGATCTTCTTCAAATACTGCTCTTTTAATAACATCACGAATATTATCTTCATAACCTTTGGTAAAATACAACATTGCTCTAGCATATCGTTCAGGAGTTTCTAATAATCCTTCTCTAGTAGTATCTTCACCTAATTCTTCCAATATAACTTTAACAGCATCAGCAATTCTTTCTTCTCTTGCCTTGGCTTCTTCTGGACTTTGTTCGATTCTTTGTCTAGCTCCTTGAGATGGCCATGATAACCCATCACTATCAATTGGTGGATTTAAAATTAATGGTGATGCAGCACGAGTTTGTAATGGAGTTTCTATTAAATCTCTAGGTAATGCTGCACTGATGTGATTTGTTGTAGATGAACCAGAAGGAACAAGTTTGGAACGTTTTATTGGTAAAACGGATTTTGGGGAATGATTTCCATTAATTTCATCTTTACGATTATTAGATTTTGACAGTTGTAATTCAGACATGTTATTTGTGGGAGCGTTATTCTATAAGATAATATCTATTACACCAGATATCTAATAATGAATGTCTTGTCAAGTTTGTAAATTTCAAAACCACCCAATTTATTGAATTTGAAAATTAATTAACTTTTAGAAAAAAAATATATTAAAAAAAGATGAGTGAGAGAGCCAAATGGGAATAAGGGTCAATTTATTTCAATTGCAGAGAAAAATGATAATAATAAGAAAAAAAGAGTTAAAAAAAAAAAAATAAATAAAACTAATCACTGAAAATTTTTATGAGTTGAGCGCACTACACAAAAACAATTCAATTCACAATCAAACCAAATTAGTCACAGATCGTATAGACAAATCTTTCATCACAATCACAAGATGGTTAATTCACACATGACATTACGTCAAAATCAAACGAGTGAACCTAAGCCAACAACAACAACAGAAACAAAAAAGAAGAATTATGGATAATGCTATATAAATTATGTAAAATTATAAAGAATAAAAGATTGAAACAAAAAAAAATGAATCTTACACTAAGATAAAACGAAAACGAATAACCAACAAAGATAAAAACACCCAAATAAACTAACTAGCTAAGCAACCATACCAAACAACAATTAATGTTCCTCTGCAAATGGATTCAATACTCTGACTGTTAAACATGGTAATGCCATACCAATTTCAGCTCTCAACAATACTGGAACTTGGGTCAATTCCTTAATTACTTGAATATGTGAATCTCCTTCAACTCTGGTTATACATTCTTGCAAATATGGTGCTAAGCCAATAGAATCACTGGTGGCCTGTATAGTAGATGAGGAACTGGTTCTAATGTTCTTAGGAATATCAGATTGAGTTGGTGATGATGGCATGGAATGTGTTTCATCTTTAATATTGTCAACCTCTTTGAATTCATCATTTCCTTTTAATGGAGGAACAGTTAATTTTGGTGCATCCAAATTCAATTTAGCTAATTTCTCAGCAATAGAATCAGATGCAATGGTACTCGAAGTTAAAGAACTCTTACTCTGAATCTTAGCAGCTTGTAATGCAGATGTTCTGTACTTGTTCTTGATCGAGTTTCTGTATGACAAAGATGATTTTTCATCCGGTGGAATATAAGTAGCAGAATCCACACCCTTTTCCCAGTAAAGCTCTAATATTCTGTCAACTTTATCAAATTCAGCTTTAACTAATGGCAATTGATCACCGTGAACTCTCTTTTCAACGCCAAACTCTGGAAGGAAAACATCAAATGACGATTCATAAACTTGAACAACAGTACCCATGCACAACAATTGACCAGCACTTTCACTCATTTCATTAATAGTTTGAGACAACAACAAGTGAATGGCTTGCTCTTGAGCATTGGCTGCACAATCTTTCTTGAAATTACAGTAATCTGCAATTGCCTTCAAAGAATCCAAATCTTTTTCTTCGGATTCCTTATTCAAAACCATCTTCAATTGTCTATGCACAATCAAATCGGCATAACGTCTCAATGGAGCATTGAAATGGGTGTATAATGGCAAATTAAAGTAATAGTGTGCATAACTGTCTGCATCTTGTTTACCGGCGACATAGTATCTACCTCTAGACATACACTTGTACAACAATGTCTCAACACACTTTCTCTTGACTGGATCCTCAATTTTCAAGATTGAGTTTTGTAAAGTAGATGAGGTGGTGGTGTCAATCTTGAATCCCAAATTGGTGGCTTTTCTAACAAATGTTTCCATTTTTTGTAAAGTTGGCAATGGATGACGACGCAAGATGGCTTGGTCACCCAAACCTGCGTGTACCTTAGCAGCAATAGCAGAATTCACCTTATGGGAAATTTCAGAAATTACATCAAATGCCAATGAATCCTTAAATACATTCAAATCCAAACGAACCTTTTCATCATCTAATTGATCTAACAAAGTCAAGTTTGGACTGATTCCAAGTGAACGGTTAGCTAAACGATGACGACGGAATTCCTTAGCAATCAAACTAAATGTTTTTATGTAGTCAGAAGTGGCTGAAGAAATACTATCCACAGATTTACCCAGTAAAATAGTATCAAATGAATCATAACTAACCAATTGTTTTGGAACAATAATAGATTCATGAATGTACAAATCCTCAACTTCAAAATTACTAGTATCAATTTCAAAAACAACAGAGATAGCTAAATTCTTTTCGTTCTCTTTAAAAGATACCAATTTGTTAACTTGGTTAGGGAAAAGGTTGACAACTTTCTGAGGAAGGAACACTGATGAGGATCTCTTTTTGGACTTACGGTCCAAAGTAGAACCAGGTTTGATAAAGTATGAAATATCCACAACATGGAATCCCAACTCAATCTTGGTATTCGAAATTCTCTTGACATGCAATGCATGATCAACAAATCCACCAGTTTGTGTAAATGCAATAATGTAGTCATTCAAGTATTCTGCTCTCTTAGTATTTTCAAATTCTGGTTCAATTGAAGGTAAATCATAAATATTTGCTGCAATCGTAGCTTCATCATCGTTATCATCAGGGTATTCGTCACATAAAAAGTTGTTGTCTCTTAAGATCGAGTCAATTTCGGTTTCAGAAGAATCAATTGGTCCTAACTTGCTAACCAATGTACCAAATGGATGCAAGGAGGTGATTGGCCATCTCTTGATAGAGGCAACAAACAATTGATCGGCATATTTCTCGTGGTTTTCAACAAAATCCTTTGGTGCTTGCTCAGTTGGAATGGCAATCAAAGGAACCTTCTTATCAGTTGGTTTAAACCACACAATCTTTGGAGCTTTTGGAGTTTGAACAGAAGATTCGTTACCATTCTTCTTATCTCTAGCGGCTTGGGCAGCTTGTGCTGGTCTCAACAAACCCAAAGTACCGGCAAACAATTGCCCTGGAATTCTATCCACAACAGCCACAACATGACCCGCGTAGAGTGGCTTGACTTCATCATTAATTTCTTCTTCTTCAACCAATAACAAGGATTGACCTTCAACTTCAACATCGTCATTCTTCTTCATAGTTGGTCTCTGTTTTAATGAACCTCTTCTTGCGAGGCCATTGTTATTCTCTTCTTCATTGGAAGCACCATCACCTTTAGAGTTGCCAGTGGTGGATCCTTCGGCAGTAGTTGGTGCGGAAGTTGCATCATTATGAATATCATCAGTCAATGGTCTGTTGGTTAATGTGTTGTCTTTTCTTCTCTTTTTTTCTTCTTTTTCCTTTTTGGATTCCCAAACTTCATCAACAATCAACAATTCAACAGCAACTAAATCTCCTTCTAATGCACGATTACGATCTTTAGAACCACAAATGAAAATATCAGCATCCAACAAACCGTCGGTGGAGACATAGGCGTCTGATCTGTTTTTCTTGTTAACTCTCAAAGTACCAGTAACCAAACGACCTTCATTAATTAATTCTGGTAAGGATGATTGTGGCAAGTAAGGAGCGAAAAGTGTCTTACGTCCATTGTTGCTATTGAGACCAATATTTGGGCCACCGGCACCACCGCCTTGTTGGTGTGAACTAATTTGGGAACCACCATTGGAAGGGAGGAAATGCAGCAATGAAGAAACTGATGAGCCACCTCCATAGGAACTGTTACGTGGCTTATGACCTGGTACAAACCCGGCTTGTGGTGGTTCCAATGTGGATGATTGCCTGTTGTGGTTCTGCTGTTGTTGTTGAGGTGATTGTTGTTGAGCACGCCAGTTTGAATTCATGCCCTCGGCGTTGCTGCCTCCACCGCGTGATCTGGACCTAAAATGTGAAGATCTTCTGTTATGACCCCTGTCTGGAGATTGAGTAACAGTGAAATTAGGATTTGGAGGTAATAAACTGTTCCCTCTCGATTCGTTCGATTGATCTGGGGTTGGCGGAAATTTAAATGGTTGTTGACCATATGCCAAAGATCTTGAACGGTTATGGGAAGTTGGCTCTGGGCTTGCTGGTGCGTCATCACTGTTGCTGCTTGGTGGAAACTTAAAACTACCAATAGCATCATTGGAATCAATCTTCGATTCATTTGGAACACTTGGACTTAAAGTAGATGTTCTATTATTTTGTCTTTGGTTTGCAGCTGCTTTGATAGCTTCATTTAAGCCCAAAGAGTGTCTTCTTGAGTGACCATGAGCAGTATTGGCACCACCGGATCCAGTACGTCTATGTGAATTAATTGATGATGATCTGGAATGGGATCCACGATTGTTACCACCAAATCCTGGTGATGATGGTGGTGGTAACAATTCACCTTGACCTTGTTGAGGAGGTGGGTAAACAAATTGTTGTTGTTGTTGCTTTTGTTGTTCCTCCAAAAGTTTTTGTTGTGCTTGGACTTGTTCCAATTGACGTTGCAAATTATATTGCTCAACCATCAAATTGGTCAATTCTGAAGGGGAACGTCTGTGAGCGACGTGCAAATTCTTTCCCTTTCTACTTGACACTCTAGCAGGAGTGTTGTTGTTATTGTTGTTATTAGATGAACTCATTTCTATCAAATTATTAAAATGTAGGAGTTGTCCACTAGACTAATCAGGAACAAATTAAACAGATGAATTATTAATAAATAATTAAAAGATAATGCAAAATTGAAATAACGAGTAATCAAAAAAAAAATTGAACCAAAAGGGTATAATGGGTAATTTATCAACACCAAAATAAAAGGAATGCAAAAGGTATTAGTTTTCAAAATCAATAATAATATTAATCAGAATCAAAAAGGAATGAATATTGAAGATTAAATCAATTGAGGGAGGTGGCAATGCAGTCGATTATATGTTTTTGATATGAACAAAATTTTCTTTCTCTCTCTCTCGTTTTTTTTTTCTTCCCTCTTTTTTCTTTGTTGTACTGAATTTGAGTTCTCTTTTTTTGGTGGTCAAAGTTTGTTCTCTCTTACGTATTGCTTTTCAGGGAGACAGTGCTGTTTTTTTTTTCTTCTGTCTTTCTTACTCAATAAGCCTGGTTGTAAAATTAAAAATAAAAAGTGACTACTTGAAAAGATGGATGCTAATGATGCTGATTCAATTGGACGTAGCTAAAAAAAATGATTGTGATGGATATTGGGGACTGGTTGTAGTAATAACGATGGATGGTGATAATAAAAGGATGGATAGATGGATGAATGAATGGGGTTGTAAAAAAAAAAGATTAAAAATTAAAAAGAAGAAGAAGAAGAATTTTAATTTAAGGAATGAATTGTGGGATTTATTTTTTTTTGGTTCTTCTTCTTCCTGTTGTTGAAACAGAGCAAAAAAAAAATACACCCATCCCATACAATCCCCCCATCCATCCATCCACCAGTCTCACTTTCATTCATTCAACCGAACAACAGCAAAAAAAAAAATGACTGATGAACACAAAAGAGAAAAGACAAATAAAATTACTAGTGACAAGGAATTATCCTTAAGTACACGTCCTATAATCAACAAATTACAACCCAGACAAGAGTGATGGTTGTCCAGCACCATTGACTAGGTTACACCAATGATCATCTTTTACTATATTTACGAATTAAACAATACCAATGGATTGGTTGAGAGATATTGAAAGAATGTCTTATGAATTAGGCGAGCTTGCCCCCCCCCTGCCGCCTCTTCTTCCTCTAAGACTTTTGAGCTTCGTCTAAAATTCTTATTTTCAGTTACATTGTGCTGTAAATAAATTAACGAGAAAAAGAATCACGACGTTTTTTCTCTTTTTGTTCTCTGTCGATACATTTGATTTCGGTTGGACAGGAGATCGACAGCAGGTGGAAATTTAATCATAGGATGTAGAATGGACTCGGATTTGTATCAGCCAAACTTGTCTCCTTTTATTACAACAAAGAAAAGGGGGCCCCCAACGTAAAGCACCGAACCCTTAGTACATGCTTGATTTCTCACCATGGCAACCTGTAATATATATCAATTTAAAAATAGATTCCGATCCATCGATTCTAGCCACAAAATTGCTAAAGTAAATAAAACAAAAAAAATTTGGCCCGCTTTCAAACACGCACACGCACCCTCTAACTCACACGCGAGGGAGCTAAGTACCAAAACGCAAAACAATAGATGCGTTACAAATCACAGAGAATTAGATCTCGATACTAACGGGAAGTTAAAATATATAATTTAAAATTACAATACACAACGTACATGTATCCTCCTTCTCCTTCGGAAATTAAAGTTCGATTGTTACTACCTCTGTTTCCAATGTGTTCAAGTCTAATAATACAATTTCACCCGATTCTTTGAAATTCGGTACACTAATCAATGATACTGTTTTTCCTTCATATGCCAACTTCTTGAAATCATATTTCTTTTGATTACCCACAAAATAAACATGTGGCAACTCTTCAGCAAATATAAATGGATCATAATTATCATATGGGTAACAATATAATGTGTCGGGACAGGTAGGAGCAAAGTTTTGCCATTTGATATTACTTTCCATGACTTGTATCGATGTTGGTGAGATGCTTCCATTGGTATCAGGTATATATCTCATGACATCATCAACATTTTGACCACTTGTACCCAACATTCTTACTCCATTGACTTCCATCCACTGTGGGTTGGTCGTTCTTATCAAGCGGTCACTACCTAACAATGCCTTGTTTGTTCTGAACAACATTTTATGTAATGCTTGTTGTGGTAAACAAACTTCTGCTGGATCGTGATCTCCTGGCATGACCGCTACTGGTAAACTGACAAGGATATCTTTAAGAAAAATATCCAATTGTTTTAAAGATTCAGCATTATATTTAGAAATATTTTTAGATCCATAGTTATTCGTAGTGATATAATTTTTCAAATCCATCTCTGCACTCAAGTTTTCAATAGGCATAATTGAATTACCGGCAATGATCAATTGAGAAATTGTTGAACTGTTCGATTTGTCATCGAAATTACCTACTTCTCCAATAAGATATTGTTTCAATAATTCCAATTTCAAATCATAATGACTTTCTTCACCAATGTTCAATCCTGAAACTAATGCAATTTTCCCTGAAGGTGAGCTAGGAAGTGGTTTTTGTGGAGCACATTCAGGATATACAACATCCATTATTTCAAATATACCTGCTTGAAGTTCCATACCCAATACTGCAACAATACACCCAGTTACTAATAAATTTTTCTTTAAATATTCATCATTATGTAAAATAGCTCTTCCTGATTCATCCTCCAACATCATTATAGGTGATTCATCACCATCCATATAAGTAACAGGTACAGGAGGCATCACATCATCAGTACCTTTCTCAACATCATCTAAGATATTCAATTTATATTTGGCATCACAATAAACAGTACCAACAACCCAACATAACTTGCCACTTGTTATATCTAAAATTTTATTTGTTCTAACTATAGTTTGTCCATCAATTTCTTGAGTTCCATTCCCCCATTTTTTCATGGCTATTTCTTCAACTCTTGGTTTTAAATTTTTTAATCTATATTGATACATTGAAAAATATTGTTTGCTATATTTTCTATTCCCTGGGGCAAGAAAAAATTCGTTACGCTTGGAAAATTCTTCTGGTATTGAAATCTCCGATCTGTTGACTTCATCAACATTATCTATTTCCTTATTGATATATTCTGTGTATGACATGTTATTTGTTGTGATGGATGGTTTGGTGAAGAGGTTTTTCTTTCATTTCTTGATTCAATTTTTTTTTTTCTATCGACGCGTCAGCGCATCCCCGTCTCAAAGTTTTTCAACGCGAAAACCTTCAATTCTTGTTAAAAGCATTTCGTTTCTATTATACACACATACACACACTATACATCTACTATTTATGACCTCTTTTGTTTCTTGTTTGATTTGGTACTACCAATACTCAAATTAACTCTTGGAACTTGATCTAAACCAAAACTAGAAGCAACTTTTTTTAGATCTAATTTGTCAATTTGATAAACGGTTTTCAAACCATGGGAAGCATAGGCTTGTAAATATGCACGGTAACCATCTTTGGCAGATTGGTTCAATAAGTAATTGGTTTTAATTAATTTAGTTAATTGAGATTGAATATTGGCTATTTTATTAGATGGGAATTCATATTCATTCAATGGGACTTTAGCAGCCTTCAAATATCTTAAGAATCCCAATTCTGATGGAGTTAAAAACATCAAGGATTTACCTTTACCTTGAGTACCTCTAGCAGTTCTACCAACACGATGGATATAATCTCTTGGATCATCAGGTGGATCGAATTGAATAATCCAATCAACAGCTGGAATATCTAAACCTCTAGCAGCAACATCAGTACATACCAAGATACCTTGTTTAGCATTACAGAATTCAAAGAATGTGTTGGTACGTTTTTGTTGTTTTTGTTTACCATGCAAGTCCAAAACTGGCAAGTCAATGTAATTCAACAACTCACTGTAGAACTTAACACTATTACATGAGGACAAGAACACAATGATCTTCTTTTTAACGTTTCTCTTCAAAAATGAAAACAATAACAAGAATCTCTTGTCTGAATCACAAACAACATAACCTTGTTCTAACCCATCAGCAGTGGATACATCCTTATCTGGAACAACATTGATATACAATGGACCTGGTCTCAAGGACATTCTAGCCAAATCCTCAACTTTAGTGGTTTGAGTAGCAGAGAACAACATAGATTGTCTGTCTTCATTAGGTAAAATCTTAATAATTTGTTTCATTTCATCTTCGAACCCAATTTCCAAAATTCTATCAGCTTCATCAATAACTAAAGCTTTCAAATTACTGAAAACAAATCCAGGGGTGTTTTTCAAATGATCCAATAATCTACCTGGAGTAGCAACTAATAAATTAACACCTTTTGCTAATTTAGTAGCTTCTTGTCTTCTATCAGCTCCACCAATAACAATGCCACAAGTTTGTGAATGATATTGCATTAACTCACGAGCAACACCAAAAATTTGCAATGCCAATTCTCTAGTTGGAGTAATGATAATAACAGCAGTACCATTTCTTGGTTTAATTTTCAATGAATATAATAATTCAATGGCAGGGATTAAGAATGCTAATGTCTTACCTGAACCAGTTTTAGCAGCCCCTAAAACATCTCTACCTGCTAATAAAGGTGGAATAGTTTTAGCTTGAACTTTGGTCATTTTAGTAAATCCCATTTCTTTAATTGCTTTCATGGTTGGTTCTGATAAATCTGCATCTTCGAATAAATGTTCTTCTTGATCATCATCTTGTTGTTGTTGTGCATCACCTTCAACAGCTTCTTTAGAAACTTGAGGTTTAGTTAATTCTTGAAGTTTAGCTTCATCTCTAGCTAACTTCTTAGCTTTCTTAGAATCAGATTTCAGTTCCGGATCTTTAATATCTTCACCTAATAATCCTGCAACTTCATCAAAATCAGCATCTAATTCATCAACTGCTTTTTCATTATCATTAATTTCTGGTTCAGATTCAGATTCTTCACGAGATCTTTTCTTGGTTGGTTTATCTGCCTTCTTAGATGGAGAAGGCTTTACTTTATTACTCTTCACCTTTGGAGACTTTGCCATTGTTGTGTGGTTACTATCAAAAAAAAAATGAGTTTAGTCTTGAGTATAAAAAATAAAATAGAAACTCATCTCATCTGCGTAGAAAAAAAAAAAAAAAATTCGAACCATAGAAAATTTAATCAGAAGTTGATATCAAAGGTCGTGCATAAATCAAAAGATTTTAATATTCAAATCAAACCATATAAACAATATCTAAACAAAGACTATAAAACAACATCTAAAGAATATCTAAACATAGACTATAAAACAACATCTAAAGAATATCTAAACATAGACTATAAAACAACATCTAAACAATATCTAGTAAAAAAAAAAGCAAACTATTCTACGATATAAACTCTACCTTCATAAGGAGACAAAATAGACTCTTCAAATTCTGTAGCCGAATCCAAGTTAGATGCTACCAATTCAAACTCACCTTCAATCAAACGTTCAAAAGGAACAACGTCATTAGAAAAGTTCAAAACCACATAAGCTTTTGGAGATTTAGCATCCATGATTTCTTTAATAAAAGTAAAAGATTTATCATTATTATAATCTAAGATTTCAAATGATCCATAAATGAATAAATCCTTGTACTCTTTTCTTAATTTCAACATCTTTTGGTAAAATTTCAATAAAGAATTTGGATTATGTTGTTGTTCTTTCACGTTAATGTCAGTATAATTATCATTAACTTTCATCCATGGTTTACCTGAAGTAAAACCAGCATTAGCTGAAGAATTCCATTGAACTGGAGATCTGGAATGATCTCTTGCAACCATATTGATAACATCCATTAATTGTTTTTCCTTTTGTTTAAAATCAGCATCATCTCCATATTTTTTCTTAAACTCGTTATAATAATTGGTGGTATAAACATCTTTGTATTCTTCAATAGACCATGATCTTGGTAAATTGGTCATACCGATTTCTTGACCTTGGTAGATGAATAAAGTACCAGTTAAAGTAGTTTGTAACATTGCTATTAATTTACCACTCTTTGTGTGATATTTCTTATCATTACCAAAACGAGTAATTGATCTTGGTTGGTCATGATTCTCAATGAAAACAGTTGACCAAGCATCAGTACCTTTAATGAAATCACTTTGACTTTTCACAGCATTTTTAAAATCAATTAAATTCCAACCAAAATATCTAAATCTATCACTATTTTCAGTACCTAATTCAACAACATCAAAAATAAACATCATATTCATTTCATTTCTAGAAGCACTAACATATTTTAAAGCTTCTTGTTTTGTCCAATGACACATTTCACCAACGGTCATAATATCATATTTGGACCATATTTCCTTATTCATTTCCTGGTGGAATTCATGGATTCTTGGTCCATTTGAAGTTAATTCTTTACTTGGTTGATGAAGTTGATCCACATAAGTAATTGGGGCATCAGTAAATGATTGTTCTTTAGAATAAAATCCAGCAACGTCAATTCTAAAACCATCAACTCCTCTGTTCAACCAAAATCTAATTGCTGAATCATAAATTGCTTTTCTACATTCTTCATTCTCCCAATTCAAATCCGGTTGACCTTTAGCAAACAATCTCAAGTAATATTCACCGGTTGGTTCATCATATTCCCAAGCAGATCCTGAAAAGTAGGATTGCCAGTTATTAGGTGGTTGTCTGTTACCATCAGCATCATATTTTGGTTTCTTCCAGATATACCAGTCTCTCTTTGGGTTGTCTAAGGAGGATCTTGATTCTTTGAACCATTCGTGGTCAGCAGAAGTGTGGTTGATGACTAAATCACAGATGATTTTCATGCCTCTTTCGTGGCAACCATCAATTAAATTTTGCATATCTTGCAAAGTACCGAAATCTGGGTTGATGTCTTCATAATCACTGATATCATAACCCATATCTTCCATTGGGGATTTGTACATTGGACTCAACCAGATAATATCAACTCCTAAATCTTTGATATAGTCTAATTCGGAAATAATCCCTGGGATATCACCAATACCGTCACCATTGGAATCTTTATAAGAAGCTGGCCAGATTTGATAAATTGTAGCGTCTTTCCACCAAGTATAGTCAATAGTCATGTTGTTGCAATAACGAATGAATGGATATATTAAAAGAATACACCTGGATCTTCAAAAAAAATTTTGGGAAAAAGTTCTTAATTTATTCATAGCTATAAACTCAAATTGTATTACTAGAGAATTATCACCTTATTATCATCAACTAATCAAAGTTCTAAAACAACACGTTAGCGTTTATTTTCATCTTTTTCGAATTTTTATTTTATTTTACACCCACAAGAACACGCTTTATTTCTCGGAACAATTCAAAGGAGGGGGGCATCCGATATTATTTTTTTTTTGTTTTCTCTTTTGTTTTAAGAGAAACTATTGTTTTCATTCTTGTGAACGGTGGACCTATTGTTGTTCATTTGGTGGAACAATCCCCAAAGTTCGTAGTTTGTTCTTTTTTTTTTTTTTTTGGTATTTATGACTGTAGAAAGTACAGATCCGCTAATCTTGCCTGATATGGCTTCTGTGTGTATTTTGCTACTACTATAGGTTTCAAAGAAACAATATCTCTTGTTAATCGACATTATTGTTTACTTTCTATTTTTGAATATTGAGATAATTTACAAATTTTTCTTGACTTTGGCCCAACAGATTTTACCAATGATATAATCCTCACTAATGACCTTTAGCGAATCAGCCACCTTTGCCTTTGGATATCTGAAATCAAGAGGAGACACCAACTAAAACTTAATTTAGTACCAGCTTTAATATGGAAATATGCCCATTTTAGTAACAAAGTTTGCTTCGGCGATTCTTACCTTGGCAGCCTTTTCTAGAAAGATTAACGATAACTCAAAAAAAAAAAAAAAAAAAAAAAGAAATCAATATCCATTTTATAACGTTAATGCCATGGAAGAACGGGTCATTCCTGAGCATAACTTTAATAGTTTGTACAGATATTGGTTTCATTTCATAATCACCGTTAGAGGTCATTTTGCCGTACGTTTGAAAATTTCATATAGTTAAATGAGAACGCCTTTATCGGTTTAAATATTAGTCCGGTATTTCTGGAAAAATTTTTGATTCTTAGCACAAGAAACAGAAACAGGATTATAATAATAATTATCCAGTGGTATTGATCGACCCACATATACGTTCAAGTTATTTCATTGTGCAATTTCTTTTTTATTTCACTTTTGGGGATACAAACATGTGGTCGTGCGCCCACATACAACAGCACCGCTACCATTAAAAATAAAACATCAGATTGATACATACACATTAATTAAAGGGCGCTTACTCTTAGCAACGAAGATATAGTAAATTTGTCTTTTAGGGTTATATTCCCCAACAAATGAATAAGCCATGTTCGTTATTATTTTTTGGAATTGGGTAGAGCCTTATGAGCTGGAGGGTAGGAGGGGAAAAGCGGGTGTTCACAATGACGCATAAGCTTGCCATCTCTAAATTAAGGAAAAAATGGAACAATGCAAGAATCTGGGGTAGTTGTTTTAATCCATATTACAATACCTTAATTTCAAATAGAATAAACTCTCAGGTAACCCCATGTTTTCGGAATATTCCTCGCAGAAATTAATTTTTAAAAGAAAAGAAAAAATTAATCCCTGATGTACTCCACTATTAATCTAATAATGAAATAATAAACTAAAAGCCTTATCAATTATAATACATGCAAGGAATCAATAGGCAAGAAAATAATAATTTATTGATTGGATACACGAAAATCACTTGAGATAAACACAAGAGAAAATTGCCGTACAAATTCTTTACTCGTGTCAAACAACTCAACTTACATAGATAATATTTTGAAACGACTGTAAAAGGCACATTTTACGGGATAGTGGAATGCATATATAGTGTGATTTATATCAAACACGTCTATTAATTCTAATAGGAATTCAAATCTGTCTATTTGATCATATTGAGCCTTGTGAAGATATTGTTTTATATTGACAATAAAACCTATTGTTTGTGAGATATTGCACGAATTGTTCCGATTGGTTGTGGGCGAGTTCTTTATTGTATTTGGTTTGATATTATTCTTATTGTCTGGTTGTTCATTTTGGGATATTTACGAAGATGGTTAAGTTTAACCATCTATGCTTGTGGGGATTGTGGGGATTAATTTCATTGCTTTTTTTTTTCTTGCATTGCTTAGTTTTAGTTTTAGTTTTGGGTTATTGATCCACAAAGATCGTAGTACATGACCAATTTGCCATAGTAACAAACCAAAAAGTGTGTGTTAAATCACACAGGGAACACAATAATCGTTTATGCTCTCTTAATTGTGTCAACCATGTTCAAATCGCCAAGTTAGATAGTCAAGACATTACATTTAGCACGATTCCCTCAAGTAAGGGGAATACTGTTTTATATCCCTGTCTATTTGTAGTTTGAGATAGTTGCTCGCAACAATTCACGGAACATTGTCTCCACTACCAAATGGCTATAACCACAAAAAGAAATTGCCCATGATAAAAAGAAATAATAATCACAATACCACCAGAAATTCTCCGCTTATGATTATATGGAGATATTAAAACTGTACTGGATGTATGCCATTGTTTGCTGTTGTGATTCTTCAACCCATTGTGCATACTAATGAACTATCATAATCAATTCGACAAGCCTTAAACGACATACAAAACTAAACTCTATATAAAGACAATCATGTCCATGTCTTAATTCAATTTTTAAATCGATTTTTTTATATCATTGTTCAAAGATCAAATACGAAAACCAACAACTGCCAAATACAAAATGACTGTTGAAATATACAATCCTGAGAAGAAACAGGCTTCTGAATCTATCATTAGCTTGGAAGAGAAAGCTACTGCTTCTCATATCTCCACTGCTGAGAATCCAGACGTTGATGATTACATTTCCAAATTCTTGGATATGTCCAATACTGCTAGAGCTGAAGATGAAAGAGATAAAACTATGCCTCTTAAAGAATGTCTTAAAACTTTCCCAAAAGCTTGTTTCTGGTCTATTGCTATTTCCACTGCTATTATTATGGAAGGTTACGATACCAACTTGCTTGCTTCCTTTTATGCTTATCAAGGTTTTGCTAAGAAATTCGGTAAATATTACCCAGATCTTGGTGAATACCAAATCCCAGCTAAAGACCAACTTGGTTTGTCTATGTGTTACCAAACCGGTGGTTTGATTGGTGTCTATATTGGTGGTAATTTTGTCGATGTTTGGGGTTATCGTCCAGTTCTTATTCCTGCTTTGATTACTTCTATTGGTTTGATTTTCATGCAATTTTTTGCTCCAAACATCGGTGTCTTGATGGCTGCTTATGTTTTATTGGGTATTAACTGGGGTAGTTATCAAACCACTTGTGTTTCTTATGCTATGGATATTGCTCCAACTACTTTGAGACTTTATCTTACTACTTACATTAACTGTTGCTGGGTCTTTGGTCAATTAATTTCTTCTGGTGTTATTAAAGCTATCCTGAATCTGTCTGATCCACATGCTTATAGAATTGCTTTTGCTATTCAATGGGCTTGGCCATTACCAATTGCTATTCTTGTTTTCCTTGCCCCTGAGTCTCCATATTTCTTGGTTAGAAAGAATAGATTGACTCAAGCTAAACGTGCCCTTACTCGTTTGTTATCACAAAATCAATACATCCCAGACAAAAATATCATTGCTGAAAGTATGTTGACTAAGATTCAAATGACCATCAAAGAAGAAGATGCCATCTCTAAAGGTTCATCTATTCTTGAATGTTTCAAAGGCACAAATTTTAGAAGAACTAGAATTGCTGCTTTCACTTGGTTGATTCAAAACATTACTGGTGCAAGTTTGATGGGTTACTCTACATATTTCTACCAACAAGCTGGTGTTGCCGTTTCCATGTCCTTCACCTTTTCCATCATTCAATACTGTTTGGGTATTGCAGGTACTCTTGGTTCTTGGTTCTTGTCACAAAAATTGGGTCGTTTCCCAATCTACTTTTACGGTTTGTGTGCCATGACTATACTTTTGTTCCTTACTGGTGGTTTAGGATTTGCTGATTCTAAATCCGGTAAAATGGCAACTGGTAGTATGCTTTTGATTTACACTTTTGTGTACGATTTAACTATTGGTCCAATGTGTTATTGTATTGTTGGTGAAATTCCATCTTCTAAATTAAGAGCTAAAACTGTCATGTTGGCAAGAAATTTGTATAACGTTGCTGGTATCATCGTTGCTATTGTTACTCCTTATATGTTGAATCCTACTGAATGGAACTGGAAAGCTAAATCCGCTTTCTTGTGGGCAGGTATTGCTATTGTTTCGGCTACTTGGGTTTATTTTGAATTGCCAGAAACTAAAGGTAGAACATTTGCTGAATTGGATAAATTATTCATTGACAAAGTTCCAGCTAGAAAATTCAAGAGTACTTTCCCAAAGACTTTTGATGCTGGTGAGTTAATGGAAAAAATGGGTAATGAAGGTGTTAAAGCCGTTGTTAACGACACTGAACATGTTGAACATGTTGATCTTGAATCAAAAGCTTAGAATTGGTTCATTTAGATTGATTTTTAGTTTTAATTTTATGACTTTTGTTTTGTTTATATTTTTATAAATTAGCTTATATTGTTTAATAACATAATTATTTGTACTTGATAAGATGTATTTTGTAAAGTTAACCTTATTTTCTTCGAGATTTTGTCCCAATTTTTGAAGAAATTCTACAAAAAGTGTAGTTAACCATTACCAATTAAATTATCCTATAGTAGGTCAACTACTCATTACAGAAACAATAGCACATCCCTAGAGTCATAATTTCGGTGCTTCGTGCCCGAATGGTTTGTTGTGTAAATATTACTCACAATTGTTTGTTTTGCTGTAGCACCAACATCGGGCAGGTAGTGTACCGATGCACGAATATAAATTTTCCCAAAACTTTTTCTCATAACGTCACTTGTGATTCTTCTTCTTGATCAAGTAATACTATCAACCCGTTAAAGAAAAACTACAACTACTAATGGCTACTTATACGGTATCATCAACAAAGTCTTACATGCAGGCTATGCAGCCTATGATAGAAGCATTAGACAGGTTAGATATTAATAGAAAATCCGAAAAAGTGCCAACAATTGACAATGAAAAAGCAAAGATAACCCCTATTGATAAGATACTTGACAAGTTTTCCAATGTATCAATAGACTCATTAGAAAGTATAAGAACTAGTGGTTCAGAAAATTCAGCAATAGTACAAGAAATCGAGAATCAATGTAGTGTAATTAGTAAGAATCGTGGGTTAGATGAAGGAGAAATATTCACATTAATCAAATCATCATTACTACAAAGTCCCACTGATGAGGAGCTTCAATCTTCATTGTTTGATATCTTGGGGTTTGATGAATTTGATTTGATCTCTAAAATTGTTCAGAATAAGAACCTGTTTACTACTAGAGAATCACTGGGATTGATGACAGCAGAAGATCGTGCTCAACAAGTTATTGAAAATCATAGAAGAACTAAATTTCAACCATTGTTACCCAAATCAGCTACACAAAGATACCCCAATGTGTACAAGAATCCTGATGTCGGAAACATGATTTCAATTACTGGGAAGAAATTTGCTTTGCCACAAGGTACTACTAGAGAATCATATGGTACACATGAAGAAATCATAATACCGTATCCTCAAAACCAGAAGAATAAATGGATCTCAGATAAACAATTGGTTAAAATTGCCGATTTAGATTTCTTATGTAAAGGCACATTTAAGAATTATAAAACTTTAAATAAAATGCAAAGTTTGGTATACCCAGTTGCTTATAATACAAATGAAAATATGCTTGTTTGTGCACCTACTGGGGCTGGTAAAACAGATGTGGCCTTGTTGACCATTTTACATACAATCAATCAATTTGTCACTGAAACAGCAAGTGACGATGGATCAATAACAGTAGATATCGATTATAATGAATTCAAGATTGTATATGTGGCCCCATTGAAAGCATTAGCAGCTGAAATTGTTGAAAAATATAGTAAGAAATTAAAGTGGTTGGGTATTAGCGTCCGTGAATTAACTGGTGATATGCAATTAACAAGACTGGAGATCATGTCTACCCAAGTTATAGTAACCACTCCTGAAAAATGGGATGTGGTGACTAGAAAACTGACTGGTGACTCAGAATTGGTTGCTAAAGTCAAGTTGTTAATTATTGATGAAGTTCATTTGTTGCATGAAGATAGAGGTTCTGTTATCGAAACATTAGTTGCTCGTACGTTAAGACAAGTTGAAAGTACTCAACTGATGATTAGAGTTGTCGGTTTATCTGCAACTTTGCCAAACTATATGGATGTGGCAGACTTTCTTGGTGTCAATAGACAAGTGGGTATGTTTTATTTCGATCAAAGTTTTAGACCAGTTCCCTTACAACAGCAGGTGTTGGGTGTAAGAGGTAAAGCAGGATCGAAGTTGGCGAGAGAGAATATTGACAAGATTTCATATGAAAAGTTGGCTGAATATATTAATGAAGGTTTACAAGTTATGGTGTTTGTTCATTCACGTAAGGATACTGTCAACACAGCAAGAACATTTATTCATATGGCTAGAGATCTTGGAGAGCTGCACTTATTTGATTGTTCAGAATCAGATTCATATGAAAAGTTCAGAAGAGAAGCGTCGGGTAAAAACAGAAGCAAAGAGTTGAAAGAATTATTCCAATATGGTTTTGGGGTACATCATGCAGGTATGTTACGTACTGACCGTAATTTGACTGAAAAAATGTTTGAAAGTGGTGCCATCAAAGTATTGTGCTGTACGGCTACTCTTGCTTGGGGTGTGAACTTGCCAGCGGCCGTTGTTATTGTTAAAGGTACACAGGTTTATGATTCCAAAGCGGGTGGATTTGTCGACTTGGGTATTTCTGATGTTATCCAAATTTTCGGTCGTGCTGGTAGACCACAGTATGAGAAATTTGGTACTGGTATTTTATGTACTACCAGTGACAGACTAGACCATTATGTTTCTCTTCTCACACAACAGCATCCTATTGAATCTAAATTTGGTGAAAAATTGATTGATAATTTGAATGCAGAGATATCATTGGGTACAGTTACCAATGTTCATGAGGCTGTTCAATGGTTAGGTTATACATACATGATGGTGCGTATGAAGCAAAACCCACTTGGGTATGGTATTGACTGGAGAGAATTGCAAGAGGATCCAACATTAACAAATAAGAGAAGAGAGTTAGTCATTACTCATGCTAGACGTCTCCACCATTTGCAAATGATCATTTTTGATGAAAACTCCGAAGCATTCACAACAAAGGATTTAGGAAGAATTGCATCGGACTTTTATTTGTTAAGTAATTCTGTGGAAATTTTCAATCAAATGGTAAATCCATTAGCCACTGAAGCTGATATATTGTCAATGATAAGTATGAGTAGTGAATTTGATAGTATTAAGTTTAGAGAGGAAGAATCTAAGGAGTTGAAGCATTTGCTTGAGGAAGATGCTCCGTGTCAAGTTGCTGGTGACGTTGATTCATCTGCAGGTAAAACCAATGTTTTGCTTCAAGCGTTTATTTCCCAAGCAACTATCAAAGATTCAGCTTTGATTTCTGATTCCAATTATGTGGCTCAAAATTCAGCAAGAATTTGCCGTTCACTTTTCTTGATTGCTATGAATAGAAAATGGGGTAAATTAATGAAAATTATGTTATCGTTGTGTAAATCAATTGATAAACGTATTTGGGCATTTGAACATCCAATGACTCAGTTTGATTTACCACAACCTGTTTTGCGAAACATAAGATCAAAGAACCCGTCCATGGATACTCTCCGAGACATGGATGCCGGTGAATTGGGTGATTTGGTTCACAATCAAAAAATGGGAAGCATTTTATACAAACTTATTGGAAAATTCCCAGCTATTGAAATCGATTCAGAGATTTTTCCTATTACAACTAACGTCATGCGTGTTCATGTTGATTTGCAACCAGATTTTCTATGGGATGAAAAATATCATGGTAATGCTCAGATCTTTTGGTTGACCGTTGAAGAATCAGACAAGTCTGAAATTTTGCATGTTGAGAAATTTATTCTTAACCGTAAGCAGATGAAGAGTCCTCATGAAATGGATTTCATGATCCCATTGGCTGATCCATTACCCAATCAAGTGGTTATTCGTGTGGTCTCTGATTTTTGGATCGGTTCAGAAACCGTCCACGCGGTGTCTTTCCAACACTTGATTCGTCCTTCCAATGAAACTATCAAGACTGATTTATTGAGATTACAACCACTTCCAGTTACGGCATTACACAACCCAGATGTCGAAAGCATTTATTCCTCCAAATTTAAATATTTCAATCCGATGCAAACAATGGTATTCCATTCTTTATACAACAGTAATTCAAGCGTTTTTGTTGGTTCACCTACTGGTTCAGGTAAAACAGTCGTTGCTGAATTGGCAATATGGCATGCATTTAATGAATTTCCATCTTCAAAAGTTGTTTATATCGCACCAATGAAGGCATTAGTTCGTGAAAGAGTTGATGATTGGAGAGAACGTATTTGTAAGAATACTGCTCATAGATTAGTTGAATTGACTGGTGACTCTCTTCCTAGTGTTCATGAAGTGAAAGAAGCAGATATTATTATTACCACCCCTGAAAAATTTGATGGTATTTCTCGTAATTGGCAAACCAGAAAATTTGTTCAACAAGTCTCGTTGGTTATTATGGATGAAATTCATTTATTGGCAAGTGATCGTGGTCCAATTTTGGAAATGATTGTCAGTCGTATGAATTATATTTCTTCTCAAACGAAGAAACCTATTAGATTATTGGGTATGTCAACTGCTGTTTCTAATGCATTTGATATGGCTGGATGGTTGGGTGTTAAGAATGGGTTGTTTAATTTCCCACAATCAGTTCGTCCTGTTCCATTACAAATGTATATTGATGGATTTCCTGATAATTTAGCATTTTGTCCATTAATGAAAACCATGAATAAACCTGCATTCATGGCAATTAAACAGCACTCACCAACTAAACCAGTATTGATATTTGTGGCTTCACGTCGTCAAACTAGACTTACTGCTTTAGATCTCATTCATTTATGTGGTATGGAGAGCAATCCTAGAAGATTCTTGAAAATGTCAGATGATGAATTGCATGAAATTTTAGAGAATGTTAAAGATGATACATTGAGATTATCACTTCAATTTGGTATGGGATTGCACCATGCTGGTTTGGTTGAATCAGATCGTCAAATTTCTCACAAGTTGTTTGAACTGGGTAAAATTCAAATTTTAATTGCTACTTCAACTTTAGCTTGGGGTGTGAATTTGCCAGCGCACTTGGTCATTATCAAAGGTACTCAATTTTTTGATGCAAAGATTGAAGGTTATAGAGATATGGACTTGACTGATATTTTGCAAATGATGGGTAGAGCTGGTCGTCCAGCGTATGATACAAGTGGTATTGCCATTGTTTATACCAAAGAATCAAAGAAGGTATTTTATAAACATTTCCTTAATTTGGGATTCCCTGTCGAATCTTCTTTACATAAAGTGTTGGATAACCATATTGGTGCTGAGATTTCTGCCGGTACTATTAAAACTAGACAAGAAGCTATGGATTTCTTAACTTGGACTTTTCTTTATAGAAGAGCTCACAATAATCCAACCTACTATGGTATTGAAGATGTTTCACAATATGGTATTTCTCAATATTTGGCGAAATTAATTGATCTGACGATTGAAAATTTGGTGGAATCCAAGTGTGTTTATACTGGAGGTTCCAATGAATTGCATGCAACTCCATTTTTGGATATATCTTCTTATTATTATCTTTCCCATTTGACAATGAGAAATTTTGTAAAGAATGTGAAACCAGAATTGGAATTTAGAGATTGTTTGAGACTTCTTTGTGAAGCTACAGAATATAATGAATTAGCTACTAGACACGGTGAAGAGTTAATCAATATGGAAATGTCGCAATCCATGAGATATCCAGCAGAAGATTTGAAATATGAATTTATATGGGATCCACATGTTAAAGCATACTTGTTGATTCAAGCATTCATGAGCAGAGTTGAATTGCCAATTGCGGATTATGCTCAAGATACAATTTCCGTTTTAGATCAAGCATTGCGTATCTTACAAGCTTATATTGATGCCGCAGCTGAGTTGGGTTACTTAAAAACGGTTATGTCATTAATTGAATTAATGCAATGTATTAAACAAAGATATTGGTATGACGATGATCCTGTTTCAGCATTACCTGGATTGGATTTGTCACCTAAGAATGAAAAGAAACAAATCACATTAATGGACCTTGGATCTATGAAAACAGGAGCATTATTTAAACTTGCTAATAAATTGCGTGTCAGTGGAACAAAAATCGAAAGAAACTTGAAAGATATAGAAGTTGATGATGAAGAAGCTAAGAAACAATTTGTTAGAATAGCATCACGTTTACCAGTTGGTTCATTTAAAGTTGTTCAAACAGAGAAAGAATTTATCACCATTCAATTAACCCATGATAATTTCCCATTAAATAACGATTTCAAGATGTATTGTCCACATTTCCCAAAACCTCAAAGAGAATCTTGGTTCATTATTGGTCATGATGGGAAAGAGTTACAATTATTAAAGAGAGCTTCACCAAGAATGTTGCATAAGAAAGGAGTAATCGTCTGTGAATTAGACATTCCGGATGATTTGTATGGTAACGAAATCACCATTGAATGTGTTAATGATGCTTTAGCACTTAGATATTCAACTACTTTAAACTTGTTGTAGAGTATAATTTATAGTATATAATAATAACATCAAAATTTTCTATAAAAATTGAGAATCAATCTCATTCTATAATCCCTAACAAACCATAATAATCATATAAAAGAAGAAAAAAAAAGCATATATAGAAAGAAAACTGTGAGTCATTTAATCAACAATGTAAACTCTGGCTTCCCATGGTGTTAAAGTGTTTTCAACTAATTCTGATTGAGAAACGTTGGAAACAATTAATCTGAAATCACCTTTAATCAATGGGTTAAATTTAACTTGATCACCAGACATGTTGAGAACAACATAAGCTTTTGGTGAATCAGCATTTTGTAATTCTTTAACATAGGTGAAAGTTTTTTCATTATCATAATCTAAAATTTCAAATGATCCATAAATGAACAAATCCTTGTATTCTTTTCTTAATTTCAATAATCTTTCATAAAATTGCAATACTGAATTTGGATCCTTTTGTTGAGCTTCAACATTGATTTCTTTATAGTTGTCATTAACTCTCATCCATGGTTTACCTGAAGTAAAACCGGCATTGGCTGAAGAATTCCATTGGACTGGAGATCTAGCATGATCTCTAGCAACTAAGTTGATAACGTCTAATAATTTCTCTTCCTTTTCTTTGAAATCTGGATCATTACCACATTTTTCCTTGAAAGCATTGTAGTAGTTGATGGTGTTGATATCCTTGTATTCTTCAATTGGCCATGATCTTGGTAAATTGGTCATTCCGATTTCTTGACCTTGGTAGATAAACAAAGTACCAGTCAAAGTAGCTTGTAAAGTGGCCAATAATTTACCACTTTTAGCACTGTATTTTCTGTCATCACCAAATCTCGAAATGCATCTAGCATTATCATGGTTCTCAATGAAAACAGTTGACCAAGCATCAGTACCTTTAATGAAATCGCTTTGAATTTGAATGGCTTCTTTGAAATCCTTCAATTTCCAACCCAAGTATCTGAATCTATCTTGGTCATCACTACCTAATTCAACAATATCAAATAAAAACATCATATTCATTTCTTTTCTAGCAGCGCTCACATATTTCAATGCTTCTTCTCTCTTACAATGACCAACCTCACCAACGGTCATAATATCATATTTAGACCAAACTTCTTTGTTCATTTCTTGATGGAATTCGTGGATTCTTGGACCCGTATGAGTATACTTTTCACTTGGTTGATAAATCAGATCTTTAAAGACAATTGGAGCATCGCCAAATGATTGATGTTTGGAATACAAACCAGCAGTATCAATTCTGAAACCATCAACTCCTCTGTCTAACCAAAATTTCAATGCAGAATCATAAATTGCTTTTCTACATTCTTCATTCTCCCAGTTCAAATCAGGTTGACCATTAGCAAATAATCTTAAATAATATTCACCAGTTTTTTCATCATAAGTCCATGCGGAACCAGAGAAATAAGATAACCAGTTGTTTGGTGGTTGTCTGTTACCATCAGCATCATATTTTGGTTTCTTCCAGATATACCAGTCTCTCTTTGGGTTGTCCAATGAAGATCTCGATTCTTTAAACCATTCATGTTCAGCAGAAGTATGATTAAGAACCAGGTCACAGATGATTTTCATGCCTCTTTCGTGGCAACCATCAATTAAATTTTGCATATCTTGCAAAGTACCGAAGTCTGGGTTGATGTCTTCATAATCACTGATATCATAACCCATATCTTCCATTGGAGATTTGTACATTGGACTCAACCAGATAATATCAACTCCTAAATCCTTGAGGTAGTCCAATTCAGTAATAATACCAGGAATATCACCAATACCGTCACCGTTTGAATCCTTAAAAGAAGCTGGCCAGATTTGATAAACAGTGGCATCTTTCCACCAAGTATAGTCAATAGTCATTTGTGAAAAAAATAATTCTAAGAAAAGTAAGTTGTAGAATAGGAACAAGTATTAAAGTTTCTATAATTCTTGAATAAAAAAAAAATACATATTCTTTCTGAAAAATTATTATTTCTCCATCTTTTATATGAAAAATTTCAATCTTTATCGGAAAAATTTCTCGGAATAACTTCTTTAATCATCGGAATAATTATTGGTTCGTTAATGACCCCGTCATTGCGATAATTATTCCGTGTGCACCCACAAAAATAATCGAATGAAGAAAGGAGGCTTAAACATTGAATAAAGCATTAATTTTGGTGTTCTTTCAACATAAGGATGTTCATGCTTAATATTTTTAATGATTTGGAAATGTATTTACAATATGGTATTATACTTCGCTGAATAGATAGTCTAAAGTTGTATTAAAGCATCGATGTTGAATAGTCAACACTGTGAGATGGCCAAAACAATGAAATTCAACTTGTTTTCTGCTAAGGTACACATTCTTGTCATTTTCAGCCTTGTCTTGTGGAGGAGGGGTAAACATAGTGGGGTTGAATCAAAGCAAATGTTGAATATACAATAAAAAAAGAAATGACTAATGTGTGGTATGACGACATAGCAGAAAAAAAAGATTGCGAAGATTAATAATTTCTACATAGGGCGAAACTCAATGTATAACAAATGCCGTGCTCTATACACGATTGTGGATTTATTGCCTTTTGCGTGGACTTTACCTTGCATTCTAGGTATTTTGAACACGCCACTCCTTGATGTGAGCACAATTAATATGAGGTTTCAACAAATCTGCATCTTGCAGAACTGGAGTTGTGTGCTCTGGGGTATATCGTTTAAAAACGTTTGAACAGAGACAATACGGGAAGTTGAAGTAAGGAGCGTTTCCGACCATGTAGGGAATAACAGGAACCTTATTGTAATGAAATACCAAAGGTATATCCAAAAGAGTAATAAATGCACCAATGAGTTAATAGCCTTAAAAACTAGTCTTTGCATCTTTGTGGTGGAAATATTCTCCCACGAAATATTCCGGGGTCGGACAGAAATAGCCATGTAAGACACAAAACTTTCATCACACAATCCCGCCAGATTTCTCGGCGAATCTATCGGAAATTCTTCATCCAGAAATAGAATCCCATGGGGTGCTAATTTTTAAGTTGATGTTTTCTAAAAAAAATTAGTCACACCAAATGAAAACCTAATAATTGCGTGAATAAGTATTTTAGTAAAACGATGTTCAAATGTTTCACCTTATTCTACTTGGCATAGTTGAATTGAGATTTCAAAGTCCGTGTTGGTGACTATGCTTTAGGGATAAAAGTACTAAGTCGCCTTTATATTCAAGAATTCGTGACAAATTGACAGTAAAAAAATACGCATCAGAACTCTTACGTTTTATTCGACTGTTACTTATACTATGCATACTGATCTTCCTAAAAATCACTTGCACCCAATTGCATGGTAATACAAATTATCTCCCCACCAATGTTGATTTTCGAATTTCAACTCTGGGGTATATTCGAGCTGATGCATGTATTGTGTTTTGTGATGTTGATCCTTATGGTAGGGCGAAATCGGAGAAAATAATATTCCGAGAATTAAAGAGATTTTTTTTTTCTTTTTCAGAAAAAAAATAATACATCAACGAATATTATTATTCCTGGTACGAGAAAGCTGGACATACTAAAAATAATAATTACGAGTAATATAATAACTCTGGATCAAATCAAACAGAATATCTCTGACTCTACACCTGATTGATCCATGGCACAGGTATCATAGTAGGTTGTTTTCATCTATCACCTGTCATTCCCTGCTAAATACCTTTAGTATATTTCAAGATAAATTTTTAAAAATTGACTAACTAACCCCTGTGAATTATTGCGACAATAATTCCGCTGTTGCAAAATCGTCGCAATAATTCTCGGAATAATTACAAGCGCGATTCTTTGTGGCGTGTTTCTTTTATTTCTAGTATGAGATAAAGGATCAACCCAACCAACAAACCAAAAAAAAAAAGAAAAGTCATACAGCAATGAAAATTTTTCTAACTAAATTGAATGCACAACTGCAAAAAGAAGGAAATTAAATCACACATTGTACACGCCTTCTGATCCTTTTAGGCAGAAGCAGAAATTATTGTATGTTATACATTTATTAAACAACAAAAAAATAAATTGATATATAGGTTACTCATCGTAGTATAAATAATAGATCAAATTTCCGTCTTTTGCAATAACAAGAAGCTGGTCTTCTATTTGTTTATCATTCACATTCTCAAATACAAATAAAGAATATAAAACAATCTATTAAAAATGTCTGACGAAGGTTCATCAACTCCAAAGTCGAAAAGTATGGAGCCTACTGCATCCATTTCGAGTATAGAAATTAAAGGTGATGCCGATCATATCGAAGCTGCTAGTTTTGGTAGTGGTAGTGGTGAAAATGTTGATGATTATATCAACAAATTCTTGGATATGTCCAATGAAGCTAGAGATGAAGATCAAAGAGATAAAAATATGACTCTTTCTGAAGGTCTTAAAATGTTCCCAAAGGCTTGTTTCTGGTCTGTCGTCTTATCTGCTGCTATTATTATGGAAGGTTACGATACCAACTTGCTTGCAAGTTTCTATGCTTATGAAGGGTTTGCAAGAAAATTCGGTAAATATTATCCTGACTTGGACCAATACCAAGTTCCTGCTAAGGATCAACTTGGTTTGTCTATGTGTTACCAAACTGGTGCCTTGGTTGGTGTTTATATTGGTGGTGTCTTGCCTGATAGAATTGGTTACAAACGTACTATTATTCCTGCTTTGATGGTTACTATTGGTTTGATTTTCATCCAATTCTTTGCCCCTAATGTCGATGTATTGATGGTTTCATTTGTCTTGTTGGGTATCAACTGGGGTAGTTATCAAACCATGTGTGTTGCCTATGCTATGGATATTTCACCAACCCCATTACGTATTTATCTTACTACTTTTGTCAACTGTTGTTGGGTCATTGGCCAATTGATTTCTTCTGGTGTCTTGAAAGGTATTTCCGGTCTGACTGATCCTAATGCTTGGAGAATCGGTATTGCCATTCAATGGGCTTTCCCAGTACCTATCATTATTGCTACTGCACTTGCTCCAGAGCTGCCTTGGTTCTTGGCTCGTACTGGTCAATTTGAAAAAGCTAAGCGTTCATTAACCCGTTTATTATCTGACAACAAAAACATGCCAAGTAAAGATATCATTGCTCAAAGTATGTTGGTTAAAATTCAAATGACCATCAAAGAAGAAGAAGCTCTTGCCACCAGTGGTTCTATCATTGAATGTTTCAAGGGTTCCAACTGGAGAAGAACTAGAATTGCTGCTATTGTGTGGTTGATTCAAAACATTACTGGTTCAAGTTTGATGGGTTACTCTACTTATTTCTACCAAAATGCCGGTGTTGACGTCTCCATGTCTTTCACTTTCTCAATTATTCAGTACTGTTTAGGTATTGCTGGTACCATTGGTTCTTGGTTCTTGTCTCAGAGATTGGGTCGTTTTGAAATTTACTTCTACGGTTTGATCAGTATTGTTGTCTTGTTGACTCTTACTGGTGGTTTGGGTTGCTCCAATTCCAAATCTCTTAGTATGGGTGTTGGTAGTATGCTTATGATTTACACTTTTGTGTACGATTTAACCATCGGTCCGATGTGTTACTGTATTGTTGGTGAGATGCCATCTGCACAATTGAGATCCAAAACAGTTATGATTGCAAGAAATATTTTCAATATTGCTGGTATTGTTGTTGCAATTGTTACTCCATATATGTTGAACCCAACAGAATGGAACTGGAAAGCCAAGGCTGCATTCTTATGGGCTGGTCTTGCACTCTTATCTGCCATCTGGGTTTACTTTGAATTGCCAGAAACTAAGGGTAGAACATTCGCAGAAATTGATAAATTATTCCAAGAAGGTGTTCCAGCTAGAAAATTCAAACATACTATTCCAAAGACTTTCGATAGTGGTGAAATGATGGAAAAATTGGGTGATAATGGTGTTAAAGCCGCTGCTCAAAATGTTGAAGATATCGAAAATGTTTCCATTGCTGAAAAAGCTTAATTGGAAATGAAAGGTAAATTAGAGATATAAAAAAAAAATGTTTTAGTTCTTCAGTTCATTTATTGTTTTTATTATATTAGATATTGATTTGCATTATTCTTTTAAATAAAAAGGAAAATGAAGCTTTGGTTATCTTGATTGTTAATGAGTTACGATTACGTATAACAAAAATAAAATTGTTTAGGAATATAGATTCTAGATAGATATATGCATATGATTTGTTTATTTTTAGTTTTACAATTATCCTTTGTAGTTTACTTTGTAACATGGACTTTCACGATGATGATAGAAAAATTTTTTTTACATGGTTTTATTATATTCATGGAATCGAAATTACAAGTCTATAGATTCTCTTCCTAATTCCATACCTATTTACTCAAAGAAATCATCTTGCTCTTCTTTTTGACCATTTTGCTTAGCTTCTGGAGCATCAATTTCTTCAGTAATAACAGCATTTTGTTTCTTAGTTGAATCTAATCTAACAGATTTACCTTGTAATATATCATCAATTGAGAACGGTAATTTATCTTCATCAATTAATTTTTCGACACTTTTTCTAAATTCTCTTCTTCTTTCTTCGGTTTTCTTTAACCCTTTAATTACGTTTGGATCAGTTTGATCTTCATTATTTGGAGATGGATATAATGATATGTATTTTTCAGTCTTTGGGAATAATATCACATACGCCAAATCAATTTCCCCGTGTTTTAATTGTTTTCTGGCTTTTTTAATATCTTTTCTAACTCCAGTTTTAGAAATTTCTTCAAATTCTTTACGTAAATTTTTTAATTTTCTAGTTGCTTTCTTCTTTTCAAAAAATCGAACCATATGATATTTCTTTGATATAATTTTAGCTTTATTTTGAACTTGGGAATTCTTTAATTCAACTTGTAATGCTTTTAGTCCTCTATCATATTCAATTTTTTTATCAGCTGGAAGGTTTGGGTTATTCTTAATTAATCTTTCAATATCTCTTATTTTCTTTTTTATTTTGGCTGAACCTGAACCCATAGATTCAGCAACCTGTATAGACGCTCCCCTTGATGTTTTATGTCTTGGTTTCTTAGCTGTTTTAGCCATTGTTTCTTAATGTTGTGGTATAAGTATGGATAAAGCAAATGGGTGATGAGATGTGAAAACTAAAAAAAAAAAAAATATATAAAATATTAGCGATGATTGAATTTGACCAAATTGTGTGCGACAGTGCAAAATTGGAAAAAAAAAGAAGATGGAAAAAAAAAATCAATCAATTCATTTTATTAATCAACTAAAATATCAACAACTAACTTATAATCACCATGGGTATTTTGGAGAAAATTGCTCAGATTCAAGAAGAATTATCAAGAACTCAAAAGAATAAAGCAACAGAATATCATATTGGTCTTTTGAAAGGGAAATTAGCCCGTTATCGTCGAGAATTATTAGAACCTCAACCAGGTCAAGGTTCTTCGGGTGGAGGTCAAGGTTTTGAAGTGGCCAAAGCTGGGGATGCAAGAGTTTCATTGATTGGGTTTCCATCTGTTGGTAAATCCTCATTCTTATCCAAAGTCACTAATACCAAATCAGAAGCAGCGAACTATGAGTTCACAACTTTAACTTCAGTTGGTGGTATTTTAGAATATAATGGGGCAGAAGTTCAAATTGTTGATTTACCGGGGATTATTAAAGCAGCTTCTCAGGGTAAAGGTAGAGGTAGACAAGTTATTGCAGTTTCTAGAACTTCAGATTTAATTTTAATGGTTTTAGATGCAACTAAAGGTGGGGATCAAAGAGAAATCTTGGAAAATGAATTGGAATCAATGGGTATTAGATTAAATAAAGAACGTCCCAACATTTCCATTAGAATTAAGAAAACCGGTGGTGTTAAAATGAATTCAATTACTCCTCCAAAACATTTGGATGAAAAGATTGTTGCAGCATTGTTGAAAGATTATAAAATTCATAATGCCGATGTATTGATAAGAGATGAAAATGTAACTATTGATGATTTCATTGATGTTATCAATGAACAACATATATCCTATATTAAATGTTTATATGTCTACAACAAGATTGATGCTGTTTCCTTGGAAGAATGTGATAGATTGGCCAGAGAACCAAATACCGTGGTGATGTCATGTGAATTGAATTTGGGTATTGAAGATTTAAAAGAAGAAATATGGCGTCAGTTGGATTTATTAAGATTATATACTAAAAGAAGAGGAGTTCAGCCAAAATTAGATGACCCAATGGTTGTTAGAAACAATAGCACCATTTTGGAAGTTTGTGACTCCATTCATAGAGACATGAAAAATCAATTCAAATATGCGTTGGTCTGGGGTTCAAGTGCTAAACATTCACCACAGAAGTGTGGGTTGAGTCATCCTGTTCATGATGAAGATGTGGTTCAAATTGTTACAAAATAGTTGTGTAGCTCAGTATAATACAAAGAAGCGTGTAAATCGCGTGTGTGCTGTAAAACTTTTTTTTTTCTCCCCCATTTCTTCGTGTTGTCTCAAAACAATCTGGACAACCATCACAGACAACAAGTAACAATGGATAAGTACAGTGATCTACCAGATATCGACCAAGCAGGACAAGAAGTATTTGAATCGTCAGATGTTGAAAGTGAATTAGAATTACCTCGTGAAGTCCCTGCAATTGAACACGTTGACGAAAGTAATATAGACATTCAGCTGTCCAAAGATAAATTTGCCCGTTCTGAAATTCTAGATTCAGTTACATATGATTTCCTGGGAAATGTATCACGACTCAATGGATATCATTTGAACCAGGTTGATGAAACAGTCGAGGAAAAGTTGTCAAGAATATCAAGGGAGTTGGAAGAAATTAAAATACTGGATAAATCCCCAACAACTACAAAACAAGTGTATCACTTTCAAGAATTATTGAATCTGCTTAAAAAACAACAATTACATGATAGTGGTAACCATATCCATCCAGACTATATTAGCATTGATTCCGTATTTGAGAAGATTGTCCCTTCTCAAGAATCAGCCTCTGTAATCTCAACAGAAAATATTCAAAGTCTAGCATCATTGGAAGAAAGATTAAACACAATCGAATTGTCCATTGGCACTGAAAATCCATCAAAACCATTAAATTTAGCAATTAGAGATCTTGATAGAAAAATTTCCATTATAGAAAACCCCGAGTATAATTTTGAAACCATCCAATCAGAAATCAATAAGTTAGATAAGGAATTAGAAACATTGGAAATGAAACGCAAAGTCCTAAACCTTGATGAAGATATTCTCGAGAAGGATACTTTACCCTCAGCTGTTTCTAACTTGGTTAAAATTGATGAAATATATGAAAGACTACCTATTATAAATCAGTATAATTCATTAGCTCCAAAGTTATTATCACGATTGAAGACATTAAGTAAAATTCACCATGATTTAGAAGGTAGTGTGGAATTATCTGGTTCAATTGATCAAGTGTTAAAAGATATTGAATTAGATATGAGAAATTGGGATCAAACACTTAATAAACTTAATGAGAATTTAGTTAATTATGAAAAGAATTTTGATGCTAATTCAAGTAGTATTAATGAACGAGTTAATGATTTGATATTAAAAGTTGAATCGTTATCAACAGATTAGTCACTTACTTTGTGCATTGCTCGCTTAGTTTAGTATTAGTTTGATGCGTGTCGACAATTTTTTTCCATCAATTTCGATCACAGGTTTTAAAAAGGGATATAGAAAGCGAGCACTCGATGTCACTCCGCAATTGACCCAAAAAAAAATTAAATCTATAAATATTTCAACAATTTTCCACCAATTGATTTTTAATTACTAATTTCTTCTTCCTCTTCTTTGAATATTGATTTTTTTTTATTATTATCTTATCATTTTTAACTAACCATTATACATCATACCCAAATGTTAAGAACATCTGCTCGCAACACTGTACGCTTAGCTACTAAATTCGCTAAAGTTTCCCCAATTATTCTTCGTGCCACCCCTGTGAGAACCACCACCATTAGGTTTGCATCTCAATTAGCTCATGTTAAAACTCCACCAAATTTACAAAATGAACCGGTTAAGAATTTCGGGTTTAAAGATACTAAAGATTGGGATTTATTAAGAGCTTCAATTACTAAATTCACTGATGAAGGGGCATTGAAGGTTCCATTAGTTGTTGGAGGTAAGAAAATTTACCGTGAAGAAACCAAACCACAAGTAAATCCAGCTAAACATTCACAAATTTTAGCTGATGTTTCACAAGCCGTACCTGAAGATATTAAAGCTGCTATTGAATCAGCTAAAGCAGCAAAAGCCAAATGGGCTGCTACTCCATGGAGCGACAGAGCAGCTATTTTCTTGAAAGCTGCTGATTTAATTTCTACTAAATATAGATATGATATGTTGGCAGCAACTATGTTGGGACAAGGTAAGAATGTATACCAAGCTGAAATTGATTGTGTTGCTGAATTGATTGATTTTTTCAAATTTAATGTTAAATATGCAGAAGAATTGTATCAGCAACAACCATTGCAAACTTCACCAGGTGTTTGGAATCGTGCTGAATATAGACCATTAGAAGGGTTTGTTTATGCTGTTACCCCATTCAATTTCACTGCCATTGCTGCCAATTTAGTTGGTGCTCCTGCCTTAATGGGTAATACTGTTGTTTGGAAACCTTCTGCTACCGCAGCATTATCAAATTATTTATTATTAACAATTTTGGAGGAAGCTGGCTTACCTGCAGGTGTTATTAATTTCATTCCTGGTGATCCAGTTGAAGTCACTGATATTGTTTTAAATGATAGGGAATTTTCTGCATTGCATTTCACCGGTTCCACTGATGTTTTCAAAAAATTGTATTCACAAATTAGTACTAATGTTGCACAAGATAAATACCGTGATTTCCCAAGAATTGTTGGTGAAACTGGTGGTAAGAATTTCCATTTAATTCATCCAAGTGCTGCTATTAACCATTCTGCATTATCCACATTAAGAGGTGCTTTTGAATATCAAGGTCAAAAATGTTCTGCTACTTCACGAGCATATGTTCCAGAATCTATCTGGCCAGATTTCAAAGATCAATTGGTTGGAGCAGTTTCACAAATTAGTATCGGAAATACATCAAGTGTTGAAAACTTGAATTCATTTATGGGACCAGTTATTCATGAAGAAAGTTTTAATAAATTAGCCAATGCTATTGAAAAGGCTAAACAAGATCCAGAATTAGAAATTATTATTGGTGGGGAACACGACAAAACAAATGGATTTTATGTTCAACCAACTGTAATCAAAACCACCAATCCAAATCATGAATATTTATCAAAAGAATTTTTTGGTCCAATTTTAACAATTTATGTATATCCAGACGGTGAATATGAACAAATTATAGAAAGTATTGATACTGTTACTAAATATGGATTAACAGGATCTGTATTTGCAAGAGATAGAGAAGCTATTAGAAAAGCTGAAGAAAATTTAAGATATTCTGCAGGTAATTTCTATATTAATGATAAATCAACCGGTGCTGTTGTTGGTCAACAATGGTTTGGTGGTGCCAGAGGATCTGGTACTAATGACAAAGCAGGTAGTGGTAATATTTTATCAAGGTTTGTGTCTGTTAGAAATGTTAAAGAAAATTTCTACGAATTGTCAGATTTTAAATACCCATCAAACTATCAATAGTTATGTCATGAAAATGTATTAATTAATATAATGTAAATAATCATAAACAGAAAACAAAAAAATACAAGATAGTAACTTATAGAAAGTAAAATAGAAATTGCAATTAATTTTTTGCGCCATAATTATAATCATATTGATAACCGCCCCATTGTTGCAGAGGTGGTGGACCTTGAGGAGGAGGACCAGGTTGAGGAGGAGGATAGCCATAATTCATCTGTGGAGGACGAGGTGGTTGTGGTGGAGGGGGAGCAGAAGAAGTACCAACGGTACCACGAGGAAATACTCTACCTAAACCACCACAAACGGGACATAAATCAGTATCAAATAAAATATGAATCATACCTTCACCTCTACAATTACCACATAATAATCCACCTAATTCAGGAGAACCAGGTGGGACCCTTCTAGCGGGTACTCCATTATTAAACCCACCACCAGGAGCAGAAATATAAGTCGTTGAACCGAAAAATGAAGGTTGATATGCTGAATTTACATATGAAGAATTATTTCTTGGACCAAATTGACTCCAACAATTTTGACACGTTAACCCATTTTTAAATTTATAACCAGTATTACCACATTTTGAGCAATAAAATCGTTTAGGATAACTAAATGGAAGGTTTTTTTGATTTGGATTATATGCATGATCCTTTAAATAAAACCTGTCCCAACATGCTCGGCATATTTGTTTTGGTGATTTATAACCTGAATTTTTACATTTTTTACAATAATAACCTCGTGTGTAACTAAATGGCAAGTTTGTATTATTTGTGTAAAGATCTGAAGATTTAAATTGAGATTCATTTGATCTTCTTGATGATGATGATGAAATGGCCGACGTAGAAGAAGTTGTTCGACGTTCTGGTGGTCTATCATATGGTACATTCAAATGAGTCACGGGTGATAAACTTGGATGTAATGGAGGTGGAGAAGGTGATAATGATGGTGGTGGACGACGTTGAGTTTGTCTTCGTTGAGGAAGTGGGGGTCCATGATCTATAGATGAAGATGTCTCTTCTACTAATGTGTCCTTAATTGCATCATCATATGAAGGAGGAGGAGGAACGTCATCGTCAGATTGAGGACGATTGGTTAATGGCATGGTTAGTGTTTTTGAATGAAAGTTAATGAAAAAGAACCTATCGAGGAGAATTAAAAGTTTGAAATTTTTCCCTTTTTGTTTCTCATAAGATTGCAGCGATATGCGGTTGATCCGTAAAGTTTACAAAAACGTGACTTAGAGGAGAAGAAGAACATCAAAGTGAAGAGATAAAGGAATACAAAAGTACAGATCCATATGATGGCCATGCAAACAATGCCTCTATTTAGGCAGATGTCGCAACATCATCGAATACAGGATCCACTTCATGGATCATATCTAAGTCTCATGTCCGAAATCACACAACCTTCCCACGACAACGGGGCTGAGTATGATCGAAACAAAAAAAAAATGATTAAGCTATCGGGATCAATTCTTGAGTTACCCTCGGGTAAGGGAGATTTTTTTTCTCTCCAACAAGCAAACCCACCTCTGGTATGGTAGGCCTACCCATGAACACTGTTTTCTATCAATGACTTGATTGATGTTCTTAAATATGAAGGTTTATACTTTGTTTCTTTTTTTACTTTTTGTATTTTGATTTCCTCATAATATTTGTCCGACTCACGTGATGCGGCGGTTTATACACGACTAAGATTGTTCACTTCCTGTCCACAGCACACGACCGCGAACACTAAAGAGAAAACTTTTTTTTTTTTGTTTAAACCACAACACAGATAAAGATAAATGTAAAACATTCTTGTCTTGTAAAAATCACCAACTTTATTTTACTTTATCTACCAACCACAGAACAAAAAATGATTTGGTTATCTGAAAGACAAAGTATGTTGATTTATTTCAATTATTTTTTTTAGATCTACTAGTGGAGTCACATGACTAACATATTTTTGCTGATATTGTTTAGAATTTGGAGTTGGATTCACAGCGGGAGGAATATTCTTCTTTTTCTTTGGAATTATGACATTTTTTGATTCAGGATTTTTAGCCCTTGGTAATATATTATTCATAATTGGGATAACATTGATAATAGGACCACAAAGAACAATATCATTTTTTAGTAGACCTACTAAATTAAGAGGTAGTTTATGTTTTATAATTGGGATTTTATTAATTTTATTAAAGAGATCATTTATTGGATTTATATTGGAAAGTTTTGGAATTTTAGGATTATTTGGTGATTTTTTCGGTACTATTATTCAATTTTTAAGATCTATTCCTTATATTGGTGATATTTTAAGTCATCCTTTAATTGCTCCAACTATTGATAAATTGGCAGGTATTAGTAATACTTTACCTGTTTAAATCATAGAGACTTGATAAGAAAACCCAATCACAGTTTGATCTTTGATGTTTAATGGTGTATTATAAAGAGAAGGCAAAGAAACAAACTGGACAGCTAGAATAAGTATGTGTATATTAGTTTAATATTTATCTATAATTTATTCCCAAGGGGGATGGAAGTTCCTATAAAGTTGTTTATGGCACTAAGGACAATATCACCTTGTTTTAATGCATAATTTAAATCAATATTAATAATTGGGTTATTTCTAACTGGTGTAGAGTCAAGTATTATATTTGATTCATTAATTATATAATTAACATCTTGATTAAATTGAATTCTGGGTAACCATAATATTGAATTTGGTAATTGACCATTTAAACAATTGACCTGTATCAAATTTGAATTATAAATAATAGAATTATTCTGTGATGATGATGATGATGAGGTAGTATTAGTAGTACTAGCTGCAGTTGAGATTACTATACCTTTAAAATTGTTATAAATTTGTTGTTTATGGAAATTTGAATTATAGGACATAAACAGAACTTTGCCAGACTTGTATAATTCCAATCTGATATTATTCATTAATTCACTAGGATGATAAATCAACCCCACAGGATTATGTTGATCAATTACAGTAGTCATTAATTCATTAACTGGATGGTTTAAATTTTTAGGTAATGATTGAATACATAATTTCCCAATTGGTAATACATAATTGAGAAAAAAATGGAATGGAATTTGTGATAATTTAAAATGATTTAAAGTAGATATACCACACCATGGTTTGATATCAATTAACAGTTGATGTAATTCATTTTCAATTATAATTAATCTGAAATTTGGTAAATTATGTGAATATTTAATGAAAATTGAAATGGCAATTATATATGATATAAATGAACAATGATGATCTATAATTATGTAAACCATCACCTTAAAAATAAGGTGTGAATATGTATAGTGAATGCAGAAATTTTTCAAGATACACTTCAACGGTTTTGTTGTAACATGTAATTAAAGAAAGAAAAAGGTACGGGATTAGAAAAAGGCACCAAATTAAATGAAAGGTACATTTGTTTTTTTGGTACAGTATTGATTATATTCCACGACATATGTCGTATGCGACATATGCACCTGATTTTCGTACCAAAAAAAAATTATCACCAAAATTAAAACAAACCTGAATTTATCGATGAGATGAGATAACCATTCTAACAAGACTATAATTAAAGGATGTCAAGAAGACAGGAGATAAAACAAAAGGAAGAACTTCAAGCAAGATTTCAATTGGCCATAGCGAATAATAATAAAAAAGTTCTAAACTGGTTAAAACCTCATAAAAGCTCCACAGATGAAATCAATACAACAACAACCTCTACAACTAATGAACAAGATGATTCATTTTTAAATTTACAGATAATACCACTGGGGTCAAGTCTAAATATGAAAACCACCGAAAATGTGCAGAAAATTGGAGAATTTTTAACATCTAAAGATATTTCAAAATCAAAACAACTTGCACAACAAGATAATTTAAAGAAACATGGTGGATCTAAACCAATGTTAGCATTAATGAATAGAATGAGAGATTCAAATAGAAAGAATATTCAAAAAACAGCTAATAAGAAGAATATAAGACAAAATAAGAAATTGGAAACAAATAAACAACCAACCGAGGTAAACGACGATGATGAAGAAGAAGATGAAGATGAACGAGATAGTCGAGATATTAGGTCTAGAACTGCTAAAAGGGGTTCTAGTCTTTTATTGGAACAAAAATTAAACAATAATAAAGGCAAAAAGAAAGGTATTCGACCTTTTTAATAGATATATATATAGAGAGAGAGACACGGATATATGAATGTGTACGTATAATGAGGTATGTATGAGATTAGGTATTTTTACATAATATAAACAGTTCTAGGTTTTGAATCACTATACTTGATTGAAACATTAAGTGGAAATACTTTATCGAATATCCAGTAAGTTAGTGATCTTTTTTTTATATATCATTATGAACATCAATATTAATGAGGAAACAACAAAGTAAAACAATGATAATTCTTCAGAGAATGGGAAAATCGGAGTACAATTATTATTTCCTCCCCCTATCTTTCAGTTGTTTATGATATAATTCTTCGTCAATGTTCGTCAGGTAACTTTTATTTTCTTTTTTTTGTTTCGGATCATTATTGTTTTCATTTGAATTATTTCGTCATGGAAACATGTTAATAGTGGAGTAAAGAAAAATAAAACACTTCTCTAAATTGGTGATACTTAACGGGGTTTCATGAAGGAATGCTATTGGACTTTCATTTTATATCCATTGTTCCTCTATTCTGTGTATGAAGAAAAGTTGTCTAGACCACAAAAGGCATGTTCTTATAACACAATATGATGTTCCGCTAAAGACGAAGAAGTTTAACCGAGGAGTACCAAAATATGGCTTTGACGTTATTACACATATTCATATACAGATAATCCAAAACGGATAGTATTAATGGTGATAATGATGGCAAATTTGAATAAGCAAAATAAAGAGACAACGACATTTATTTTAACTAAGGCGTTGGTTATACATATATTCATAACCATTGATACATATATATAAATAATTAATGTACATCAAAAACTGTAAATCATTGATTTTCATTTAAGGAACCTTACACTTTGTTGCATAACCTATCGTACATTAATCAAACTAACACTTTATGTAAATATGGGTTCATGGAAATTGTAAAAGAAATGAAAAACAAAGGTGGCAAATATAACTCATTTTTTATTGATTCTTCATTTGCTTTTCTTTGCCTTGCTTTGCTTTGATGAAGCGGATACTTGTGAATTTATGTTGATAGTACCAACGTATCTATCTAATGAATATATTATACTGTTTGTATATTTTCTATATTTTATTTTGAAGTATATAAATCTAATAATGATGATAATAATAATGACATGTTTGTTAAAAATATCTAATCTAATATTATATACCATAGGTCTAATTTTCTTCTTTTTCAATAGTAACTATCCTCGATTTATGAACTTCGTTATTATCATTAAAATCAAGATGATGGTTTTTTGCACCCATTTTAGTCTTATCTTCATTATCATCATCTTTTAATAATGAATTAACAGATACTTTCTTATTTTCAGGAACACAAATTTCTGACTTCAAATTAGGTGATTCGGTTAATGATCTTTGCTCTCTATCTTGTGCACCACTGGCGTTTCCATTCATAGGGGTCCAGGATTTCGAATTATCATTATTAAGTATACTTTTCCCATTTTTAATAACAATCTCTTCTCTTTTAACTTCTTCTTCTACTTCTTCTTTAACATGTGAATTGGTGATTGAACTTAACGATGGTCGATTGTTATTAATTCCATGTTGATTAGTTGATGCTATGGATGAAATTGATGATTTATTTGAAAATATTGAAGAGGTATTAGATACTATTGAATTCTTCTTTGAATAAGTATCTTGAATTGTAGATGGAGATTTAATTCCGGATTGATGATTATGATTATGATGTATGTCAAATACTGATGGTCGTAATCTTTCTTGTAATGAACTTGAAAATAATGAAGGTTTTTTAGTAACATTAGGAATATTTAATCCCGATGATGTACTAGGTTGTGACGAAGAAGAGGATACTATATTTGGAGTTGGTGTGGATTCTGCTGTGGTTGATGATAATGCAAGAGGGGATGAATTTCTAGGAATACTATTTGATAACCTTGATGTGGTGTTGCCATTATTATAAGAAGAATGGCTAAGTGAATGTAATAAAGGAGTAGTACTTCTTCTGAACATTTCAGGTGGTGTAGCAGCCATAATTGATGGCTGTGATGATGTTAATGGCAAAGGTACTGAATTTAATGAACTCGATCTATTTAGTTGAGATGGTGGAGGTAAAATAGATTCGGAAGATGATCCTTCATTTGATTTCAGCTGTTGTTGTGGAGTTGTGGTTGGTGGAATAGTTGTCAAAGGATCATATAACAATGAAGGATTTCTTTGTCTTGCAACAGGTCCATTATTGTCATCCCATATTTTTCTAAATTGTAAAGTAGCATTATAACCAGCAGAATTTTGATGAGGTGATTTTGATAATGATTCAAGTTTAACATGATCTGGTGTACAGTCTTGTCTCTTGGTTGGTGGTTCAACGTGTTGTGGAGTTGGTTGTTGAATTTGAGGCGTATTTGAGGCGGAATTTTGAGATGGTTGCAAATTCATCATTTGTGAAATTGGTTGTTGTGGCAGAGGCAGTGGGAATTGTGAAAAATTAGTAAATTGAGTAACACCAGATGGAACTGGCGGTGCTGCTGCTTGTGGTGGTGGTTGTGGGACTGGTTGTGGTTGAGACTGAGGTGGGATAATTGATCCAGGATATTGGAAATAAGGTTGTCCATATACAAATTGAGGAGTTGGTAATTGTTGTTGATTTGCAGCATGCGGTGGCGGTAATGGAGGAGGAACAGGTTGAGGTTGATTATTATAATACATGAAAGGTTGTGGTGGTGGAGGTGGTGGCTGCTGTTGTTGGAAATTCATATTTAAATTATAAGGGTCATAAGTTATATTTTGTTGAGGGATAGGATATTCCTGATACATAGGTTGTTGAGGTACAGGATGAACATGATTTTGTAATGTTAAGGTTTCATTATAACTATTATTCCTTGATCCACTACTACTATTTGAACTTGATCTTCTTTTAATTAAGGCTAATGATTTCTCATCACCTTTTTTGAATTTCCCACTCAGATGTTTAAATTCCCATATTGGAGGTACATCTTTATTATTATGAGCTCCGCCAGCATTATTCTGGTGCTGATGAACAATATTCATTGAATAAGGTGAATTAATATGATTAATAGATAATGCTGACGAAGATGAGGATGAATTATGTGGGTCACTAACTTTATGAAATCCATACATATGTAATTGACGCACAAAACTTGCAACATTTCCATGCTTAAAATACCTTGTTAAACAATTTGCAAACTCTTTACCTGGATATAAAGCAAATGTATTACCTTCAACATTGTTTGTTGTCCACCAAATCAAATGGGATAAATTTGGATCATTCAACATGGTATATAGTTTATGCACAAATGCATTCTTTTTAACTCTTGGATCACCAGGATTGTTGGTACTGTTGCTTTTCTTACTCATTTCTTTTTTGCAATCTTGGGAATAATTATGGGTAACGGAATAATTTGATCAGAATAACTTGGTAATTGTTTGGGTGGTCGTGGTGGTGGTACCTTATTCGTGATTAAATAATAATGTGGGACAAAATAAAAAGGGGGAACAAAAAAAAAAAATCGGAGAATAAGGGGAAACTAATTCTTTTTCAATATAAACAATCACAAATACAATTTAATGAAATAAAAAAAAATGGAATCAAATGTTATTTCAGATATGACGTTGAAGATCTTCGTTTACTTGTCTGTTAATCAAATAAAAATATCTAGCAATTTGAAGATGAATATGTAAATTTAAAATAAAAATAAAACACACACTAGGAATTCTTCTTACTTTTCTTAATGTATATACATGAAAAGTGTGTATCTTTAGAATACTAATAAACGATAGTATAATGACCAATCTAATAATGAAGTTAAAGAAAATACAAAATCTTGTTCACTAATGATTCGTCTTCTTTTATATGGGGAAATTTAAAATTCTTCAATAAAACAAGCCAAAGGAATAGATGGGATTGAATTTATTTAGTTAAATATTCTTCTTCCTGTTGTTGTTGTTCTTATTCCTTTTTGTAAAAATAAAACTTAGGGATTCTTAATTAATTAAATATGAAACCTGAATAATTAAATAAGTAAAATAAACGAACAACTTATTCTTCTCAAAAGTTTAAAATAAACAAATAAAACTTTCCCTCAGTTTATTTTATTCTATTATATTTTTGCTTTGTATATTTCAAAAAACAAGAATGATTTAAATGAATGAATTAACAAGGGCCCTCTTTGTTTTCTTTTAAACTAAACTTGTAAAATATGTTTACGTAGTATTGTCCTTCTTTAAACTTCAATATAAAAAAAAAGGTGTGAAAGTGTTTTGAAGAATATGAAAGGGAAAAGTTTAAGCAAACAAACAAAGGGAAGATAGTTTATTCTTTATTGAGTTTCGTATTGAAAGATGAATCAGTTGGGTCGTTGTGTTTGCAAATGAATCTTTCTGTTTTTGGGTATGCAAATATAAACTGGCGGTTGCAATGAAATGAAATGAATAAATAAGGAAGGAACTAGTTTGATAATTGACAAAATCAATGTCAAATGTCAGATAAAAAATTTGTGATAATATGAAATACTTTCCCTCAAAAATAAAAATTTAAGAATAGAATAACTTCAGACAATGACAGGAATACTGTTACACTAATTAGTCTTGAAAGTAAGTTATTTAAATAGTCAATAAATATCAACTCGGATTCGATATTGACCTGTACAATTTAGGAGCAATTGTTGGTGACAAGTAGGGTATAAGAATATGGCTAGTGTTTGATTTGTTTTGCTTTAGGTATAGCCGAGGAGGAGTTGTAGATTTGATAGTAATCAAGGTTGTTTATATAACCAAATAGAAACTTGTCAAGCAAGCAAATTGAAATGAAATAAAGTAGAAATGCAGGTGAATAATATAAACTACAAAAAAATTTATCAAAGATTTAGAAAAAAAAAAAAAAAAAAACCAAAAAAAAACTTTTTTTACAATCAAAAAATCTTGTATTTATATTTATCAGTATTTATGAATATGTAGACTTTTTCTATTCTTTTCTTTTCTTTTTAAATGTTGAATGAAAGTTTATTGAAAGGTTACAAAATGCAAGTTCAAATAATATAATATAATGTAATGTAATATAATAAAGCAATTCACATAACCCACATAAGAATAATAAAGTAACAAAAACTAAATAAATTTGGTGGAGTTTATTATTCCAATTATTTTAGACCGAAAATTTTTCACTATCTTATTTTTTTTTGTATTTTTTTATTTTAGTTTTTGGTTTTTGGTTTTTGGCTTTAGTTTTTGGTTTTTGGTTTTAGTGGATTTCTATTATAATGGCTCTCCCTGTTGTGTGTATCTTCCTTCTTCTTCTAATTCTTCTTCTTCTTCCTTACTCTGTTCTTCATGTCAATTGGGTTAAATATTAAAGAATGAAAAAAAAAAAAAATTTTTCACCATGGTTTGTATTAGATTATACATTAAACGATACCAATTAAGAAACACTACATCTGATTTATACTGAGACATATTATTTACAACGGAGAACAACAGTCGTGCTTATCTCTGTGTATACTTGTGGTAAGATTAATAATAATTTATTGCCAACCAACCTATCAATCAATCAGTCAATAATAATTGTTGGACTTTGATAATATTACATTTTATATCTTTCGTTAAAGTTAGGAAAGTTATCTCCTAAAACTGCCGACGTTGCGCCAGGCCAATGTCGTGCAGCAAGAAAATGTCGCACTAACGGTTTTCTACTTTTGTGTTCAAACTAATAACAAGGCTTTGCGCCATTTTGGTTAAAACGCATGTAGGCCCAATACTTATTGTCGTTGTTGTTGTTGACGCCATGAAGTTATTTGTGTTATTCTTGTAGCTGGCCTCAAGTGGGGCGTACACTAAGAGGGTAATATAAAGGGATTTGTTCTATTTTTTATTTTTGTTGTTTGTTTGTCTGTCTGTTTGTTTTCTTCACTAACCACATTAATAACCCGCCGTAAACAATATGTATGTTAGTATCTATTGACGAACGTGATGCTGCTGTTCATCAAGTCGATGATGTCTAACAATGTGAGTTGGATTACAGATTACAAAACCATACCTTTATCGTTTAGATTACACGGAGTATTCATTCGGGACGACCTGACGGGTTTTTCTCTATTTCTTTTTTTTGTTTTATTCATTACTAAGATTTATAAGGTAATATATTATCATAACCAATAATCTTTAGTCCTTATTCTTAATTCTTCTTTCTTTTTGAGGAGGCAACTATATTCGCTTCTGATCTCAATGTACATTGACATATTTCTTGACTATGCTCTTTTTCCTTCTCACCGCTTGATCTCGTCTTAACTTGCCCATTTTCATTTGCCTTTTCCTTCTTTGCTTCTCTCCCCCCTCCCTCTTTGTGCCTCTCTCTATTATGGATCCTTACTCTACTTCACAGACATATCAATTAACAAACACAAAAGAGAAAACTTCGAAATAATTAAAGCGAAAAATAAAATTATTTTTCGTTTTGCATTTACTTGGGAAATAACGTGTATGCATGAATATGCAAATCTAAATTTTTTTGTGCTTGTGCTTTTACTGTACTATTTGTGTTTTGCAATTGGTTTTAGTTTGAGTTTTAGTTTCAAAATTCAACTCCCTTTGTTTGCGGGTCTTCTTTTTTGATTCATTTCCCTACCCGATCCACTTTCCCGATCCCTCTTCTTTGATCTCCCCACTTTTATAAAGGGCGTTAGGCTTCAGTCCTTATAAACAGGCAAACCAAGCCAACAAGTACTATTAATAGTAACAAAGCACAAGCAGTCCGAAGAGGAAAGTGGAGTATTGTTGCTATTATTAAATTTTTTTTTACCTTTCTTCTTCGTGGCTTTAAAAGATTTAAGAACTACAAATTCTTCTATTTGGTAATGGTCAATTGTGCTGGAGGTATGGGTGAGTAAATATAATAGCAAAGTTGTATTCATTACTTATAATGATTAAGTTATTAATTAACCGTTATTATCGGCCTGACACAAGAATTATTATTCACATTAATAGAGCAAAATTTTAATATCTCATACATAATCTAATAAACCTATTTTTCGTATTTTGCATGAATTGTAATAAAAAAAAAGAAAAATATGGTGTGATAATTATGTAAGGTTTAAAAATAATTTCCACAGTTGAAGGAGTAGGAGCAGGAAGAGTATAAAGTACAATAAGTAGTAGACATATCAATTTAGGTAATCCTGTAGATACGTTATCTACGTGCATGCATGGTGTATGACACAAATTGAAAACTAATTTGTTATTTGTTATTGGTTATTGGAAAAGGCTCCATTATTCTTAAGAAAGACAGATGAGACAAAGTTATAATTCCCAAGATCTTGTTTCTCATCTTACATATTTAAACTATCAATATGTATGAATGGATTCCCGGCTTCGATAAAGGAACGGATCTCCATTCTAAAAAAGAAAGGATCAACAACTTCCACATCTATTCGTAATATTATTCTATTATTCTTTTTTTTGTCTTAATTATCAACTTGTTCTTTTTACCCTTGTTGTTGTTGTTCTTATTCTATTACTTTCCAATTGGCATATATATATATATATATATAAATTTCACTTGCATGATGGAAGAACATCAAGGGAAGGAAGCAAACCCTCTTGAATTATTGAACAAACTTTAATTCTCGTCGTTGTAGTGAAGTATAACTTCGATGATGACCTAACTATCTTTCAAAAATACTAACGTAAAGTATTTTTTACTTCTTTTTGTGACTATTCCCAATCCCGTTATAGCTTCGATACAATTTGTGTATGTACTATCAACAATGAATGCCGAATTCTATTTTGCGCGTATGATAATTGAATGAGGAACGGTGGCGGTAAGGTAAAGTATGTGAAAAACATCATGACACTATTGCATGAAGTGATTAACTTTGATTAAAAGCCTATTTGTCCAGATGATTATTTCTTATTTCAAGTTTTATTATTTATCAAGTAATTCCAACAATCGCTGGTAATATCGGTAAATAATAAGCAAATTATTTTGTTGGTTCACGGTATATGCATGAACTAATTACTCAATACAACAAGAGTAACAATAATACTAACATTGTGGATTAATACTGAATTCTTTTTTTTTTATGTATATTATTGGAATTTCGATTATTTAACTCATCATTTATTAATAGTCCATACATTTCATAGTATATGTATAATGTATATCTAATTTTCATGTTCACACTAAAGAGCCCATATTCGCTATCCACATGCCATGTAGATATCCCAAAAAATTACAATCTTGACAAGATCACTGTAACATTTCATCTTAAATGTCGTCTAGAGAATAAATCAGCCTTTTCCCGCTCAAAACTGACATACATAATTCACGTAAACCAAACCCAATTAAGGGTTCGTGTAAATTCTCGGTAGTGTAATAATAAAACACTGCCAATTACAGTTTAGGTATTTAAAATCCAAAATTGGAATAGTATACACTTTGTTTTACTGTTTCTTGGTTAGGTATTATTTATACATATCACGATATTGTTTGAAATAACCATAAAGTTTCTATTGTTGTTATTATTATCTTATAACGAATTTATAATTTGCAGCTATTTTTATTGTTATTTTAATTGTTATTTTTATTGTTAATATTATTATCATTACTATTATTATTATTTATATTTTCTTAGTGACAAATTTGGATTTTTGTGATAATAATATTATCTTCTCCAGTACTAATAGGATTCTTTCCCCAGTTTTCCTCTTCTTCTATTAAGCCTTTCAAGTTATCTTTTTGGAAAATCACCACAGGAAATACTGACGGATATTATTAACCGCTGTATGTATAACCATCGATTAAATACATATAAAAAAAATGTACTCACTGTCTATATTGACCCCACTTTCTTACATATTTTTCACTTGCTTTTACTTATTCTACTGCTTTTGTTCTTTTCTCTAAATTATAAACGGTAAGAACGATCCAACCAATCATTCACTCACTTATTCATACTATCTTCATGCAATAAAAATCTTATTCTTCCTTTGTGATCCTTTCTTGATTATTGTTCGGCATTATTGTTAATATTATTGTATTATTATTATTTCTACTTGTTGTTATCAATTAGGAGAAAATAATATTAACGTTTATTCCATGGTGTTTTTTTATTATTATTATTCGTATGATCCTATCTCTTGAGTATTATCCTTCTTTTTTCTTTCGATTACGAATAACTTATTTCTTTCCGCTCGCCATCTTACCCCACACATTTTGATAATAAAATTCGAATATCAAATGTCAATTAGCCTATAAGATGTTATTCTTTTGGTTTAAACATTAATTAAATTGTTCATCGTCTAGTCTATTCTATCCGTATTTCTTTGTTTTTATACCCGAAGAATTAAAAATCTACTCAACACTAAAACTAATCAAAATCGATTTCTATATTTGGTTATATTTCCCACTGGTTAAGATAATGATGATGTCAGAATTATCATAACCATAAACTTTAAATGCATGTGAACCAATTATCACCAATAGTCAATGTTCATTGTTTCTTTCGGTTCTCTCTTGTCTTCAGTTCTGTTCTCTTCTTTTCCCCTTTATTATTACTATCATTATTATTTTTATTGTATGAATAATATCAATACACACAAAGTTATGTAGTTTGATTGTTCTCCAATATTAATTAACCTTCTCACATAAATGTATCAATTATTATTATCTTTCTTTGATGCTGTATTATGCACATACTCAAATTTGGTCTCATAACCAAGGAATAATTACTGTAATTCTTTGTTGAACCATAAAATCGTACAAATCAACTGATGATATTTATTAACAAAATAAATCATCTAAATCAATTGTTACCACTATCATCGAATATTATTAAGAACACAACTTAGATAATCACACGCCGTGCTCGTCGTCGTCGTCGTCTTCTTCTTCTTCTTCTTCTTAACGATACTAATAGTCTTTAATTATTTGTTATTATTACTGTTCATATTACTTTCGTGTCTCACCAGCGTCACGTCAATCGCATTAAACTCCCTACTTTGTAATCAATAATTCAATATCCATCTCATAGATTATTATTCAAATACACGTATTATCGACAATAATGCTAGTTAAACTAGTCAAAGGAATTCTACTCCGTTTCATATTCTTTTGGTCACGTCTACTCCACGTGATTGATTATATAATCAATACAAATCAAACCCCGTCCTAAAAAAAATTTATCAAAAATAATCTATCTTTTAACTTGAAATCAAACAACTACAAATTAAACTAATATACAAATATTATACATCCACACATTCATGACTCTAACACTTAGAATCTACCTTCTTTTTCTAATAACAATTTACCACTCAATATATTAGAAACTTCAATCATATCATTCCAATGAATAGTGTTACCTTTTCTCAATGAAATGTTAGCTTCATTCTTATACAAATGTTCAACATCGGTAAATTCAACAACATCACCATGAATACCAATAACAACATGGGCGTGTTCACCAATGTCTTCGGCACTAAGTTTGCTGTCTTCTTTAGTGTAACATTTATTCCAACCTTCAATAAATTCAAAAGCCTTCAAAGAAAATCTAACAGCCATAACACGATCATTTGCAGTAGGAGTAAAACCTTGTTGAACATGACCTGGAATTGCTGTTCTAGTTTCAAATCTTTTGTTGGCATTTTCTTTAATTATATCAGCAACCAATTCAGTTGAATAAACAGAACTTGCTTGTTCATTTCTAACAAGTAAAGTACCATTGTGATCTTCACCACGATCAGTAGCAAAAACTTTACGTAATAATTCAATATCATCTTGTAATTGTTTCAAATTAATCTTGGTTTCTGGAGTATAAGTAGCCAATGAACCAGTGATCAATCCACAATATGAGGCAACATAACCGGAATGTCCACCTTGAACTTCAACAACAAAAACTCTTCTTCTGGTAGATGAAGCAGATTGTTGAACAGCATCACAATAAGAAACCAATTGATTCAAACAAGTATCAGAACCAAGAGAATATTCAGAACCTGGGACATTATTAGAAACAGTAGCTGGAACAACAACCATTGGAATCTTAAATACTGGGTAGTTTTCCTTTTGTTTAGTCAATTCGTGTAATGAGGTAAAAGCTTCAAAACCACCAACAATAATCAAACCTTGAATATTGTATTTTTGTAAGTTGTAAGCAACTTTACCATAATCTTGAGATGGTAATGATCTATTAGTACCAATTTCAGAACCACCAAGATTATGCCATCCTTCAACATCTAACCAATTCAATTTCTTGATGTGTCCATTAACTAAACCATGGAAACCATCTTGAATAGCATACAAGTTGTGACCACGTGAAAGACTGTATAAAACAAGGGCTCTTGTAGCAGCATTCAACCCTGCAGAGGCGGCACCAACGTGAACAATGGCAACATTCAATCTTTTACTTTCATCAACAAGTTTGTCCTTTCCGTCATCATAAATGGAAATATCACGGAAGTATCTATAAGCATCATAGAAATTGTTGTCTCTCAAACTCATAGCCTTGTCGAAATCCTTGTTTTCAATGGCTTCAGCAACAGCTTTAGTTTGTTTAACAGCATCAACTAATGGAGTTCTAACAATCTTGTGGTTCAAAACACCAATCATTGGAGATGGGGTTTCTGGGGTGTTTTCCAAAACAGCTTTAATGGCTTCAACCCCTTGTAAAGTAGCCAATCTTCTATCATAAGCGACAGCAGTACCACCTCTTTGAACATGACCTAAAATGGTGTTTCTGGTATCTAAACCTAAATCAACCATCACTTTTTTAACTTCTTCAGAAGTAATTGGGTTCAATTCATCATCAATGGCACCTTCAGCAACAATAACAGTGGTCTTTCTTCTACCATTAGCTCTGTGTCTTAAACAAACTTCTTTCAATTGTTCTTTCCACAAGCCAGCTTTTGGTGGTCTTTCTGGAATGAAAATAAAATCAGCACCAGTGGCAATACCAGACATCAAGGCTAACCAACCACAATGTCTACCCATAACTTCGACAACAAAAGCACGAGAATGGGAAGCAGCAGTGGCACCAATATAATCAACCATCTCAGTGATTCTTTCCAATGATGAAAAAGCACCAATAGTAACATCAGTACCAGACATATCATTATCAATAGAACCAACCAAACCAACAATGGTAAGATGTCTATAAGGAGCAACTTGTTCTGAAGTCAATCTACCGGTATCAACCAATTCTTGAACAAGTGATGGCCATTCACTTCTGAACAAATCAGCCCCAGTTAAGGAACCATCACCACCACAAACAACCAAGGCATCAATACCATTGATAATCATATTATAAGCACCTTGTAATCTACCTTCACGTTGTCTAAATTCCATACATCTGGCAGTACCAATAGAAGTACCACCAAGTGACATATAAGAACGAACATCAGCCCATTCCATCTTTTTCAAAAGATCACCACCTTTAACTAAACCTTCGTAACCTTCGTAAACGGCATAAACATCACATCCATAGTAAATACCAGCTCTGACAACGGCACGAACAGCTGGATTCATACCTGGGGCATCACCACCTGATGTCATAACACCAATCTTTTTCTTGGTCTTTCTGTTTGAAGCAGATTCTTCAACTAATAATTCTTTAGCCAATTCAACTTGCTTTCTTTCAGATAAGATTTTATCACAGGCAATGTCAATATATTCTTCAGCAGATTTGAATGTCTTCTTGCACAATTCATTTTTGGTATTTGAAAAACTAATAATATTGCCAATTGGATCTTCTGTAACAATGATATTATCTCCGATTTTACCAACTTTAACATTAATTTTGTTTAATCTTTCTTCAATTGATTTTAATTCGGTAGTGAAAAATACAAATTGTTTTTGAAGCAAACAAGCTTCAAGGGGTAATAATTCATTTGATAATCTAATCTTGATAACAGTTGATTCAGTCAATTTTTCAGAATTGTCACCATCGTAAACTTCCATTTCTTGCCATGGACGGATATTTCCATTTTCATCAACTTCTTGTAATGGATAAGATTCCAACCAAACTTCTTTTAATGAATCATGAGAAACACCCAATAACAATTTTGGATCATGACTACCTGATGCTGAACCATTGGTTGAAACTCTTGAGAAATTCTTAGTTAATCTAAATCCTAAAGCTGAATAGAATTTGAATGCATCGTTAAATTGTTCAACTACACTGGTAACCAAGGATACATAACTTATCCTATTAATTGAATCTGAACTAGGCATTGTTGATTAATAACAATAGGAAATAATAAATAAAATCAATATAACAAAAAGAATTTAAATATTGGAGGAAATAGAATAAAAAAAAAAGTGAAAATATATAAAAATAAAAAGGAACAACCAAAAAGGTAAAAAAAAAAAAAAGATGAAGAAATCTTCAAATTTAATTGGAATGGATTTTATATTATTTTTATATCTGAATAATAAAAATTTCTCGGGGTTACCTTTTGGGTGTGAACAAGAAGGAGCAATAAAAAAAATCGCTGCAATAAACGTAATCACCAGATGACAATTTTTTTTTTTTTTGGTGAAGAAAGAAAAAAAAAATTCGGGCGACAGTTGATCAGAATGACACGACTCCACCCAACCCAGTGGGAAAAAAATACCATCACCACACTAAACATTCACTTATTGTTACGACTAAAAAAAAAAATAAAATAACACAGACGGATGGTAACAGCACGGGACAGTTCTTAAACTAATAACGTCATGACAATTAATGCTTCCACAAAAACAACACTCAATAATGATCCTGATATTTGATTAGAAACACCTGATTTGATTATACTATTATCTCTGTCTGGATATTGGAAGAAAATATTATATGGTAATCTAGCTTTTGATGTTGATGTTGATAATATACTCTCACTTTCCGTGGTGACGGATGAATTGGAATTTAATGTGGATGAATGTTCCAGTACAATTGTAGATGAGATCAATGAGTTGCTTTTCATTTTTTTATTTCTCCCCTTCTTGGTCTTCTTTGACAATCCGTCCGATGGGTTTTCTCTACCCTTATCTTCCGATCCTGCAAGTTCTTGCTTCTTTTTCACTGGCCGTTTTAATAGATTCGCGGCAGGGATTGTGGTTGTCTTCTCCTCATCTTGTGTCTCACCTTCATTTGTCTCATCATATCCATCTTCTTTATCCGCATTTCCCACGTTTTTTTCACCCGACTTCGTATCTTCATCATGAGCTTCATCGTCATCTTCCTCTTGTTCATAATCATTGTGTTCACCATCTATTATTTCATCAGGAGTATGTCCCCAATTGTCTTCCTCGGCAGACCCTTCTTCCTCCTCATCTCTGTCGTCATCGAAATTTTCCCATTCTTTAATCGGCTTTGTATATGGCTGTTTGGTAGCACTTGCAGGTTTCTCTACAGCACTAGGTTTGGACGGTAAAACGGTAGGCTTGATATATCTCGAATCGGGCCACTTCTTCTTCTTTTCAGCTGGTTGTTCCAATTCAGTTGGTGGAGTACAGAATTTATGTCCTTCATAGATCTCACCTCCTTCAGATGACAAATCTAACCATTTACCATTTCTCAAATGACCATAATTGTAAGAAATCCCATTTGAATAATCGTGCACTTCTAAATTCTTAATGTGCATGGAAAATGGACCTTCGGAAAAGGATGCCACTCCTCCTGCCCAAGCAATTGTACCTTCATCATTCTCATCAGCACTCCATAAACTAAACTTGAGAAACATTGGTGAACATGGCATTCCATGTCGATTTTTTCTTCCCAACATTCGGACAGGTTTATCATTTAAAAACCAGGTAATCAAATCTGGCGTCCATTCAACACTATATTTATGGTATCCACTCAATGGAGATGGATGCATCTGATGATATTTTCCACGATCGTAATTAGAAACATTACCTTTAATGAAAAAATTGGTTTGGAATTCATAAGGATCACTGCCGAAAATCTCTACAACATCAATTTCATCTAAATCGTCACTTTGCAAATAAAACGAACTTATAATCCCCTTTCCTGGCGCTCCTTTAATTTCAACATCAATTTTACCATACATAATATAAAAACTTGATGCCAAAGCAGGATTATCAAATTTATCTAAAATAGTCAATGTCAACCCATCTTCATCAAATCTAACACCTCTTCTAGAACTAGTAATTGTAAAATATTTTGTACCATCAGAAAATGATTCAAACACTTTTCTTCCCAATGCTTCATTACTCACCAAGCAATTTGCATCTTTGTATGGATTACATCTTTTGATTTCATAATCACTTTGATCAGTTTCAAATTCAGATTCATTGTCTTCGTCATCTTCATCATCAGTGTAATCTGCAAAAACTAACTTAAGGAAAAGTAACAAGAAATAAAACACACTTTTCTGCATTTCAATGGTTTGATTAAGACAAGGGTGAATAAATGAAAATTGTTTGATATAATGATGTGTCAAGTTCTTCTGGTTGGTTTATATATTCCTTTTCCTACTTTCCTGATTTTGTTTTCGTTTTTTTTTTTTTTTTGCAACCCATTCTTTCTTTTTGTATTTGGCTGTAAGAAAAAAAAACGCGTCTAACCTGTGGGAACGGAAAGAAAAAAAAAAATTTTTACTTTGGAGAAATATTAAGTAAAAAATAACAGACAACCCAACCAGTGGTTTATTGTTATGCCCAACCAACAGCATCATCAACAAATTTTATTGAAAGAATAAGCAATTAAGAATAAAAACGAAGAATACCTTTTTAAAAATTAGAGAATGTATACCGAAGCTCATAGATTACTACTCACATACATACGTTCAGTACGATACATTGAATCCAGTCATTTGTTGAGATCATTTGCTTTCATTTTGGAACAATTGGAAATTACAGACCGTCCACTGAAAGATTTACTTGATCATTACATTGCTGATATTAATTTGAAAATTTCCCCACAAAGCTTTAAAGTGGAGAGAAAGAATCATGAATTAACAGGGGATTTATACTATATTTTTATCAATACCTTATCGGATGATATAATCATGGAAAGTTCTATTTATTCTACTCCAGAATTGACAGCAATAAAACTTATTATTCATGGTATCGTTGAAGCCGAAAATTATCATTACTACATTCTGAAATCTGGTGCTGAACTGATCATCTCCTCAAATACTTCTAAAACCCTACAGGATTCCGCGGTTATGGTGGATCGTTTGATAGACGATGGTTGGTTTACTAGCACTTTGGATCTGCTGTTATTGTTATCAATTAGAACACTTTGTGAATTGAAACAGTACTTGATTGAAACCTATGGGGTCGATAATAATAGCAAAGTTTTGCTCTGTCCCCAATGTAAAGAAATTGTCACAATCGGCTGGCTTACCCCATCAGAGGAATCCTTTCACAGAAAATGTTACGATGTATATTGCCGAACTAACCGTATTGATGCTGATGAATCCCAATTGGTTAGAATTGGACCAGAACCTTCTACCTTATAAGATCAAAACTATCTAAATATTGTGCTTCAACTTCATCAATTATATCCCAGTATAGTTGTTCAACAACTTGGTCGTTGTATCTGTCACTTAATGGTTTAACTCTTTCTTTGGTAGTTGTAATCGGTGGTGGAGCAAAATCGAAATCTGGGCCAGGATTAAGCTGTACCACTCCATACTGAAATGCCGAAAGCATTGGGTAATATCCTAGACTTCCATCATCAGTATTTCTATAATTTGGATTCAGCTGCTGTCTTGTGTTTGGTCCCAAGTTTATATCTTCTGTATCTTCAAGATTTGTTGGTAAGAATGAATACATATCGGTGATAGACTCTTGTTCAATACCGTTTTTAAATACGCGTATTCTGGATTCAGGAATTATTGGTATATTCTTTGTCTTGTCATCCATTTCAATGATTGCCTTCTCACCAAAAACAGTAACCGGATTAAGCAAATGTTCCATAGTTTTGGTAGTGGTATATTCGTATTGTTCATAATACAAAGCATTCTTATACTTGATAGGAATTTGGTCTCTCAAAATGTTTCCATGTTGGTTAAATTTGACATTATCTTGGATATTCTGTTCAACCTTTTTCTTTTTTCTTCTTTTTTGTTTTTGATCACGTTGAAGGATACTTTTCTCCATAGTAAATTCTTCAATCGCTTTTCTATGTTTTTCAAGTGGTGGTAATTCAACCAAGAACCCAATAACATCGCCAGTACGGAATCCGCCTTCAACACATAATTTTTGTCTTCTACTGATTGTCATGAATTGTCCATCAACATCTCTTAATCCATAACTATATCCATCAAACCCAACAGGTGCTTCTAAACTAGCCTCTTTTCTACTAATTCCTATTCGGACATGACTTTTTTCATCTGCTTTCAAGATTCTAAATTCAAAATAATATGAACCTTCTCTTATACAAACATTTGTCCTTGCTGATCTCCATCCTTGAGATGTGGTAATCGTACTTAAATCTTCACTAAGCAATATCCCTGCTGATCTATCAAATAAACTAGTTCTCACCTCATATGGTTTATCATCAGTTGTGGAATACAAATTGGAGACAAATCCTGGATTTGGTCGACAATGTTTATATTTGAATCCTCGTTTATTAAAAGGAAGATCTTCAATTTGTCCAAATTTAATTCCTTCTATAGTTATAACTTCATTTTGATCAGGAGTTGATGAAGGTGCTAAATCCAGATTTTTAAATGGTACGGGTTTTAATCTTGGATGAATAACAACATTATGTTCCTTTTGTTTTAATTTTGATTTTCGTTGAAGTTCTTCTTCTCTTTTTCGTTCTTTGAATCGTGTTAAATGCGTCTCCTCGGACTGATTGTCCCCAATTGATTCATTTCCTTGAACTTGTGGTTCAATTGATGGCTCTTCTGAAACGTCTTTGTTCATTGGTGTGTCTTAGTAGCTACGTGATGGATCAGAAAAGAAAGTGGTTTCATTAAGAGAAAAATTTCACCAATACAATTTCAATACACTATTGTCGTGCGAAAATCAAACAATTTTGTTGATGAATTAACAATATTATTAAAAACTAAAGCATAAATATTACATACTACTTATTATTACCATACTTTCCACCATTTCTTGTCTCTTTCACTAGCTTTTATTCTATCAGTTGCTCTTCCAGTATCATGCAATAATGCTTCACTCTTAACTAAAACTCTACCTTTGGTGTCTTCAAGAACACTTTCCAACACAATGGTTCTCTTATCATTCTTTTCACTTTCCTTCATCTTTGTTTTAACAACTAAGAATTGATTAGCAAAAGTAGGACGTCTATAGTTTATAGTCAAATTTTCCACTTTAAAATCATCTTTCAAATTAGAAGTTGTAAACTTGGATAATGATGCATTACGTTTATAAGTTTCATTCAACAAAGTAGCAATTATACCTCCATGGACAATAAATGGATATCCACATAATCTATACCCAGCATGAATTATAGCAACACCTTCATCGGTTTCAATATTATGGAATATCACAGGTTTGATTAAAATTCCTCCCGGTTTACTTAAAGTTTGATTGGTTAAAGTAGGTTCACGATATTCCTCTTGGTTTTTAATTTTAGTTTGGTTGTCCAAAATATTTCTATCAAGATTTTCCCAACTCAGTAATTTATACCATTGATGGGAATTTTTAGGATGAGCTAATTGTTGATAAATAGGTAAATTTTTCAATTGATATTCTAATTGCATAGGTAACATCTTAAATTTTGGATCTTTTTCATCTATTTCAGTATATTTTTCATAATAATTAAATAAGGTTTCGTTATATGATAAATAACTTCCAAATAAAAAAAATGCCACTGTAGTTTTCCAATTTATCCATGAACGATTTCTAAATTTAGGAAGATGATCAAATGGAGAATCATAATGTGATCGAGTTGCATAGCTTCTATAAACTTGAAAATGTCTAATTGTAGACCTTCTTGTTTGAGCAAACATTGTCGTGATAATAAGCTTGGTTAAGTGGAGTGGGGTTTAGGATTACTTTTCTGGAAGTATTTTTCTTCCGCATTTTTTCTTTCTCTCTCTTTCTTCCCCGTGGTTATACTTTTCTCTCTAACCACTTTGTTTCTTGTATTACAAGTGGAGAAACTATGATTTTACAATTGAGTTAAACTTAACGAAGGACAAAGCCATCACTGTGATAGGTTTGGTTCATGAGGGTATCTGAATTAAAAAAAAAAAAAAATAATCTTGAAGAACTTTTCTTCCTTTTGTAAGAATTAGTTCAAATCAACAAAAAAAGAAAATGGACGAGATAAGAGTCGAACTCATGACCTTTCCCATGCTAAGGGAACGCGCTACCAACTACGCCACACGCCCGGTTTCTTGTTTTTGTTAACATAGCTTGCTTTTGTTACCATGTTTAATATTCATATATACACGTGATATTAATGGAATAGACCAATAGAAAACACCATTAGTTTGTATCTATTTTATCATTTAAACCGATAGAGATGTTTCTAAAAATAATATTTTACACACTAACTATGTTTTTTCAACAAATCTTAGGATTTTTGAGTTTTTCGATATTTAGTATGTTTTGGTAAAATTCTTGCTGCAAAATATATATATATCAATTACGTTGTTGAATTTTACAAAAAAAAATCCATTAACGGCTTTGCGTAATTATCAATTACCATATTAAAATTTATAATTTATATTAAAAAAGTACAAACGTCTAACCGAACGTATTACTCTTTTCTAAAATACATGCATAAAAAAAGACACTTACAAAAAGTATCTAAAACTAGAACTGAATATGTTTAAAATTTTTTTTATAAGTTCCTTATTTTCCTCCCTTTAAATCAAACATTTCTTTGCAAATCATCCAATTCAATATCTTCAACATTTTGAGCAGCGGCTTTAACACCCTCATCGCCTAATTTTTCCATCATATCACCAGTATCGAAAGTCTTTGGAATAGTATGTTTGAATTTTCTAGCTGGAACACCTTCTTGGAATAATTTATCAATTTCTGCGAATGTTCTACCCTTAGTTTCTGGCAATTCAAAGTAAACCCAGATGGCAGATAAGAGTGCAAGACCAGCCCATAAGAATGCAGCCTTGGCTTTCCAGTTCCATTCTGTTGGGTTCAACATATATGGAGTAACAATTGCAACAACAATACCAGCAATATTGAAAATATTTCTTGCAATCATAACTGTTTTGGATCTCAATTGTGCAGATGGCATCTCACCAACAATACAGTAACACATCGGACCGATGGTTAAATCGTACACAAAAGTGTAAATCATAAGCATACTACCAACACCCATACTAAGAGATTTGGAATTGGAGCAACCCAAACCACCAGTAAGAGTCAACAAGACAACAATACTGATCAAACCGTAGAAGTAAATTTCAAAACGACCCAATCTCTGAGACAAGAACCAAGAACCAGTGGTACCAGCAATACCTAAACAGTACTGAATAATTGAGAAAGTGAAAGACATGGAGACGTCAACACCGGCATTTTGGTAGAAATAAGTAGAGTAACCCATCAAACTTGAACCAGTAATGTTTTGAATCAACCACACAATAGCAGCAATTCTAGTTCTTCTCCAGTTGGAACCCTTGAAACATTCAATGATAGAACCACTGGTGGCAAGAGCTTCTTCTTCTTTGATGGTCATTTGAATTTTAACCAACATACTTTGAGCAATGATATCTTTACTTGGCATGTTTTTGTTGTCAGATAATAAACGGGTTAATGAACGCTTAGCTTTTTCAAATTGACCAGTACGAGCCAAGAACCAAGGCAGCTCTGGAGCAAGTGCAGTAGCAATAATGATAGGTACTGGGAAAGCCCATTGAATGGCAATACCGATTCTCCAAGCATTAGGATCAGTCAGACCGGAAATACCTTTCAAGACACCAGAAGAAATCAATTGGCCAATGACCCAACAACAGTTGACAAAAGTAGTAAGATAAATACGTAATGGGGTTGGTGAAATATCCATAGCATAGGCAACACACATGGTTTGATAACTACCCCAGTTGATACCCAACAAGACAAATGAAACCATCAATACATCGACATTAGGGGCAAAGAATTGGATGAAAATCAAACCAATAGTAACCATCAAAGCAGGAATAATAGTACGTTTGTAACCAATTCTATCAGGCAAGACACCACCAATATAAACACCAACCAAGGCACCAGTTTGGTAACACATAGACAAACCAAGTTGATCCTTAGCAGGAACTTGGTATTGGTCCAAGTCAGGATAATATTTACCGAATTTTCTTGCAAACCCTTCATAAGCATAGAAACTTGCAAGCAAGTTGGTATCGTAACCTTCCATAATAATAGCAGCAGATAAGACGACAGACCAGAAACAAGCCTTTGGGAACATTTTAAGACCTTCAGAAAGAGTCATATTTTTATCTCTTTGATCTTCATCTCTTGCTTCATTGGACATATCCAAGAATTTGTTGATATAATCATCAACATTTTCACCACTACCACTTCCGCTACCACTACATCCTTCTATATGTCCAGTAGAAGCTTTGATTTCGGTTGTATCAATAGATACTTTAGACGACAGCTTCTTCAATGAAGTAGTATAATCGTCTTTATTCATTGTTACTTATCTAGTTTGTTTTGTTTCCTTTCTTTTTTATTGGGAAGATTGATGGAACCAAAAAAAAATATACTTATCAAATTACCGGAAATCTGGTAGCATTTATAGTCTTGATATTGTTTTTTTTTTCTTTTATTAAAGATACTTAACTCAGCATTCTTTGAAAGGCTTTTTGATTTTAGTCACTTCATAGGAAATGCTAAACATAAAGCGACAAATTTTGCGGCCACGTCACGGAACATTTTTCGCAAAAATATTTATTCTGTAAAAAAGGAAAAGTATCATACTATACGGCGTGGTGCAGATGTGCGTCATTTTTACATGGTTACCTGTTAAAGAAGATCCAAAGGATAATATATCCCAAAATTGTACAATGTAATGTGTGCTATATATCGGACCAAGACGGTCAAATAATTAATCCGAAATCACTATGGACCAAAGGCTGTACTTCTGTAAAGATATTTACAATTTGTAAGTTTGAAAAACATTTTTTGAAGTAGTCACGGTTTTGTACCATGGGCCACAAATAGAAAAATGCACACTAAATACTGGCGACGATCGTGTCTATCCATAAGGCGACACTAATTTTGCTCTTACAGTATCCGTATTGACAAAAATTTTAGCATATTCTTATAGGTTGTGTTATACTGATACTGATTCTTAATTTATGCAAAATGTAGAAAAATTTCAAGTTGCAAATATGCATTAATTTAAAGCATTAATATATCCTTAACCGAAGCAGAGTGCCCACTAGCTTGTTGGGTAAGTCATATATGTGACACCTGAATCATCCCACTAAGCAATAAGATACACTAACAAAATATTAAAATTCATAAAGTAGCCGTTCATAATTGAACCCCCCCCCCTTTATTTGGTTTCATGCTGGATAACAATCCTATTGGAAAAGTTTGAAACATGCGTGTGACACCAAAACATGAACTTATACGTATTAAAAAAGAAACCATTCTTCAATTTCATGTTTTCCCCATGGAGAAGGTCAAGCCTGATTTCTACACATGATAATTCACGCGAGTAATGTCCCGAGTAATATACAGAGAATCATTACGAATATCTCTCCAGGACTAATTGTTGAGTTTTTGTAAATGGCCGAGAATCATTGCGCTTTATAAGCCACCCGGAATTTAACTTCCCTTTGTCTTCTGACCCCAGACAATTGAAACCCCCCGGAAACTGGAGATGCACAAAACAGAAATGGTCGGTCGTTCTAGAGAAGCACACATTACTGTCTGTTCAACTTGAATATCCCCAAAGTATGACGTAATACTCTACAGCATCTTCTTTCTCGTTACTCTCTCATGTGTTCAGGAGTGAATGGTACGGCATTTCATAGGTTTAATGCTTAATTAGTATTTTTTTGATCTCCACCACACGACCCCAATGTATTGCCTGACACGAAGCAAAGAGAAAAAATTTTTTTTTTCTTCTTACACGACAATTAATTTTTAGCCATGCCTACTATTTGGAGGATGGAAATTCTCCACTCTTCAATTTTTACTACTTCACCCCCACATTAATTCTTGGATTATAAACTAAAACTTGTGGTAATAATTTATGAGGTGGCTAAATCACTACGTGTAAATTTTAGCTAACTAGCTGCTCAATAGATTGGGTTCTTAATGAGAAGTCTGGCAAAAATAAAAATCTGGGGAGAAAAACCCACCTAGGTACAGAATTATGATGTTTACTTTTGATCAACTTTGATTGAAAACCTCCTGAACAAATACATGAGGAGTAATGATACCTTTATGGTTTTTGAATCATGAAAAGAAAAAAAGGAATTGAAAAAGAAACGAACTATATTGGGCAATTCTTCCGTAGAATTTTCCGAGATTTTTTGCGGGGTGCATATAAAAAGTCGCCAGATCGGTTGATAAATTAAAATAAATTTTTCAATATTCACTTCTTTTCTTTTTATTAATTGATTGAATTTATTGTTCAGATTTCTTTTAGAAATATAACGATATTGTTGATTTTATTACGTTATTTTACAGACCACTTCTTTTTCTTCAGTGATAAAATCATTAAATAATTACAATGACTATTAATCAAACTTGGTGGAAAAATGCCAGCATCTACCAAATCTGGCCTGCTTCTTATAAAGATTCCAATGGTGACGGTATTGGTGATATCCCAGGTATTATTTCCGAATTAGACTACATCAAAGATTTAGGAGTTGATATTATCTGGTTGAGTCCAATGTACAAATCGCCAATGGAAGATATGGGTTATGATATCAGTGATTATGAAGACATCAACCCAGATTTCGGTACTTTGCAAGATATGCAAAATTTAATTGATGGTTGCCACGAAAGAGGCATGAAAATCATTTGTGATTTAGTCATCAACCACACTTCTGCTGACCACGAATGGTTCAAAGAATCAAGATCTTCATTGGACAACCCAAAGAGAGACTGGTATATCTGGAAGAAACCAAAATATGATGCTGATGGTAACAGACAACCACCAAACAACTGGATGTCCTATTTCTCTGGCTCTGCTTGGGAATATGATGAAAAAACCGGTGAATATTACTTGAGATTATTTGCCAAAGGTCAACCTGATTTGAATTGGGAGAGTGAAGAATGTAGAAAAGCAATCTACAATTCAGCTGTTAAATCATGGTTAGATAAAGGTGTCGATGGTTTTAGAATTGATGTTGGTTGTTTGTATTCTAAAGTTCAAACTTTTGAAGACGCTCCAATTGTTTTCAAAGATCTGATCTATCAACCAAGTGGAGATTTGACTGCCAATGGACCAAGAATTCATGAATTCCATCAAGAAATGAACAGAGAAGTTATTTCTAAATATGATGTTATGACTGTTGGTGAAATTTGTCACTGTTCTAAAGAAGAAGCCTTAAAATATGTTGGTGCATCTAGACATGAATTAAACATGATGTTTATTTTCGACGTTGTTGAAGTTGGTTGTGATGAAAGAGATAGATTCAGATACTTGGGTTGGAAATTGAAGGATTTCAAGAAAGCTATTCAAAATCAAAGTGATTTTGTTAAAGGAACTGATGCTTGGTCAACTGTTTTCATTGAAAATCACGATCAACCAAGATGTGTCACTAGATTCGGTAATGACAAGAAATATCATGACAAGAGTGGTAAATTATTAGCAATGTTACAAACTACATTAACTGGTACTTTATTCATCTATCAAGGTCAAGAAATCGGTATGACCAACTTGCCAAGATCATGGTCCATTGAAGAGTACAAGGATATCAACACCATCAACTACTACAATGCTTTTAAAGAGAAGTATGGTAATGATCCAGATTTCAAAGAAAAGGAAGAGAAATTGTTGGACGTTATCAACTTAGTTGCCAGAGATCATGCTAGATCCCCAGTTCAATGGAATTCTTCAGCTAACGGTGGTTTCACTACAGGTAAACCATGGACTAGAGTCAATGATAATTATAAGGAAATCAATGTTGAAGCTCAACAAAAGGATCCAAATTCAATTTTGAAATTCTTCCAAAAAATGTTAAAATTAAGAAAAGAACACAAGAATTTGTTTATTTACGGAAACTTAGAAATCTTAGATTATGACAATGATAAAACTTTTACTTTTGTTAAAGAATTGCCTGATGCTAAAGCTCCAAAAGCTTATGTTGTTCTTAACTTCTCCAATGAACCAGTTAAATATACTCCTTTGATTCCTGGTGAATTCAAATTGATTGTTACTAATGTTAGTGATTCAGAATTGGATGAAGCTACTTTATCTCCATACGAAGGTAGAGTTTATATTGTCGATTAGATTTGGTTATCTTTTTTATTTTACAGAATTTCTTGTTGTATACTTCTAAGTGTATAGAGTTGATGCAATAGTTATAGATACGAATATATGTATATGTTTACTAAAAGTTACTGTTGAAGCAATAAAATTCTGTTGATGAACAACACAAATGTTACTGGAAAACATCCATACACGGGCTAGAATCCAGGGAGTGATAATGATATACGATTTAATCACTACAAATAACAGTTGGTGCATGTAAAGTAAAATAACATTTTGTATTAAATATCAACAAGAATTAAATCTAAACAGATTCTAATTGCAATCTAAAAAAATAAACTAAATAAAACATAAAATCATAAAATAGAAACCCATTTTAAGCTCTTGATTCAACATCAACATGTTCAACATGTTCAGTGTCGTTAACAACGGCTTTAACACCTTCATTACCCATTTTTTCCATTAATTCACCAGCATCAAAAGTCTTTGGGAAAGTAGTTTTGAATTTTCTAGATGGAACACCTTCTGCAAATAATTTATCCAATTCAGCAAATGTTCTACCTCTCGTTTCTGGTAATTCAAAATAAACCCAAGTAGCTGAAGCAATGGCAATACCTGCCCACAAGAAAGCGGATTTAGCTTTCCAGTTCCATTCAGTAGGATTCAACATATAAGGAGTAACAATAGCAACGATGATACCAGCAACGTTATACAAATTTCTTGCCAACATGACAGTTTTAGCTCTTAATTTAGAAGATGGAATTTCACCAACAATACAATAACACATTGGACCGATGGTTAAATCGTACACAAAAGTGTAAATCAAAAGCATACTACCAGTTGCCATGGATGCAGATTTGGATTTAGCACAGCCTAAACCACCAGTAAGGAATAAAAGAACAGTCATAGCACATAAACCGTAAAAGTAGATTGGGAAACGACCTACTCTTTGAGACAAGAACCAAGAACCAAGAGTACCAGCGATACCCAAACAGTATTGAATGATAGAAAAGGTGAATGACATGGAAACGGCAACACCAGCTTGTTGGTAGAAATACGTAGAGTAACCCATCAAACTTGAACCAGTAATATTTTGAATCAACCAAGTGAAAGCAGCAATTCTAGTTCTTCTAAGATTTGTACCTTTGAAACATTCAAGAATAGATGAACCTTCAGATTCAGCATCTTCTTCTTTGATGGTCATTTGAATCTTAGTCAACATACTTTCAGCAATCAAATTTTTGTCTGGGATGTATTTGTTTTCAGACAACAAACGACTAATGGCACGTTTCGCTTGAGTCAATCTATTCTTTCTAACCAAGAAATATGGAGACTCAGGGGCAAGGAAAACAAGAAGAGCAATTGGTAATGGCCAAGCCCATTGAATAGCAAAAGCAATTCTATAAGCATGTGGATCCGTCAGATTCAGGATGGCTTTAATAACACCAGAAGAAATTAACTGACCAAAGACCCAGCAACAGTTAATGTAAGTAGTAAGATAAAGTCTCAAAGTAGTTGGAGCAACATCCATAGCATAAGAAACACAAGTGGTTTGATAACTACCCCAGTTAATACCCAATAAAACATAAGCAGCCATCAAGACACTAATGTTTGGAGCAAAAAATTGCATGAAAATCAAACCAATAGAACTAATCAAAGCAGGAATAAGAACTGGACGATAACCCCAGACATCGACAAAAGTACCACCAATATAGACACCAATCAAACCACCGGTTTGGTAACACATAGACAAACCAAGTTGGTCTTTAGCTGGGATTTGGTATTCACCAAGATCTGGGTAATATTTACCGAATTTCTTAGCAAAACCTTGATAAGCATAAAAGGAAGCAAGCAAGTTGGTATCGTAACCTTCCATAATAATAGCAGTGGAAATAGCAATAGACCAGAAACAAGCTTTTGGGAAAGTTTTAAGACATTCTTTAAGAGGCATAGTTTTATCTCTTTCATCTTCAGCTCTAGCAGTATTGGACATGTCCAAGAATTTGTTGATATAATCATCAACTTCTGCTCTACTATCAACATTTGAAATATGAGCAGTAGTTGCTTTGTCATCATCTATACTGATGATTGATTCTGAAGCCTGTTTCTTTTCAGGACGGTATTCTTCGGTAGTCATTGGTAATAAGAATAGTTATTGAAATAATTGTAGTATTGATTGAATAACAATGTGAATTTCAAACACAAGAGAAGTGGGATATCTTGTGATATTTATATTCCTATTTTTCTATTCAAATGCAGAGCCTAAAACAAAAAAAAAGACAAAATGTTCTATACTGCTCAGCAATAAACTCAAGTGGTAATTCCTACAAATAAGAAGTAAAACCTTCGGTATATCGGGTTACAAAAATTGATGTATTATAACTTTCGGTCTAGTCGAATTTTAAGCGCCAAGATCCGACATAAGTTGGAGTGCATTTTTCCGAAAATTATTGCGACAGCACATACGAGAGCAACAATTACTATTCGAAGTGTATAGCCAATGGTTAGAGAAAAGGTTTCATCAAGTTTACGGCTGAATGGAATAGACAATTCTCAGAATTTAACTGATATCTTACAGTTTATTTCTGTTTTTATTTAATATTTTTTTGCGAGAGGTACATCTATAGGACACCTATTGTACGGGGATACTCATAAAGATAATCTACACACTCTCTGTGCAATAACCAAACAAGAGTTTTTGCCTCACGCCTGGTTCGCAAGGCGTGAGTACTATTGATAAGTGAAGATCACACAGTTTTTACAAGTAGACATTTCCTCTTCCCCACTTTTATCCAGTTTTTCGCTAAAAAAACCTTAAGTTAGTATTTTCAATGAATAATGGTATCTTGCTGAGTCATGCATTAATATCCAATATGCTAAATGACTATGATGAAAGAAATAGTCATTAACGGACTCCGTGACTTTTGTGTAATTCATAACTTGAATCTATCAATGTGATCACGGATAGTTCGAAAAAGAGAAAATTGGGATCCTTGGATTTTGGAACAAGTACACCTAGATTAGTTTAGTTTTAAACTGTTGTAAAAAAAAGAAAAAAATTAGATTAAACCGAGTATCGTTGCGTGGAATTTCAATGTACCCCAGATTAGTCGTTGGTTGTGCTTTATTTCTTTTGTTCATTCGTTGAAATTTAGAATTATGATTGGATGGTTGGTATTTTTTAGTTCTCAGTATATGCATACCCCAGAAATTAATTTTGCATAATCCAAGGAACCGAAAATTACAGACGGTGGGGGGGGGGGGAGGAATGTTACGCAGTAACTGCGCTTGTTCATTCCATATATTGTTGAAACGGTCAATCTAATCAGGTCATTTGTTTTTCTCAGTTGTTGATGTTGGTCATAGTCTCAAAGGTATATTTCCTGCTCGGACAAATGGTTTTTGCGAAACATATAAATTCAATTCTAATCCGAATTTCCAATGCTTGCTCCTTTACTTTCTTCCCCACTGTTCAACTCAATGATAGTCCAAAATTCCAACCACAAAACACGGCTTAATTTTATTTTTAAATTGTTATAATTTCTTGGTGGATCATTATTATGAAAAAAAAAAAATACGTAAAGAAAATGCATCCAAGAAATGAATTTAGCCAATCATGGGAAAGGAACTAGCTTAGTGAACCAGAACTTGGACGACACAAACCAAAGTGGTTCCTTTTCTCTTCTTGGTGCATGTAACTCTTATTAATTTCAAGGTGTGCCCATGTCAAACTGCTACATTCTTATAGACTATATACTACTCTACTTTATCTATAAAAATTTCTTTGTAAATTGAGTCAAGGTCCATTTCTGTTTGCTTAGCTCAACACACCACTTTTATACATTGATTACCCCATAATTTTCAAGAAGGAATGTAGATATTCCGATAATTATTGCGTTTTGCGAGAACCAATTCGGCCGGCATTGTTCCTTTCTTTGTGATTTGTGGGGGAGGGGAAGGAGAGACACGGCAAAGGTTTCCTATTGTTTATACACGCGGAAAAATTCGTCCGAGAAACATTGCGAGCCGCATAATTGTGGGAAGATTTTTCTTTCTTTCTTTCACATCCAAATAAAATAAACAAAATAAACAAGCCAGTTTTTTCATTTGAATATTCAATATTCCCTTTTTTCTTTTTTTTTTTTTTAGTAAAATCTTCGGGATATTATAATCTTTCGACGTTGACATAAAAAAATAACTATAAATATGAATTAAATCAGTTCTTTTTTTGCACAGATCTTTGCTTTTTTTTCTTTTAAGTTAGATCTTTGAAATCTTCATATTTTTTTATCGATTTTATTGAAGTAATAAAAATTTTAAACTTGAAATAATGACTATTGACTATACTTGGTGGAAAGACGCTACAATCTATCAAATCTGGCCAGCTTCTTATAAAGATTCCAATGGTGATGGTATTGGTGATATCCCAGGTATTATTTCCGAATTAGACTACATCAAAGATTTAGGAGTTGATATTATCTGGTTGAGTCCAATGTACAAATCGCCAATGGAAGATATGGGTTATGATATCAGTGATTATGAAGACATCAACCCAGATTTCGGTACTTTGCAAGATATGCAAAATTTAATTGATGGTTGCCACGAAAGAGGCATGAAAATCATTTGTGATTTAGTCATCAACCATACTTCCGATCAACATGAATGGTTCAAAGAATCAAGATCTTCATTGGACAACCCAAAGAGAGACTGGTATATCTGGAAGAAACCAAAATATGATGCTGATGGTAACAGACACCCACCAAACAATTGGAGATCATACTTTTCAGGATCAGCATGGACTTACGATGAAACAACCGGTGAATATTATTTAAGATTATTCGCTAATGGTCAACCAGATTTGAATTGGGAAAATGAAGAATGTAGAAATGCAATTTATGATTCTGCATTGAAATTCTGGTATGATAGAGGAGTTGATGGTTTCAGAATTGATACTGCTGGTTTATATTCAAAAGTTCAAACCTACCCAGATGCACCAATTGAGTTCCCAGATCAAGAATTCCAACCTTGTACACTTTATTCTCATAATGGACCAAGAATCCATGAATTTCATCAAGAAATGTTTGATAAAGTTACTTCTAAATATGATGTTATGACTGTTGGTGAAGTTGGACATTCATCAAGAGAAGATGCTTTAAAATATGTTGGTGCATCTAGACATGAAATGAATATGATGTTTTTATTTGATTTAGTTGATGTTGGTTGTGATGCCAATGATACTTTTAGATATAAAGGTTGGGATTTAAAAGATTTCAAGAAAGCTATTCAAAATCAAAGTGATTTTGTTAAAGGAACTGATGCTTGGTCAACTGTTTTCATTGAAAATCACGATCGTCCAAGATGTGTTACTAGATTTGGTAATGACAAGAAATATCATGACAAGAGTGGTAAATTATTAGCAATGTTACAAACTACATTAACTGGTACTTTATTCATCTATCAAGGTCAAGAAATCGGTATGACCAACTTGCCAAGATCATGGTCCATTGAAGAGTACAAGGATATCAACACTATCAACTACTACAATGCTTTTAAAGAGAAGTATGGTAATGATCCAGATTTCAAAGAAAAGGAAGAGAAATTGTTGGACGTTATCAACTTAGTTGCCAGAGATCATGCTAGATCCCCAGTTCAATGGAATTCTTCAGCTAACGGTGGTTTCACTACAGGTAAACCATGGACTAGAGTCAATGATAATTATAAGGAAATCAATGTTGAAGCTCAACAAAAGGATCCAAATTCAATTTTGAAATTCTATCAAAGTTTGTTAAAATTAAGAAAAGAATATAAAGATTTATTCATTTATGGGGATTTAGAAGTATTAGATTATGATAATGAAAAATTATTTACATTCATTAAGCAATTACCAGATTCCAAGTCACCAAAAGCTTATATTGCCGTTAATATGTCTAATGATCAAGTTAAATTTAATCCAATAGTCGATGGTGATTATAAATTAGTTTCTTGTAATGTTAATCAATCTGAATTTGATGAATCTGTATTGTCTCCTTTTGAAGGTAGAATTTATATTATTAATTAGACATACACACATATATATATATAGAATAAGTAAATGAGTTAAGTTAATAGATTATCAGTTAATGAAATTTGAGTTAGTTTGTTCATGCTTTTAGATATTAAACATTCAGGTATTTGTTCAAGTCTATTATCATCCAATTTTAAAACTCTTAAATTTTTAGGAATTTTCAAACCTTGAACACATTTGATCTTATTTGAATTTAAATTCAAACATATTAAATCTTTAGGTAGTTTAAATTCATCAATATTTATAAGATTCGCTAAATTCAGTAATGTCAAATATTTCAATCCATTAGGTAGTTCAAGATGCGAACAATCAATTGTTAGATAACGACAATTTGAAATTGTTAAATTTGTTAAATTATTAGGAAATCTGAACTCTTCATCAAGTCGAAAACAATTTATTCCATAGACGAATTCAAATTTATTAGGTATCATTCTCTTTAAATCTTCAATTATTGTATCAGTTTTTGAATCTTGACCATTTATTGCTAAATGAGTTAATGAATCGGGAAATGTTGTAGACAAATAAAAATCAAGGGATAATAATGCTTGTGACCATTTGAATGATTTCAAATTGGTGTATTGTTCAATTGAATGCATCTCCCATAAGTAATAACAATTTTCAATTGATAATTTTGTAATTGAAGTTGGTAATTTCAATTGATCCAATGAAACCAATTGATCACATCCAAGTATGGTAATCTCATTCAAGAAAGTATCATTCAAATCAATGACACTATTTTCGTCAAGTAATTCAAACCCTGCCAGAAATTCATATAATTGTTTAAATGGGAATTGCAAATTCAGATGGGATATTCTAATTTTTTCTATTTTCAAACTTTGTAGATTTTCAGGAAATAAATTCAAACTATTTCCATCAACTATAATATCAGTTAACTCCAACGATTCCAAATTATTTAAATCCAACAGTTGTAGAGTGCCATTAAATCTATCTATTTGACCCAGATATTTCAAGCTTTTCAACATAGTTAAATTATCCAATTTCAAATCAGTTAAATCAACATATTGTATCTCCAATCGTGTAACATTATCACATTCTAAATTTATCAAATCATTAACTTGTGTCCAATATCTATCACCTCTTTGAGAATTGCTTTTAGTAAATTTAGCAATTTTAACCGTTACTTCCAGAGCATTATTAATAATTGACGGATACATAATCAAGCATTCTTTAAAACATTCAAATGATTTAAACATTATATTTTTGGGAAAATATCCATTGAATCTCTTTACTATATCTATCAATGAACCAATATTATGAACCAGAAATTCATTTTCGTGGTCGATATCGCAAGAAACTTGAATATTCTTGAAATTTCTACTAGTAGCACCGCCAGCAACAGCAACGGGTCGAATATACCCCACAGGCATTAATTCATCATCTTCATTAGTTTCTAATAATTTATTAATTATAATTGGATTCATTGAACTATTAGATACTATCCATTTTTTCAGATAACATAATTTTTGAATAATAAATGGTTGGAATACCGGTATCGGCATTAGTTTGATCTGACATGAAAATGGTTGAATATAATCTATGATTTGTTCTATGACTTCATCAGGAAGTTGTGATATTCCCCAAAGAGTATCAACTGTCATGACTAATAATAAACACTGTTGGTTGAGACAAACACAAAAAAAAGAGAAAAAGTATAACCACTACAAAAGAGATGAGGTTGGTGAGTTTATATCATGATAAGATAAAAAAAAAAAAAGAAATTTATACCAATTAGCAAGTGCACGTGATCTAATATCATTCATCACAATCTAAAGTTGCATAATCTACACGTGACATAAATCATATGATCAGTCTCATACAATACATAATATATACATTCACAAATAACGTTAAAACACTTTATATATATATAAAAAAAATGACAAAAATGACAAAAGAACTAAAATATTGATCCTATTTTCTTCCAAAATGACTTCTTTTTGGGTTTGGAAGTACTTACATTACCAGTACTTGTATTACTTTTAACACTAATGACTTGACTTTCTCTTCTCTTTTTCTTCTTCATGTCTTGTTTCACTCGTTCTTCTTCATCATCATCCATACTGATCATTGACTTCACTTTATAGAAATCTTTATTATGCAAATTCTCCATGCTTTTTGAATTAGCACATGCATTATCAGATACTGAAATTATTCGTTTTGTAATACTTGTTACAAAATCCGATTCCTCAGATTCTTCAGATTCAATTGATGCTTCATCATCTTCAGCAAATCTAATAGCTGTTGCCGGTTTTGGTCTTCTGGTACCTGTACCAGAATCAGTACAACCAATTTGAATAACTGGACAAATTCCATGTTTTATACAATAACTTGATATTCTTCGTTTACTATTATAAGGAGTATCTTGATTTCCCAACACAACTAAATGAGGTTGATATTGTTTGAATAAATGGAAAATCATATATTTATTGCCTCGCAAGATTTTCCCGGTGCTTATGGTAGTGCATAGCGTGTCATCTTCATCATCATAATCAAGAACAAATTCAACAGTAACTTTAACTTTCAAATCTAGCTTCGTAATATAAGACATTAGATAAGTTAATAAATTGGAACACTTTTGGAATAAATACTCATCAATCGACGCCTTGGATCTCTTTTTGTTGTTTTTCAAATATTTCAATGGGACCAATGCTCCAACTACTAATGCATCACCATCTTGTAGAATACCTTCAAATTGTTCATTTGTAACTAACCAATCTAAAGATTTCCAAGTATGCTTTCTTCCACTGATTATTGTCAATATTGTTCTCTTGTAATCACTCGGAACACTATTATTTGCTTTGGCGGATAAACTAATACATTTGTAATTATTTTCATTAGAAGTTGGATATTCTTGTCTTTTATTCAATTGAGAAACAGATTCTGAAGGTAATGATGTTCTTCTAGATGATGGGGATAAATAATAAGTTTGTTGATTATCAAATTTAAATTTGTTCACATTTGACGTTTTTGAAGTACTATACTGAGGATCAAGTGCCATCAACTCTTCGTCGGTTAAGCCAGCAAGCGATTTTCTTCTTGGTGGATTTGCCCCGTTGTAATCAGGAACATTTCCATTACCAGCAACAGCCGTCAACAATGGAGAAGAATTAGTACTACTTGTAGAACTACTGCCATTTTCCTTCTCTTCATCTAATAGTTCTTCTTCTTTGTGATAATTTATCGTAGCGTCAGCTAGATTATTTTGAAACAAGTCATTATACTCCAATTGTTGAGAACTAACACTATTTTTCAAAATTGATTTCTCAGGAGGGGGAGGTAATCGTAAACGTTTTCTTTTTGAAATGTATGAGTTAGGATTGCTATTCTTACGTCCATAAGCAAATGAAAACTCATCTAAGGAAACAGGATGGGAACTTGAAGATGCAGAAAAAGTATAATTACCATCTGCTGTTGAGTTATCATTGGAACCATAAATTGGACTATTCAAAGGAGAATCGGAGTCGTATGCTGGAGGATTTATATTGTTGAATGAAACGCATCTTGCAAATTCTGGTAAACTCTTGCTATAAGTAGGGGATATATGATTTATATTTCCATTATGCGAATGAGTATGACTAAAAGTAGTTCTTGGAGTTAAAGAATCTTTCTCAGTAGTAGTATTTGTTGAAGTCGAGTTAGAATTGGTAGTGGCAGTTGTTGTTAATAATGTTGTCATCTAATATTTCTAGTATGTGCTTCTGGTTTTTTTTATTATTCCTTATCTCTTGTAATTTATAGATAGTTGATTATAATAGCAAATTAAATGATTTTCAAACTCTTGGAAGTGGTGAGATATTGAATAATGCAAAAGATGTTTAGGGGGAAGAGTGGCTAAATGAATGGTGATATCCAAACTTGGGTGAGTTGATATTGTAGTAGGAAGTATTAATAATAATAATAAAGGAATTTCGAAACTGAAATGTGAAGAAATTTATAATTTCAATTCGTGGGGGTGGGTAGTAATGGGTATTAAATACTAAGCCAACAAAGGGGGAAATAATTAAACGCAAAATTGAAATGAGAATATAAAGTACAATACAATGACAGTTACAAAAAAGAACAAACAGATAAAAACTCTACTCTACTCTAAACGATTACTCTAAATTGGGATAAAGGATTGGTTGGTTAATAACACGTTGTTTGGTGATAATTCAATTCAAAGCAAGAATAAACTAAAAAGGGCAAATAAAAATCCAAAAGAAAATGTAAGAGGAATTTCAGTTAATTTATATTACTTTATATTGTTGGTGATCGACAGAAACTCACTAAAAAAAAGTAACCCAATTTTTTTAGTGAGTTTGTTTGAGTGGTTGAATGGGGAGTGGGCTGCTTATGTAAGAAAACTGAAGTGTTGGGTAGTGTGATAACCAAATATACTTGTTGTACTGTACATAACCATAAGAAATGACTGCCAAGAAATATATATCTATAATTTTTTTTTGGTTGTTCATGCACGATTATCAATTTGATTTTGTTTAACACATTGTACACGACTCCGCACGCGCGTGAGCACGAGCAGGCACTAACTCCAAAAACAGAACTAAAGCTACCAATTGAGATTTTCCACCACTACTATGACTACTAACCAAATGAAACATAAAAGAAAATTATTTTTTTTAAACTCGTAGTATTGATAATTTAAATTTGCATGTACATCTTGTATGTGTGTGTATATTTAATACATATTAGATTACAGAAAGAAAGAAAGAAAGAAAGAAAGTCATACGGTGTTAAAAACAAAAAACCAAACTTACATTACATGGATCATTATTTTTCTTGGTACAATTCCAAACTTACAGTTCACATTTAGATTAAAATACACAGCCTTCTAAGGAACAAACGAACTATTCTATTCATCTAATGATCCATTTCATAACCATATCGATAAGAGTAAACCTCACGCGTGTCAAGCTTTTATTATATTGGCCAGTCCCTATTCTTGCTCTTGAATTAATTTAACTAAATTTTCCATTTCCTTTTTTTTTTTGGCTTGTGCTGATGACGATCGTATATTTCAAGAACTCAACATTAAAGGGGAACTTTTTTTTTCTCTTTTGTAAATCATAAAAATGTTGTTTCGAGAGAGCAAATAAGGTGAAACATACATGTACACACATGTAATACTCTTTCATTCATTTGCTATACTTTTTCTTTTTACATTATTTACAGATATTTATGTATTGCTCTCATGATTCCCCTCTCCCTTGATAGTGGGAAATATTATCGCGGAGTCGTGTTCATGTGCCTCATTTACGACATGCGTGTCCCTGCCAAAATGACATGAAATTGAAAGAACTTGTATTATAAAGTGAGAGGGGGAATACCAACCAATCAATAGCTGTGATGGAATTGTATTGTTTGTTTGATAAAATAATATTCATTTATTTGTACAATCAAGTTCAAAAAGGATATAGAACCTTGTTATCGAGAGTTCTAGATCTACTTTGTTTCCATTGTATTAGACTACAATGATCGTGACATCCCACCACACCCCCCACAGACAATATGAGTGTTGTTTATAATTGCAAACAGACGACTGAATACACAATTCCATTTGTGTTAAATTAATAATAACCCCGATTGATCGCTTTGTCGGTTACATACCTAATTTGTGATACATCACATGTTCGGAAGTTTTATACCAAAATATAATATATACTTTCTCTTATCAAATTAACTACCGCAACATATATAAGCTCAAAGTTTTAGAAATAGTATACTGGGGTGAGATATTTGAATTATTTGTAACACCTGAGTCGTATCACTTTCTTTGCAAATCACAAAAATTTAAGATGCCCCATGTTTTACTATTGAATTATATATAAAAAGAAAATATTAGTTCACTTTCTCTTCAACGGTACACAACAAGCCATTATAGAAAACACCACCCATTTAGCTCGTTCGTTTTACTTCACATTGTACATTGACGACCGATAACTATTGTTTAGAAACAAAAAACAACTCATCCAATTAATTTATAATAGAACGTTTCATTTACAAATTTATTCCAATCAACAATTGATAATGATTTTTTTTTTTCACCGGATCAATAAAGGCACACTTTATTAAACTACTTCTTTTCCTTAACGACAATAAAGATGAGTGGAAAAGAGTCAAAATCTTACAAAGAAAAGTTAGAAGAGCACCCTTGTTTTAATATGCAATGTCGATCGATATTGTTTTTGCCTAAATTCTTATGTTCATGAGGCATTATCATACATTCCACTCCTGACTAATTAAAAAAAAATTCCTCCTGCATTTATCAAGTGCTTTTTTTGATTTTCATACTGTTGGGTATAATATCTCCTAATAGTGTAACAAATTGCTAAGTTGTTCAGCAATTGACGAGTTGGATACATAAGAGAACTGAAACATTCTTGATGATTAATCCCTTCCAATTTGATTCAATTTTGTGACATTACTTCTGGTGAGAACCAGAAACATTAAATTGATTAAATTAACGGTTGCTAATTAATTCTGTAATTTATAGTTAATTGTGTTACTTGAATTGGAATTATGGCCAGATTGAATGTTTTGTGATACACACACACAAGATGCTCTACAGCGCATTCAAAAAATGCAACTTATAAAAAGGAATTTCAAGCTTAGCTGTCCTTGGTAGCTACCAAATAAACTGATACATACCCATAAAGTTTACAGAAAGTTAACGAATCTCATAGGTTTATTCAATATTTGATCTACCCCACGTTTCAGATATCTGAAAAGAAACCTCACTATTGTCTTTGTATGTAGATCAATATAGGATTAGTCTGATCACGCACTTCTATTTCTTTCCCCGGATTGTGCATAAATTTCCTAATAATTGAATCCATTATAATAGGTGGATTTTTCGGTAACCAATTGCTAAAAAACTCAAGTAAATATTGATCAACCAGATATTTCAGACACAGAGATAAGAAACAAATAAGTAAATAATATCATAAAAACAATCGTATTACAAATCATATTCAATTTCTATATCAACTTTATATCATGAATACCTTTAATTCCGATGGAAGTAATGGGATTTGAACCTCAAAATTACATATTCAACTCTGTGTAATTGTACAATTGAAGGCTGTGCTAAACAAAAAGAAAAAAAAAAAAAAGAACAAATCACTAAACCTTTTAACAGGGTATTCCTCTAGGAATCAGCGGAAGATATCTTATATTAAGGAATTGAATCCTCCGATGAGTTTAGTTAACGAAAGCTCTTCTTGATGTTAAGAATGGCTGAGCGAGAGAGTGTGTGTATATGACGTCATGGAAAGCATTGATTATATAATCAACAACATTGAAGTCGTGCGAGTGTTACAAAAAAATAGATTTATAGAACGATAAACCCGGTTATGTTGGAACACGTGATACACTAAACAATCAAAGAAGGAAGGGGGGGGGGGAGTTTTAGTTGTACCACAATTTAAGATTCAGCCTCGTATGATTGTTTATTCATTAATTTACTCGTCATCGAATAGGATTTAGTCCGATTACAAAAGTCATCGATAGTTTATAATGGTGTTTAACAATCAACTGTCTTATCTCCATTAACCGAGGAAACTTCACAGTCTCATCTTGGATTTCCTAATTTGGAATAACATGAAATTTGTCCACTTTTGCTTTGTTGTTTTAAATTGCTTACTTTCTTGCTTGCTATCTGAGAAATCTCAGGTAAACCTCACAAAACACATTTGTAACATCTCTAACAGGAATGGCTGAAAAATTTTTTTTTTCTGTAAAGTAGCATATACTCTTTTTCTTCTTTTTTCATAACCAATTGTTGATTTAATTGGACCAATTATTATGCCATCACAAGCTCATCAAGATTCTTCAATTCCTGAAGATTGGTTTGATCCAATTCCAGTCGAAGATTACTACAAAATCAATCAGAATTCTCGAAACAATGTCCCCAAAGAAGCTCCTTTTGGTGAAAACTTAGCAGGTTTGGATATTTCTTGTGGTCCAATTTTAAGATTATTAGGTACTTGGGAAAATGGTGAACCTAGTTACAGAGGTACCATCTTAGTTGTTGTTAAAAATATTGAAAGAGGTGAACATCCAACAATTTCTTATACAATTGGTCCAAGTGATGAAAAATCTCATGGTGGAGAATTTCAAAAAGGAGAATTCCCAGTTGTTAAATTCTTTGAAGAAGATGGTTATTCATTCTTTAGATATACTATCAATTTAACTATGGTTGATTATGAACAAAAAGTTCAATATTATATTAATGGTCATTATAAACCAAATTTCCAATTTTTCATTCCTAGTGTGACTCAATCAATGAATGTCATTTCTTATTCTTGTAATGGCTTTTCATTGGGTTCAGATGCTAAAGAATATAAATCTTCCCTTTGGTTAGATGTTTTAAATAAACATAGCAAACAACATTATCATGTCATGTTGGGAGGTGGGGATCAAATTTATTGTGATGCTATTAAATTACATTCAGAAAGATTGAAAGAATGGACAGAATTGAATTCTTTAAAGAAAAGACACATGGAAGCTGATGAAGTTATTATTGAAGAATTTAAGAATTTCTATTTGAACCATTATTTGGGTTGGTTTGGTAAAGGTTATTGGAAAGGTACCAATTCATCTGCTTTAGAATCCTTATTTCCATTAACCGCTTCCCAAATTCCTTGTGTTAATATCTACGATGATCATGATATCATTGATGGGTTTGGTTCTTATCATGATTCTACTATGGCTTCTCCAATTTTTTCATCAGTTGGTAATGTAGCTTATAAGTATTATATGCTTTTCCAACATCACACTGATCCAGAAGAGAAAATTCATGAACTGGATCCATCTTGGGTATTGGGATCCAAAAAGGGACCATTTATTAAACAAAAAAACCACTCAGTATTTATGAGATTAGGTAAAGAAATTTCATTATTAGGATTGGATTGTCGTACTGAAAGAAAATTAAAACAAATTGTTGATCCTTCAACTTATAAGAACATTTTTGATCGATTAAATAATGAAATCGCCCAAACTCCAGATACTAAACATTTATTAGTTATGTTGGGAGTTCCAATTTTTTATCCACGTTTAGTTTGGTTGGAATGGATTTTAACTTCTCGAGCATTAGTTCCAGTTCGTAAATTGGCTCAAAAGGGGGTTATTAGTAAAGGTTTAGTTAATGAATTTGATGGAGATGTTGAAGTTTTAGATGATTTGAATGATCATTGGTGTTCTAATCATCATAAAGCTGAACGTAATAGATTAATTAAACAACTTATGGAATTTGGAGCCTCAAAAGGAGTTAGAATAACTATTTTATCTGGTGATGTTCATTTAGGTTGTTTTGGACGTATGAAATCAAAATTCCATAAGCATCCAAATGCTCATTATTATTTAGAAGGCCAGGATACTCAAGAATTAAATAAGGATGTTTGTGAAACTCCTGAATTTGATCCTCGTTTAATATTTAATGTCATTAGTTCTGCAATTGTCAATGCTCCTCCACCTGATGCCATGGCTGGATTATTAAATAAAAGAAGTAGTATTCATCATTTCAATAGAGATACTGATGAAGATATGGTTCCAATTTTTATTAAAGATGTTGATGGTTCAAGTCGTGACAATAAACAATTCTTAAATAAAAGAAATTGGAGTGATTTAGTTATTGGTAAACAATCTATTCTTTATCAAGATTCAATTAATCAAGATGATCCATTCAGAAAATTCCCACAACCTATTTTTAAACAAGGCGAAGATTTAATGGATGGTAAAAAATCTGATTCTAGAAATGTTAAATATCCATTATTTGGTGAGTCTTTGGTTACTAATATAAGATTTGAACAAGATAAAGAAGATTATAAAAGTCCTAGTATAAGTTATGAAGTGTTCATTCCTCCATTAATAGGTAAATATACTTTAGGTCCAGCTCCAGTTAAACATGTTGATGTTTGATACTTGCCCCCTCCAAAAAAAAAAAAGTCCATTACTTTTAATATCTTCTTTTTTATTCTTGTTTGTTGTATAATTATGATTACTAATATATGTGAATTTCATTTTATATTTCTATACAAGTTCTATAGTTATTTGCTAGTGAAGAATTCGCCCCAGATGATTTCATTAGGCATATCATGTAATAATTCAAAGGTTTCTTTCCCTTCACGAGAATTAGCAGGAGAAACAACGGGATTATGAAGCTCCTGTTGTTGATGATGTTGATCAGCTTGATTTAATTCTTTGAAAAAAGATTCAACATCTTGATCATTCCATTGAATCACAATTGGAGGTGGTGATAAATCACTATTCATACTAAATTCTTCATAATCTTTATTAATTTTATTATTAGATGAATTAATCAAAGGGTTTAAATGATCCAATTCAGTAACTAAATGAAATAAATTTGAATGAACATTTCCATTATTTATACGATACAAACTTTCTCTTGACACTTTTGATGATGATGTTGTTGTTTCAAAATCAGATAATTCTTGTTGATTATAGTTTAATTTTAATATAACCATTGTTAAATTGTGAAAAATTTCACAACAATATCCTGCAACATCACATCTACCTAAAAATGATTGCAACACAGTTAAACAATTATTTGTAAAAGTTTTGACTTCATTTATAGGATTTGAAATCCTGATTTCTGGACTATTATATAATGCATATAAATATGATGTACCCGCCATGAATAAATTATGTACTCCTGCCCAAGTATAATTTATACTTTTAGTATGTAATAATTGAGTATAACAATTAATCACTTCTTTAGCAGAATTGGATAATTGTTCATAATCAGTAATTGAAAGCTTATAATTCTTTGGACTTAAACCATGAATATATAATAAAGTATGATGATAATTTAAATTGAAAAAAATTGGATTAAAATTACAATTCATTTGTACCAGATTAGGTAATTCATTCTTCCAATGTTCTAATTCAAGTAATATTGATTGTTTCCAATGATTTAAATCAGTATATTTCCTCGGTACTTCACCGCTGGTATAAAGAATTTTAGTTACTTGACTTTGAATATTTCTAATTTTGAAAAATGCAAGTGATACATTTTTATAACTAACATCATCAGCTAAAGTATAATCAGTTATAACATCACGAGGAATAATTTTAGAATCATCTAAATTTGAAGGATATGGAGTGTTAATACTTTCATCAGGTATACCAAACGGACGATCTAGATAAAAACAAATTTGTCTATCAATTGAATATGTACACCAAAATATTCTTCTTCTTTTATCTCTTGTAAAACTATCAATATTTATATTTTGTTTAGATTTAGTTTTCATTTCATTTTGTAAATCCAAATCAACACAAATTCTCAACGCTTGTCCCATGATATACCAAACTCCAGGATTTGTAGGTTTCATAATTGAGTAATGTGCATATAATAATATTCCTTGTAAATGTTCTAATTGATCACTTAAATGCTCAACATATTGTGAGTATTTCATTGCTGCTAATCTAAATGATTCAGATATATGAACCGGATATCTTAAATGATGAGTGGAAGTTGCAACTGCAAATACTAAATTCAAAAAATACAAAGCTTTTCTAAATTTAACTGGTGGAATTATTCTTTCCGACAATTTGTGTATATCAACCTCAGAAGAATCATCATCTCCTTCTTCTTCTCCTGATAATTTATCTTGAATCTCATTCTTGTATGTATCAAACCAACATTGTTGTCCATTGGTATATAAATGTTGAAAAAACGACGTATTAATAGTTGTACTGTTGGATGCCAATGAAATAGATTCATCAAATTTCCCATAAATCGGAATGAAATAATCTCTAAGAAATTCTTCACGATGGAATAATGGAATTTGGGAATTACATTGATGGAAAAATACTTGGAGAAATTGCACAGCAGTACTCTTTGGTGGTAATACAGCAGGTAAAATTTCATAATCTTCATTTCCAGATCTAGTATGACTAACTTCAATTTTCAAAGGTTCTTGAGTTTTCTGTTGAACTTTAACAGCAGTTGACATTAATTTTGAAAATGATATAGGCTCTTTCGTTGACTCATCCACCCCATTGGGGAGTTTCAATGGAATAGGAATGTTATTGTTTGTTTCGGTACAACTACTATTACTGCCATCCCCACGACCACTGCTACCGTAGCTTTGTTGTTTTAATTGACTTTCCAACTGTTTGACTCTTTCTTCAAGATGTATAATATAAGATCTTGGAATTTCTCTGCCAGTAACAGGGTCAACACCAATACATTCAACACCTCTGGCTTTACATTTCCCACATTGAGGGAACTCTTGATCACATTTGACTTTTTTGGATCGACATCGTTTACAAGCAGCAATGGTACGTGATATTCTTGATTCTGATACCGCGGTAGTAGCGGTTTTGGCTTTCTTTTTAGCTGGTTCACCCATGAGTCCAAAAGAGTATTGAATCCTATTTCTTTTCCTCTCCTCCCCACTCCCTTGAATTAAATTACAAAATTGATTGGTTCTTGATAAGAAGAAAAATTTTTTTGCGATCTCCTGCAAAACAAACTTTGTGTATTAACCAAAAAATTCCGGAAAATAAAAATACACGGAACGAGTAACTCCCGAGTTCCGGCAAAAACTGTACATAAACCTATTACTACCAATCAGTGATACTATGTCAGTCCATGTTTCGCTTCAGTTGTGGTACATATGTTATTTCATCTCGTAAGAAATCATCATCATCATAGCACCTATTGATGTCTCTATAACCATCAATTGTCTTGTAATTCCCGTCATCATTACCAAGCTTATAATATAATTCAATGTTAGACAATGGAATTGATTCAACTTTATCAACAACAACATCATGTGTTCTATAGGCAAACTCCTCCATTAATGAAGTCAATATCAATTGATGGGTTTCTTCATCAATGTAATAGTAATTAAGATTTACTCCTGATGAGTCTTTTTTCAAACGACTTTCAACGTATTTTTTAGTTATTTCTTTAGTACATTTTTTAATCTTGGTGAAAATAGGTTGTGAAGTTTGACAATTTGAATTTTCTTTAAGAAATTGTAAATCAGATTCATCTTTATAAAACACGTAAAAATCTATATGTTCGACTTGGTAATATTGATATATTGCTTGAGTTAATTCATCTTCTTTGATTTTGATTGATTTTCCAGGGTTCAATACTGATCTAAGTTCAATTTCATTTGATTTTACAACAGCATAATTGTTGACATATAATGGATAATGATGATAAAAATTTGTTTCAAAAACTTCTTCATCTTTAGTATTTTCAAGTCCTTTGGTGATCTCCTCTTCTGAATCTACCGGAATATAAGCAAATCTTTCATTATGGATACCCAATCTCTTCTCATCAAAAGTAAAAATTCTAAGCATCGTAGAACTATTGACTAGCAACTACTGCGCCAAAGAAGAAGAAGAATGATTGAATGAATAACTAAAGTATTTTTTTTTTAGAACTCTGTTGTCCATTTGTTTTACATCCCCTCGTGACATTCACCTTCTTGACACATACCAGCCAAATGGGTCAATGTTTGTTGTTGTTGTTGTTGATGTCGCCGATCGCCCTAAAGTCAGAATCCTCAAAGTACAAAAATGGAGGACGTGTACGACACACGTTACAGAGAAATTGACTGCTAAAAATTATACATGTATTAACTTACACAACATCTAATCAACCATCTTGGAGAATAACATTAATGCTCGATCTTTATTAGTTACTTCGTAGAAAACACTTGGTCGTAGCATATATCCATAGGTTCTATTTGAATCGGTGAATGGGAATGCACTAGAATAAGATTTCTTACCAGTACTTTGACAAAGTTGACCCAAACATCCTTTACCTGTTCCTCTAGTTCTTCTCATTCTAAAGATATTATCAAATTTAATTGATTCAAATTTATCATAAGATAATTGTAATCTAGTACATAAAGATTTCAATGTTGTTGATTGAACAGTACAAAATTGTAATCCTAATATATCCAATGATTTAATAACATCATCATTTAAATCATAAGTTTGCAATTTCTCAATCCATTCTGCTTTAGTTATTAAATGTGCCAGAAATACTACTAAATAATCTGGATTTTCATCGAGAAACCACTGTGGAATTGAATTTTCTAAATCTTGAACCGATTTATTTTGAATAGGACCAAATTTAGCTAAATATCGCAAACAATAATGATAAAATTTATCAAATCCTTCATCATCACACCAAATTAGTTTATTTGTATATCCATTTTCAAAAGGTGGGAAGAATCTTGAAAAGACTTTCTCACCAAAATATGAAGATCCATACTTTAAAGCATTCACTAAACAAGTTTTTGCAGTTGTTATTGGCCACAAAAGTTTCATAGTACCATATTCTGTTTGAATATTCCCTAATCCTGATAATAATACATCAACTCGTTCAGGTACAGCAATATTTAATTCTGATATACCCTGTAATATGGTTTCTTCTTCATTTGGAGATTCAATATTCATAGACGACCAGATTTGTTTGAATGATTTAATATAAACTAAAGCAACTAATAAATCTGCAAGTTTTTGAATCTCCATAGCTGAATATTTATCAACAAATTCCGTTGAAATTTTTTTAATAACATGTTTGGATAATCTAAAAGGTAATGAATCATCGAGTTCAAATTGTGCAATTGTTTGCGTTATGTCTATAGGAGTATATTCACATTGTATGCTTGTTAAATTGACATTTTGGGATTCTTTAACTTGAACTGGAGTTGTGTTTGTATGTGTTGAACTTAATGTAGACCCTCTTGAAATGGAACTCACTATAGAACCCGAACTTATTGATACATCGGCCATGACGATGATATTGATTAATAAACAGAACAACAACAAAATAAAATTGGAAACGTAAAAAAGAATTAAAACAACAATAAAGGGTATTTATACAATGAAATGAAACGGTATTTATACAATGAATGAAACGGTTTTCTGTTTATTGAATAAAGGTAGTAAAATGTCACCTTTATTAAAATAATTAAAAAATATATATAAATAAAAGAGAAAGAAAATTATTTTTATATAATGCTGATGATGACGAAGAAGAAGAAGAAGAATAAAGAAGGAAATTAACCCCGATTGTCAAATTATAATTAGCGTAGTGTTATGCAGATCCCATGACCTTGTATAACTTAAGTGAAAGGGAGTAGATGAAGGTCAATCGTGTTTTAATTTTAGGGCAAAATACAATACAAGACAAAGCCGAAATTAGTACCAAAGCGAAACAGAAGAAAACTTTGTTTATTCGTGGTTGTGGTTGGTGGTTCTTACGATGTGTACATGTATAAGCAATTATGCTTATTGCATTGCATGATAAAGAAAGAAAGTAAAACTAAAAATAAAACAAAAACATCTAACAAATGAAAGTTTGATGTTAATCGTTATTGTAAGACATTCCTTCTTGTTACAATTATCATTGCCCACAGTACAAAAAAAAGTAATAATAATAAGAATTCTTCTTCACTTGCTTTGGCTCCTTTCCAAACATCCCAATCAAGAAAATAACCAGTTCAAAAGAGAAGCCTGTTTCTCCCCGGTAAATGTATCTCTTTTTCATATTCAATTTACTTGCGCATGAACTATCGTCAAAGTGAAAATTCCAAGACGAGGAGATCTTTCACGTACTTCCCGTCTCAAACAAGGCAATCACTTTTTTCTAAAAAACAACTCAATTCAAAACATATCACATAGTGGAAAACACTTGTTGCATATTCCATACACTAGCAGTCACTGTCTCTCCTCTCCTCTGTGTTTCTTACTCCTGTAACAAATCTTGAAACAGGCGGAATTGATTGTCAATTTTTGTACCTTTATCGGATTTTCAAACTTAAGAATAATAATAATAATAATAGCAAAAACAATCCACGCGTTGTGTCACCTCAAAGAGTATGTACACTTCCCTGGTAATAGAAACAGTCACGTGGAAAAGCAAATGACACACCTCTGTTCAAAACACATCATTTATTAGCTAAACCAATGATTAATAGGAGTGTGGAACTAGCAAAGTCACATTCTTGTATCATAAATGATGATTCTACATTCTTTTTCAATAAAATAATGAGATCAATGATTCCCCATAATCATAATATACTAACGCTTTTAAACATTACATGCTTTAGAGTAACACAAGATTGGCTATGATTGTCATCACAACCATGTGAATTAAATTCTCCATCGGTCTTATAACCATGTATCACGTGTATATTATCACGTTTTTTTTTTTTTTCTGTAGTTTCAAGAAGAACAGAAAACTTTTGAGAACTGAATCAAAAACCTCATCTTGTACTGCAAAACAGAAAACCCCATTTCCATCTTAAGATCAACAACACACACACGTACACACAAATTACATAACAACAATGAAGATACTAACAGAGAGAGATTCATTTTTATCAAATTATGAAGTAACGCAACATTTAGAGTCCTTGAAGAAGAAATATCATTGGACATTTGAACCAAATGAAGATTCAAAATATAATCATAAAAGAAAAGATAAGAAGTATTATACTGCTTGTGGAATTAATTTAGAAATTATTACAAAAAATGTATTATTATGTTTAGAAAATAATGCAAGTAATGTTATTCAATCAGATGAAAGTTTTAAATCATTAATGGAATTTTTAAATACTTTTGAATTAATGAAAATTGAAAAATTACAAATTATTAATAGTTTACCAAGATCTTTAGTTGTTCTTTATGCTATTGTTGAAGAATGTGAAGAAAGATTGGGTGAAGAAACAAGTGAGAGTATAATTGCTAAAATTAATGAATTGTTCCCTATCGAACAAGAAGAAGAAGAAGAAGGTGAAGAAGGCGAAGAGGAAGAACAAGAAGAAGATGTTGAAATGGAATAAAATCAAAACAAACCATAACCGTTATATATATATATAATAATAATACTAAAAACTTAATACAAGAATTAAAGAAAACACAAATAAAACTTCTATATAAAATCATTCATTACGCCATTTTTTGTTAATCCTAAATCACCATTTTCAGGAATAGTATTAGTTGTAGTGTTGGTGGTATCAGTAGGCGTCATTAAAGCAGCAGGAATGGGTATTTGTCCAATAATAGGTAAAGCTGGAGGATTAATAGTATATTTTGTAATCAGATCTTTAAAATCCCCCATCATTTCTGTCACCTCTCCTAATAATCCAGTAACCCCTAATGAAAATAATGAATCTCCATTATGTTCTGAATTAATCCAATCATGACCAACTGATGTTGTAGCCGCTGTCTCTTCTTCTCGAGTATTTTTATCAATCTCATCATTTTGTTTTGAAATCAAATCACGGGACGCAATTCTACTCAAATCAAGTTCTCGATCCAATGAATCAGTACTTAAACTCTCATTCATTTTGGTTGCAACCATTGGGATTTTCAAATCTGAACTTCTATTCTGACCAAAGTGATTCTCCACTAAATGTTGAATAACTGGCCATCCATAAGCATTTGCAAAACGTCTTCGTACAAATATATTATTATGAGCATCGGGTTTAATCTTAACCACAACTTTTCTCCAACCCATATTCTTATGATATTCACGAGCAATTTCTTCTTCAAGTTTTTCAAATGAACTCAACTTTTCTTCTGTATTAGCCACAGGTAAGTCCTTTTCATAATATATTTTGTCATGAATAATAACATTATCACGAGATGATGGGTCTACAATATATTTCATTGAAGGCAACGGTGGTAATACCAATGAAGCAGCAGAATCTAAGAATGTCGAGCTGGGAATCACTTTATGAACAATTCCTTCTGATGTGGCCGCAGCTTGAACATCTTGGGTTTGGAAACGTTTGTATCTTTCTGAAGATTGATTTTGTGGCATGAAATAGGACAATAATGTCTGAACTGCCAGGAATGAATTGGCCTTTTCGACAGATTTAGGAACTTTATCTGTTGTGTCACTCTGAGCCAACTCTTCAGAGTTTATAATCTCTGATAGCCCTTTGTAGTCGAGATATAGTAAGGATGAAGTACGCAACGGAACAATTCCATCATTAATAGCATTAGCATAAATTGTTCTTCTTTTGAACTGTTTCAAAACTTCATGGGTTGGACCTGTGGGTAATAGCAACAACAATGGTTTGGAATCGTTTTCAACAACCTTCAATCCCAACTCTTGTCCTGATTTCCCAACAAACCCTGCCAGCAACACCCATTCAACAACTTTTGGGTTTTCATTAACAACTCCTAGCAAAGGACTAGCAAGAGTGATGAAGTTCACAGGCTTGATTTTGTCAAAAAACCATGGGAAATTAATCTTCAAGTAAGCAATGGCAAATGTTTGGACACAACCACCTAATGAATGACCAATAAAAGATATCTTCTCAACTTTACCATCATTCAACAGATCGTTTTCCGTAATCAAGTCAATGATATATTCTGCAACTCGACTTCCCAAATATTTGATTCCTCTTTCCGTTTTACCTATATTTCCGAAAAATGCTTTAACAACAATATCTTCATCATGAGATTTTCTTAAATCCACTATTCTATCTATTTGCTCTTTCAAATACAACATGTCTGCGCTTGCATTGGAATGTAAACCATGAGTTAAAATCACCAAATGTTTAGGCTTGTTTGGTTGCAAAACTGGCAAATTCCAAAGATCCAAAGTATCCCAGTTGTCAACATGTAACAAGCTATTAAAACATCCGACTTTATCTGAATTTAAAATATTCTTCTCTGCAAAAGAAGCATCATGTAGCACTTGCTTACAAGTACCAATCATGATTTCAAAATCTATCGATATCGTATTATTGAATATAATTTGGGAGACAACATCAACTATCCAAGAATAACTTTTCTTCAATGTATGACAAGACAACTGGATATAAAATGACTGCCCTGCTAATAATTGAGGTTCAAACACTGGTTGATCAGCAGTAACGAAATATTTGGTATTTGAGTCGTAATCCAGCAGTTTACAGTCAACATAAAGAATATAAGGTCCAGCCAAATAAATGGCTCTCTTAGAAACCGGTTCTAAATTCTTAACTTTCACCCATAATGTAGGAGGCATAATCACTTCATCTCCTTCAGCATGAGGTGTGAAATTAATTTTAAATCTTTCAATTTCTCCTGCTTTAACCGATTTGGTCTGTCGATAAAGTATCTTATGTTCCATGTTATCCGATTGAGTCTTTGTCATTACTATAGGAATATGTGATAATTCTTCCTCTCCCAATTCTTCTTCCTGTCGTTCATCTTCAATTTTATCATGGTTATGATCAACATGTAGGTTTACAACCATCTTTTTATATTATGTGAAAATTGTTTTCTTGGTGACCTCGGCACAAAGGGGCAAGGACTGTAAAAAAAAATATACACTTGAATTCTTACTCAATCTGGATTATTAACAATACGCCCAATGGAATATGTAATGCTTGTCTCTTTTGGTATTATTATTCTATTGTCCAAAACAATGGGGGAAATTGGGGGTTTTAGTACGAAATGTGAATTATAGTTATAGGTATGTTACTATCTGTGATTAAATACGATAAAGCAAAAAAAAATATAAAATAAAGAAAAATTCTTTGTTGCTAAGATTATGCTGTGATAATTTTTTTTTTTTGACTGCTACTGCCACTATTGGTACTGTTGCCGCCACCGGTACTGGTACTGTTGCTAATACTACGGTTGTCTAGTCTTTTTTGGGTTTGATTTTGGTTTGTTGGGGGCATGTGATTCTTTTTATTTTTTCGTTCCCTCTTTCTCCTGTATCTTAGTCGTGTCTTGTGTCTAATTCTGGTTGTCAAAAATTTCGTACCGTCGGAGTTTATTTTCAATCCACGCAAAGACAAAAACCAACAAACATGCAGTTGCGATTCTTAATCCACAGAGAGTGGGAGAAGAAAAAAAACCATATATTGACTGCTGGCAACCATCCTCTACTTGTGCCTATATACTTATAACCAATGGATTCAGATATTCATCAAGAGTTATACCAGATTGAATTAACTGCTCATACTTTATTAAGTGGGTCATTTGATAATTTGAATGAGAATTTCGAATCTCTTAGCCAATCACAACTTATTTTACTTACGCGGTTGAAAGTTATTGAAAGTAAACTTCAAGAATTCCAAAAATTTGCGGACGAAGGTTTCATTAATGAAAAAGATTTATCTGATCAATTTCATAAGATTAAAGAGTTGAGAAAAAGGTTAGACACATGTTTGAAAACATTAGATAAAATTGAAAAAAGAGTAGATAACTTGGAACAATAATAACTAGTCTTGGATTATGTTTTAGAAAATGTGTATAAATCTATATGGGAAACCTTGGGCTTTACCACCAAATATGGACAAAAGCAAACTGAACATGATAAAGATAAATGTACTGATAATGATAACCAATACCAAGTTTACGCTTCCAGTTTTAACTTCTGGAACGCGTTTAATCAAAACAATAACCAAAATACTCAATAAACCATAGACAAATGACATGATTTGAGTTTCAACTCCAAATTGGGCTTGTTGTCCTGGTGCAAAATATTCAACTCTGCCATCACGATGTTCATTAAGATATGGAACACCTCTAATTTGATTAAACATGTAACCAGTAGTAAACAACAATACCGCAACCAAGGATCCCGCACACCAAATAAGTTTGGAAGTAACAAAATGTATAATTTGTTTGGAGAATATCTTAGCCAAAAGAACAACAGCAAACGCACCAACAGCATTAAGCACAAGTTTGGTTTTGTTGACTGGAATATATAAATTGAATTTATGACTAGTTAAACCACTAAACCAATTCTTCATTAAATCTTTATGATCACCTTGGAAGAATTGATATTCAACTTTTTCAGTCAAGTAATTATTTGGACCCAAAGCTTCAGTTGGAGGGAAATAAAACAATTTAGGAATATTTTGTAATTTCAAAATAGAAAACAATTTCTTTGATTCAAGAAATTCCGATTTGAAAAAGTAAATGTTTTTAAGTAATGGTTGTTCTTCACCATCTTCATCTTCAACCATTAATTCTTGTTCAGTTAAACCATTTGGATGATCTTTAAACCAAGAATTGGCAATAATACTCAACTCTGGTCCAATTTCACGACATAATACACAATTAATATTTGGCGATTCACTAGTTAATAACGCAACAATATGATAATCTCTTTTACCATTTAAAATTGTTTCAAAATTTTGATCATTTAAAGGAATCAATTTTTGCTTGTTGTTTTTAACAATAGATAATAATTCTTGATTGGTTAATCCTCCAAATACCAATGATGACCATAAGGAGATAATGAAAATTAGAATTGAGTATTTCATTATATATGGTGGTGCTGGTGGTGATTTGCTTATTGACAAGTAACTAATTTGTTGTTCAACAACTAGGCTTGGTTTATGAAAAATTTACTTCCAACCAACCTGGCAACAACCGAAACAAAAAGAGAGAGAAAAAAAATGTCAACGCGCACGAATTGAGTCCAGACAAAAAGTGGTTTTTTTGTATTATCTACACGACTCTATGTTGCTTTGATTTGTACTTTATAACTTGAACCAATGTCAATGGTACATCTACCATACCCAATTTCAAATCTTTCAATAAGAAGGATATACTCACCTGGTTCATGTAATAATTCATCCACAAATATACCATATAAACAGTCATTGAAATCTTCGTTTATCTGAATTGGTTGCTTAGTTCGACTATGAAAAATTGATGCCCTGATAGCAGGTCGATAATTGTTTTGAAGCTCATAATCCTCAGTTTCAGTATTGAAATAATTGATATGGAATGTGACCTGGGTGTTATAATTGGTGGTATCAAAATAAAATTTGTATCTGTTTGTATTCTCCCAATGAAATGATGTCTTGGTAGTATATAATCCTAAACTTTGGGGAATTTTTATAATTTCAACAGGATTATTTGAATTGAATACCAATTGAAAATCACCATTGCCTCGTTCATATTCAGAGGCAACTAGTTTGTAGTTTCCAGGTGATAGACGATAACTTTGAAATTGAAAAGAGGAATTATAGTTCTGATAGTTTTCCAACTTGGTTTTATCAAAAGTACGTAATCGTTGACCGACTTTTCTGTCACTATGGAATAAGTGAAAATTTATTTGACCTTTTCCATACATTCCAGTAATCAATTTAGTAGGTTCTTTGATAACAATGTCATATTGTGGATTGTTAATATAAGTTGACATAGCCCAATTACCTCCATTAGTATCACAGTTCCAATCACCATCTATGGTTTTAAAATTCTCGTGCTCAAATTTCAGTTTTGTGAATTTACCTCCAAACGAAGTTAATGTGAATTTACCTGGAACGTTCGACGATATAACAATTGTAAATATTCCTGGCTTGAGTTTGATTAATTGCAATCGATTATTTGTTTCAACAGATAGATATTTTTTGTATTGCATTGGCGATATCACTTTATGTGCTGTATCAAAAACATTGATATCCATCCATTGTTTCTCCTCTGGTAAATGTCTTTCCAACAACAACCAGGACTCTTCAACATTTGTTATTGTGAACTGTGGTTGGTTAAAACAGTATGGTTTCACGTCATACAAAAAATTCTGCTGACACGTAATATCATCAGGTTTCCAATTAACATACAAGTAACGAAAATATGTAAAATCTTTGACATTTATAAGCCTCTGGCTTTTCTGATCCAACCATGGGTTTTTCACAGTTATAGAACCATCCTTGGGGTGATATTTTTCAATCATATAATCATGCTCATTAATTAAATGCAACAGTGTACTTAGTTTCTTACTTAATGAACCAGTACCTATACCCAAGGTAACCTTGCCTTGTAATTTGAATTCCCATAAATCACCCATATTATCTGGTAGTTTCCCATTGACTATTTTAATAATTTGTGGTAACCATCCACTCAATAAATATGCATCGTTTGCCATATTTGAACCATTGAAAACATAACCTTTCCCCATTATTTTCAAAAACGCTTTTTCAATTAATGCTGGCCAATACAAGTTTGGATCCGTTGATGATTTTATAATCAAGTTTCTGGAATTCGGCATGATAGGTAATTTCGAATCGATGGTTACACATCTAATCGTTCCATTAAAATAAAGCTGTACTTTATATTTGTTGGATTTCTTATGAGGACTAATGATATCTATAATGGGAATCTTATTGTCGGCAATTGCTAAGAACGACGACACAAATGAGCAATTCGGTAAAATATCTTGATAAAGATTAGTTAAATCACTATAGTTGTTACCCCAGTTTAGAATTTCTCGAGATTTATACAATGCTTCTTCTTTAGGTAATTGCCGAAGAATCTGGTCAGGATCATTGAATTCGGATTCGTTGTCAATAAACAATTCATGGTTGGAGCTTACATCATTAAATCGAATAAGTGGTGGAAAAAAATTCTCTGGTGTTGTCTTAGACACTATCCATTTTAGTTTGTCTGACACATTCCTGGGCTCCTTGTCAATTGAATCATAGTAGTTGAGAGTGACTTGAGATATGGTCTTTAAATGGGGAAGATCTTTCGAATCTTTAGCCACTGTATTTAAAATTTTCACTGCTTGCAAACATTCCTTTTTGGCTTGCTTAGTATCATCTATGGATAGGAATAAGTGACTCCTTTCTATATGATATAGGTATTGTTCAAGATTCATAGGGGTGGTGATATATAGTCTAAGTTGAAGATCCAACCACGAGTTGGGGTTGCTTCTTCCTTTTTTTTTTTTTTTTTTTTTTTTTTTGCGCGTTGATTTTTTCATGTTGTGATTAAATTAGAGGAATCGATTGAATCAAGACATGGCTACTGCAACAAGACTATCCCCGGTTAAGTTATTCATTTTCATTTTCTTATTTAGGTTATTTAACTCCTTGATTGTTCAAACATTTTTTCAAGCAGATGAGTTTTATCAAGCATTAGAACCAGCACACAGCTTTATATATGGATATGGGTATGTTACTTGGGAATGGAAGCAGCAACTACGATCGTCTATCCATCCATTGATATATGCTGTAGGGTATAAACTAGCAGGAGAGAATAAAACATTGATTTATTTTATTCCAAAGATCATTAGTGCATTAATTGCAACTATTGGGGAGTATAACCTTTACAAGTTTATTGAAGTTTATCGTGATGAAAAGTTAGCATGGATAACTTTGATGTTATCATTATTCAACCCTTTCAATTGGTATGTTTCCACCAGATCGTTTTCAAATAATCTAGAAACTGGATTGACTATTTTAGCATTGAGATACTGGCCTTGGGATAAGAAAATATCCAAACAGTGGTACCTCGGTTTAGGATTTGGATTTGTTAGTTGTATTATTCGCCCTACAAATATTTTAATTTGGTGTCCTTTGGGTATTTGGCTATTGATAAATGCACATATTACAGTAAAATGGGCCATACTATCAATTGTTGAAGTTGTTGTATTATTTGCTTTGAACACGGGATTGGATTATTACTTCTACCAACAGCTTACATTCCCTTTGTATAATTTTCTTGAATTTAATGTGATTAAAAACTTATCTATATTTTATGGAACAGCACCATGGCATTTCTATATTTTCCAAGCAATTCCTTTAATGATGATGATTTACTTACCATTCATGTTGTATGGATTAGAGAAGAGTATTTTGCTCCTTGCTGGTGCTATCTACCTTCTTGGGTTTTCATTGATCCAGCATAAAGAGTTTAGATTTATTTACCCATTACACCCAATAATGTTGTATTTTACGGCTAGAGGATACAATAAACTAAAACCAAAGTATGTGATACTTGGAATAACTATTAATATTTGTATTGGATTGTTTTTCACCAACGTCCATGAAAGAGGTGTTATTGATGTTGTTAATTATTTGCAAGACTCTCAATCAATTGGGTTTCTAACCCCATGCCATTCAACTCCCTGGCAAAGCCATTTCCATAAACCAGATTTAGATGCGTGGTTCTTGACTTGTGAACCGCCATTACATTTAAATAAACCAAGTTTGGAAGAAGTTAAAGCCTATAGAGACCAATCAGATCAGTTCTATGATTCACCAAAAGAATTCATCGATGCTCATTTGGGACAAGATTTACCATTCCCACAACATTTGATTGTATTTGAACCATTACAAGAGCTTATAAACGAACAATTGGGCGGGCAATATTCTGAGTGTAAGAGATTCTTCAATAGTTATTTCCATTGGGATAGTCGACGAAATGGTGATGTTGTCGTGTTTTGTAGGAATAGGTGAGTAAGGGTACACGTACCGTGATTTTGTGTACGTAGTGTGCATAGATCTTTTTTCAATTTTTTAGTTGCAAGTTTATTAATTAATATACATGAACCCGTGTTAATAGCAAGCTCAAACTATAGTGGTTATTGAGGATCAACAAGGGGGTAATTAAGAGAATAGTATAAATACCAGATTGATTGTTAACCTTTTAATGTTGAAATTTAATTTTGATTTTGATACAACAGTTTTTCAGATTATTCGGATTATCACCAAATTTTAATTTGGTTTTCCAACAAATTTCTATCGAATTGTTTTCTTGCAACATGTTTTGTTTTGCCAACACATCGATCAACATTGTACGACAATGATCTTTTCATACGGAAACAGTCGGAGGTTTACTATCAACACTTGTAATCGCATAAACCAGGTTGAGATTATACACTCAGGTGGTTAATACAACCAATTCTAATCGTCCAATTACTTTACTATAACAAGTTTGAGAGCAATCGATGAGGTTTCGGAGTTTTTTGTTCTTATGATAACGGTTATCTTTCATCAGCTGAGATACGACCAAGACATGACAAGGCTGTACCTTTCTATCAAATTGAGATGAGTAATCGGACTTGGTAAGGCAATTCTTACTTTCAAGTGAGACTTCCCCTCATTTTCCTTTTTTTTTAGTGGTTGATAACGCTGGTGAATACTAAAGGACGTGAAACTCCGGTATGCTAGTTCCGAAATATTCCATTAATTCTAGAGGATATTCAAGTTGATTGGCAAAAAATACAACCAATGAACTTCACACCACCTGATGTGTTCAACAACAATTTCTCACCTGTGCCCCTTTTTTGTGTGAGCAACATTTTTTTTTCTCCTTCTTCTTCTTCTTTGCGCACGAAAGGAACACGTGAGAATTTTTTTTTAATCAGGCTATCGTGAAGGGATTTTTTTATTAAAAAATTTTGGGGCCACATGCCATGGAACACATGGATCCGTGGGTGCCCTGAGGGTTGAAAGCAGCAATTATTTTTTTTAAAAAAAACAGCTGTTCATACAGAGAGAAACATATGACCAATTCTCCGGGTTAAGAGATTCTCGTTACCTTAACAGCAAAGTATAGGTTAAAATAGTAATGCAACCGCCAAAAAAATTATTATCAATCGGATAAACTCCCACTCAAATCTTGCATGAACAAGACAATAAAAAATTTAAACCAGATTGTTGTAGAAATTTTTTTTGATCGTTTCTTCGGGGATTAAGTTCCAACAAGAATATGACAACAGAGGGGAACGTCAAAAATTTGATTGTAAAAGAGTATGAGTAATTGATTATGAATAGATATCTACTAGATAACAAGCAGTTTTTGGGATACTATTTAATCAACCTGATTTATCCGAAAATCATCATATTTTATTTTTTTGCTTTTTTCAATTGTATAGATTCACACCACTTCATTGTTTTGGTATTTTGGAACACTCACCAGTTGCAAAAAAAAAAAAAAAATACCGACCAACAGAACCAGAATTATCCCGGATCACTAAAAATCATTTGCTTTCCTGTTTTAGTGAACTTTCTCAATAATCTATAGCGAACTCGCCTTTTTTGCTTTTTGCCATTTGTCACTTGACTTTTTCTTTTTTTTTAGGTTTCTTTGTTTTAGTACAACTTCTCCCATTCATGCATGCACAATTCTCAAAATTGAATTTTTTCAAATATGTGAGTCTGCCCACTCCCTTTTGCATAGAATCGATTGTTCTCCGACACGCATATAAAAGAAGATCAATTTCCCCATATCATGCTTCATTCAGGTCTGGTTTTTCTTCTTCTTTCCTCACTAAGAAAACATTTTCTACAATGTCTACTATCCCAAAAACTCAAAAAGCTGTCATCTTTGAAACCAACGGTGGTAAATTGGAATACAAAGATATCCCAGTTCCAACTCCAAAGGCCAACGAATTGTTGATTCACGTCAAATACTCTGGTGTTTGTCACACTGATTTGCACGCTTGGCACGGTGACTGGCCATTGGCTACCAAATTGCCATTGGTCGGTGGTCACGAAGGTGCTGGTGTCGTTGTCGGCATGGGTGAAAACGTTAAAGGTTGGAAAATTGGTGACTTCGCCGGTATTAAATGGTTGAACGGTTCTTGTATGGCTTGTGAATTCTGTCAACAAGGTGCTGAACCAAACTGTGCTGAAGCTGACTTGTCTGGTTACACCCACGATGGTTCTTTCCAACAATACGCCACTGCTGATGCCGTCCAAGCTGCTAAAATCCCAGCTGGTACTGATTTAGCTAATGTTGCTCCAATCTTGTGTGCTGGTGTCACCGTTTACAAAGCTTTGAAAACTGCCGACTTATCTGCTGGTCAATGGGTTGCTATCTCTGGTGCTGGTGGTGGTTTAGGTTCTTTGGCCGTCCAATACGCTGTTGCCATGGGTTTGAGAGTCTTGGGTATTGACGGTGGTGAAGAAAAAGGTGACTTTGTCAAATCCTTGGGTGCCGAAGTTTACGTTGATTTCCTTAAAGAAAAAGACATTGTCGGTGCTGTCAAGAAAGCCACTGAAGGTGGTCCACATGGTGCTATCAACGTCTCTGTCTCTGAAAGAGCCATTGACCAATCCGTTGAATACGTTAGACCATTGGGTAAAGTCGTTTTAGTCGGTTTGCCAGCTGGTTCTAAGGTCACCGCCCCAGTTTTCGATGCTGTTGTCAAATCCATTGAAATTAAAGGTTCTTACGTCGGTAACAGAAAAGATACTTCTGAAGCCGTTGACTTCTTCTCCAGAGGTTTGATCAAATGTCCAATCAAGATTGTTGGTTTGAGTGAATTACCAGAAGTCTTCAAATTGATGGAAGAAGGTAAGATCTTGGGTAGATACGTTTTGGACACTGCTAAATAAGCGATTTCCTCAATTGAAACTTTATAGATTTACTTATATAATGAGTTTATGACACCAAAAATGCCTTGATGTCTAGTTTGTTTGAATACAAAACTGTTTTAAAGAGATAATGATTCTGTAGAAAGTTATTTGATTTGGAAGAGTGATATCGGCATTGCGTTGAGTTTTTCTTTTTTGTATTGTTGCGTTTTTGAAATAAAAAAGCTCCGGGGTTGAGTTGAACACAAAGACTAAAGTCCAGCATTTTCAAGTATTGGGAATTTGTGTATTTGTTTTTGATGATTTATACAATTAATGATTACGGGGTTTACTGTTTCTCTAGCTTTTCAAGTTTGTCTCGCATAACATTGAACTGAATTTGATTAGTTAATATTTCATCATTAATCAACTCAATTGTTTTATTCTTTTCTTTGATCTCTAGTACCATTCCATCTATTTTATTCTTCAACTTGGTATTTTTACTCTCTAGAGATTTAATAATATTTGATTGTTGTTGAATTATTGATTCTAGCTTTTCATTCGTTATAGTTGATTGATTCAAGCTTTGAATTAGTTCATTGTTCTCCATTTTCAACGTTTGATTTTCTTTTAATGTAAACTCATCAATGATAGCTGTAGTAGATTGATTTTGTTTGGATACAGGAGCAGTAAGTGAAGGAGACGGCGAGTCTGATGAAGATGATCCTGACGATGGTGGTACTGATGAATCAGTTGATGATGATGATATGGTTGGTCGGTGTCCGGTGCCTTTGTTAGTTAGTTTCTGGGATAGTTGGCTGAATGCTATAAAATAAGATGAATTCTGTTTCTCTTTTTCATCTCGTAGGTTCAATTCTTTTAGTATGTCTTCAGTCCAATTGGATGTCATTGATGGTTGATATGCTAAGTCGAATGAAGAGACTTGTAGGCTTCGAAAAAAAAAAAAAAGTGTAAAACTGCGATTCCTGTTTTGTAAACGAGAATCAAGAATAGAAAACAAACAAAATGGCAAATCTGTTTGTTCTTAATCTTAATACTCACACATACTTATCTTGGTTGTCACATGTTCTTATCTATCACACATATCACGAATACACATTAAAATTACCGTTCATAGAATGTCCCCTGAAACTGAGGATATTACCGACAATGATCATCATGATGTTTCAATCCATAATCAAGAACAAACCCAACTTGTACCAAGAAATCAATCAGTTGATGGCCCAGATACGGCCACTTTACAGCCACAACCACAACAAACACAGGTTCAACAAGCAAGAACGACGTCATGGTTTTTCTGGAGTAGTCTGCAAACAGTAGTAATTGAGGAAACAACGAATGAAGATCAAGCTATCGAGCCAGAGGAAGACAATGTACAACCACAAATTGAAATTTTAGAAACACAGCCATATGCTCAGTCAGAACAACCATCACTACCATCTGAACCTCAACCTACATGGTGGCAATCAATTTTCACATCAAAAACAACAGAAGTGAATAATTCACAGCCAACTCCGAAATCAACACCCTCGGAATTGCAATCAGAAACTGCACCATTGCTACTGAATTCAAAAGAAACTCATCATTTACAACAACCACAAAACACATGGTGGGGTTGGCTAACTGGGTCACGAACTGAAGAAGACCATGAAGATGAAGAGAATACATCGGACATTTCTAATCTAGATTTATACAAGTCCGCAAAAGCAACAATTGAATCGTCCAAGTTTGATTCTCATCATTATATATTCAAGAATACTGTCAATTGTAAGAGTATCGAGTTGTCGGTTTTCAATTCTTTGACAGAATCAAATCCAGTTGTTTACAGTTCCAGGAAACGACCTTTATTAGCAACAGAAGTATTAGAAAATTCTATAAGTAATGGGGCCAATCGACAAGATAGTATTTCAAGCATTGGCAGTTTCAACCCAGACAGTAGTGGAAATATAGTGACTCCGCTCTTTGAAGAAAATTATCGAAGAATTACCTTAAAGACAAAGTTGAGAATATATTCGGACGACTTATTATGTGGACACAAAAGCGAGTTTCATTTATATAAGGAGAAAAACATCACCAAAAGAGCCAAGCTGTCACTTCAAAGAATAATAATCATTGGGGTTCATTCATTTTTACCAAACAAGATGGTGCGGGCACTAATTGGAGCAAATACTGGGAATGCAAAACGATTTGTAAACAACGCATCCAAAGCAGTTATAAATTGGTTGAAAGCGAACAATCCTGAGTTCAACATTAATGATTATGAGATTGAGACATTGGCAATTGAAGGTGAAGGAAAAATAAATGATCGAATTGAAAAATCTATACAATTGATGAAAAATAACTGGCTTGGTATTTTAGAAAGCAGTGACTTTATATTCATGACAAGTTATGGTACATCTTGCAATCTCGCGGTGAATTTATTTGCACAAATGTTGATTGAGTTTACTGGGTTACAGAATACCAAGTATTTGGGGTTGTTGTGTTTAAATGGGAACTTGAGTGGACCAGTTGTTGGCATTGAATCTAAATTGGTTGTTCGGGCATTCACAAGCAGTGAGAATGAGATCATCAAAGAATTGTTTGAGTTCAACAATTGTAATAGCAAACTCAGTAATCAATTGACGGAGTCGTTGAAGGTTTTGATTGACCTGAATGTAAAGATTACATTTACAGGAGATATGAATGACTTGAATTTTATACCGTTGAGTTCATCATTGGGATTACAGTACAACCATCCAAATATCAGAAGAAATATTTACTGGGAAGGTGACAGATATGTGCCTTTCGTTTCCAGCGTATTGAGTATATTGTGTCTAATGAGGAATCTTGGATATTACAATGATTATGGATTGATTAAAGACTTGTGCGATAAACTATACTCCAACCTGCAACCCACTACGGCAGCATCAACTACCCCGATATATTTAGCAGAAAAGGCGTACAATGAAGCCATTAGATTTACATTAGAAAGTACCAATTTAATCCACAAGTCAGAACATGATCTTTTAGTGAAATATGCTGCCAAGTCTAATCCAGATGATAATTTTTATAACTTATTGCCGTGGAATTTACGCAGCTTTTTCCACGATTTAATGAAGGTTAAGCACATTAATAACTTGAAATTGGTCTTTGAACTTATTGAAGAATTTAACAATTGGACACCTTTAGCCAACGGGAACAAAAATTTCAAAGAGCTCAAGTATTGTTTAAGTTTTTTAGAAGATTTTGAAATTGCAGAGTTGTTAATGTCGTAGAGGTGGTGAGCAAACAATGATGAACAAAATGGGGTATTTACAGACCATGTACATATACAATACGTATAGTCATTAAGAAAGGAAGAAGAGAAAAACTTATGAAACATGTAGACGATGCTTTTACGCTTCGTAGTTTCCTCTTGAATCTATCTATTCGAATTTACATTGCTAAACCATCTTGAATATGGGGAAAGTAAATGCAGGAGTTGAATAGTTAGACCATAATCGTAGAATGTTTTTTAGTTTTTTTTTTTTTTTTTCCTTGGAAAATTTCAACTGTTTTAATATTTATCCGTTCATATGCGCTAAGCAATTGATAGGTACAAAAAGGGGTATATATATATATATTCATTATAGAGTCAACTAAAACTAAGACTAAGACTAAAACAACAAAAACGTAGCCCTCTTTCGGTATATGAAAGCGAATGAAAGAGTATGAAAGAATTGAACCTAAAAAGCAAGTCGCGATTCGATCTTGAAATAACTCTCTTTGTGTCAAAGTTCGTAGATGCAAAGAGTAACAAAGTACAACTAAAAATAAAAAGAATGGTGCAGTTTATGTAACAAACAATAGATTCAGAGAAAGGGATAGCACAATGCCATTACTAGACTATATATTTTTTTTTTTAAAAAAAGAACAAACTAATCCGACATGAAATTCTTGCTGTATTGTTTGGATTACGCTTTTGACATTCGGACTATTTGAAAATCTATCTGTACGTGACTCATAAGATGAACAAGTTGTTGCTCTCAAACTGAGGATTTTATTCTCAACCAACGGTTTTAGCGATGAGATTAAATAATACTAGTTGTATAGTAATGAAATAATTCAAGGGGTTATCATTTGGTGTTTAGTGATTGCAGTTTAGTTCAGTCAATGACCAAGAAATCGTAGAAGTGAGAACCATTATCTTCAAACTGCAAAAAGAATGAAGTGAATCATTGTTTTAGTTCAAATCTTAGACAATAATAGGGGGGGGGCAATGATGACGAAGTAGTAGAAGAAGAAAAGTAGACAACGAAAGAACAATTTACCTATTCAGGACTTACATACACACACACATACACACTAGTTTCGGAGATTAGTAGAATTTGAAACTACAGGACAACGCCATTATCTATTCTTAGTGGTATTAAGCGCCATCTAAAATCTAAAAGAAAGGGAACTTACGACAAGTAAAAAGGCTAGATGAAGTTTGTTTAGGGGAGAGGGAAAGGAATGGATGGCTAACAAAAACGCAAAGATTAACGCAAGGCTAAGATGGAAAGAGAATAGCAATAAGGGCTAGAATGAATTCTTTGTTTTAGTTCGACTATGATGGTTTATTACTCGGATAGATATAGATTTATATATATAAAAAAATGTCGTACAGTAATTGCGTCTACAAATATTGGAAAAGAAACAAAAAAAGGTATATGTATCATTTAAGCATAGTAACCTCACGTAACTACCCTTACATTTTGTGGGCTTTTTTTTTTTTTTTGCTTGAGTTTTATTTGACTTTTTGTTCTTTATTTTGTAATTATCTGGCAGGAAGTTGTTAGCCCAATTATTATCTTTATACTGTATACAAAGCGGTTGTTTGAAACGAATACAACATGATGCTAAATACAAAAGCGAGCGGATTTGACGAACAAGCTTTTTAGATATTTCTCAGTTGGTTGTGCACTTGAACGCTGTTGATGCTGGTTTGGGAAATATGTCACGAGAATTATGATCAATGCCAATGATATTTTGTGTATATCCACACACATATATACAGATAACTACCATTAGTTTAAAGGTGAACCAAGGCCAGTGGAATTGTTCTCTCCTATTTTAGTTCCTACTAATGTTGGCACTGTTTTTAATTGCAACATGGTATCCCTTGTTTTACTTGTGGGACATGTCAATGAATTTATTTTTCAGTGGTTTGGGCCATTTCTGTTGTGAGTGTATTTCATTTCTGTGTCACGTTTCCTTTAGTCATGCGACACAAAGCAAACAGCCTATGCTTTTTTGGGAGGAACAACAGAAGAATTACCGAGGCAAAATAATAACACCACCCCCTATTGTTTAATGACTGCCACCCACCAAGCGGGTTCGGCTTTTATTATTATTATTTTTTTTTTTAACAAATTTCCTAGTTGAGACACGCTTCGACATACACACACATAAACACCCACGCAATTATATGGCAAGTATGTATTTTGTGAAACAAGAGGGTGACTACGACACATGGACACAAAAATCCTTAACAATATGGCCGCAAACACGGTATATTATTCCATATTGCCGGTGAAAATGAACCTCTTTGATATTCGAGTAAATGTGTAATTGAAGACAGAGTAATGCAGAAAGAATGGGGTAAACTAAAAAAAAAGGAAGATGATCAAAGAATGATCAAAGAATAATCAAAGAATACTCAAAGAATACTCAAAGTATGGGCAAGTGAGATTAAATGTTAAAATAGAACTTCAATGGAACATCTAAAGTATACCGATAGATCAATAGGCGTATAAGAATTGTCTCTCTCTTTGTTTTTTTTTTTTAATATATAGTTTTAGCATTTTTAAGCTGCTAAACCTTATGCTTATCATCCGCGGACGGGTTCCATATTCGTCGAGTTCATGTTGACTCCCCCCACTAGGAAAGTTAAAATGCAAGAATAATTAGAAGGGCAAAGGAAACAATAAGAGAGAAAGGTTAGCATTCTAAACAAACAAACAAACAAACAAAGAAGCTTAGCCAAAGTTAACTCTTGCTTGGTATGTTTTGTTGTTCTTATGCAAGTAATAGTTTTATATATATATATATGCTTAATACGGACATATCTCTATCAGAAATTAAAACATCAACCCTTACACAGGATTTCCAACATTAAGGCGTAGAATATTTCCATACATACAGTGGGATCGGTTATCCCCCCATTCATACTACTTTGCATATGATTTACCGGTTGTTGTTACTACCAGTTGATTATTAATTGCGTTAGTCATAAAGTGGCGGAAAAGATAATAATACCAATAAAAAAAAAATACAGGACTAGGATATAGAGAAAAAGGTTGGAAAAAAAAAAAGAAAACCAGATGCAACCTTGTCTTATCGCTATCAACAATAGGATCAGGGGGTTTCCGATTACTAATACCACCTAAACAAGACGAGTCTCGGATTTATGAATTGACATGGAATTGTTGTTAATCAAATACATATGGGAACAGAGCCAAATCATGTTGAAAGAAGAAGAATAAGAAACAAAAAAAAAAAAAAGAAATAACAACCCTTTGATTTAAGGCGTACAATTGAATTACAATAGGATTGGCAACTGTAAATGAACAGTAAAAGCAAGTGAAGCATTTCTCTTGGGATATATATAAGAATGAAATAAAAAACGATTTTCTGTTAAAGTCAAATGGAAATAGCATGTAAGATGATGAAGGGCATAGAACAAAACCTACATTTAAGAACAATAGGAAATACAACAAACTAGTAAGAAAAAAGTCGTATGAGGATGTAAGCAGGGTTATGATAATTGATTGTAAACTCAAAAATGGGTTTTGAAATTAAGCAGAACTTCTATTTTTATTATGGAAATCATTGCAAATCTTTGAATTCAGTATATCCCATGCTGATTGTATATTCTAGATTTTTTTTTTTTTTTTGATTTAAATTGTATATCCTTCTTTCTTTAATCCCTAGAACATTATAGTTATCGGTTATTATTCAGTTTCAATAGGTTATTGTTGTCTTGCCAAATATATGCACAGTAAATCTTTCTCTTTGTTCTAAACTAAATAATCAAAAGTCTATTGTTCTTAACCCTTTTTGCAGCTATTCTCTTTTTGCTTTGTTTGATTGATTGTTCGCACGCTGTCTTGTTATGTCATACATCTGTGCACTTTCAATCCAGTGATTTCACGTGACCATGAACATACGAGCCGACTAAAACCGCGTGTAGACAGGACAATAAGTAATCGTTTAACCAGAGAAACACATGTATCACACAAAAAAAAAATAAATAGGAATTTTGTTTAAGACAATATACAGATTAATGGGTAAGAGAACAATCATGATAAAGAATAAACCTTCCCAAATAACTGTTTTGTGTGGAATTTAATTTGGGGGATGATGGAAAGAACGACACACAATTTGTGAGGAAAAGTATTTTTGTTGAAATCCAGTATCATGTATATGTAAAGATGATTATATAAATATGACGGAATTTAATCGCATAGGATATGATTGCTGTTCAAAGAAATAATAATAATAAAAAAGGCGTATAAGAGGAGAGGAGAATAGAGGAGGTCAGGGGGAGAATCATGATCTAAGTAACAAGAAACTACGACAATTAGCTTGTGGAAATGTCAATAAGAAAAGAAAAAGAAATAACGTTATCTAGTATATGCCAGTCATGACTATTGATCGGGATAACAACTGGTTTAAAATCAGAAAAAAAATAATATAACAATTGCATATCAAGAACAATGAACATTCATGATGAGGCAAATGTGTACATGCTTAAAGGCGGATTGATTTGATTTCGTTAACGAAAGGGTGAACGGTATGGAAAATTGGAAACAGAAGCTTTTGAAATGACGAAAGCAATTTTAGAAAGAGGAAAGAATAAACTAATCACCAAATAGGAAATACAAAGCAGGGGATGAAATGAAAATGCGAAAGTCAGGTGGAAGTGGAACAGCATAAGCAGAACATCATAAACCTGGTGATTCAAGACAAGGTACTTATCGGATATATATTTCTATAGAATGTCGGCCAAATGATATAAATATAATAGTAGAAACAAGTGTTTAAAATAATGGATTTCTTTTTTTTTTTTGTTATTGATTTCTATTCTCTTTCAGTGACGTATAGTTGATGAATAAAGGGACTATGGTAATTATTCAGAAGTACATTTATAATAGATCAGGTGGTCCGCGGAGATTGTTTCTTTTCTATAGTTATGTCACTATTATCAAACATTGATCTAAACTCGAATACCTTAAACAATGATTAGGGCACTGGCCGTAGCTCTGGGATCATTAAACAAGCCTATAAGAAAAGAAAAAAAATATATTATGCAAGTCGTGCGTAACACATTTTATCCTGAACAAGTCGTGCTGGAAACAAAGCTAAAAAAATTTCAGGGAGAATGTAGCACAAACAGAAAGCGATGCGAGATGAGTTAAAACGTGCATTTTCATTAAACCAAAAAAAAAAACACCTGAAAGATGCGCACTACCAATTGTCTATTTTTTTTTTTTTTTTTGTTTTAGAGTATTGAATAATGGGAGATTATTATCCACTTGCCTTGCATCTTGAAATTGTACACAAGTTCAGAGTATCTACTTTATCCACATTGTACTTATCGACCACAAATACGGCCAGCCCCGTGGGAGCGGGTAAAAAAAAAGCAAGGACGCGATCACATTCTCTATCTCCTTAGTTCTTGTCATTGATTATGATTTGATAGACCAAAACGAAAAAAAAAAAATAAAATAAAAAGCAAGTGCAAATGCGTAGAATAAAGTTGGAAATCTTGTAGTATTGTATTGTGATGTTAATACAACAACGGGCGAGAGAGAGAGAGGCAGGGAATGGGATAGGCGATAGAGTCAAGTAGAAACAAGAGAAACGCACATTACACTAATTTAATTAACTGCAGGTTCACAACCCCCATACCAATCAACCAACCAACGAACCTACCAACCAACCAACAATAAACTTAACAATACAACCCTAAAACAAGGAACTTAGGTTAAGTTACATTTCCTGGATGGTTCTCGTTGTTGGTGCACGGCAAATATTTGGCAAAGGGTAGTGTACATGGCAACAAGAAAAAAAAAACAATTTTCATTTGCTTACTGGTTGCCAAGAAATTTAGTTGACTCAAACCACAAAATGCACAAATTATAATTTGCATTATTTTTTTTGTTCTATAGTAAGCCTGTACAACGGGTTAAATATATAAATGGTTTAAAATGAACTTTAGATTTTGTGGAACAATGCTGATAAAGAAAAGAAAAAAAAAGAAATGTTTGTGCGACATACACTAAAGCAAGAGTGCGACATTTAGTTTTCACGGATTTTTTTTTTTTTTGACCTCCTTACACTAAAGAAAAAATGGGTCTATAAATATATCAACACTTTTCCTTATGGGTTTTCCCTCCTTGAATTTTTTTATAAAAAAAATCTCTCTCTTGATCCTGATCTCTTGAATGGTTTCTTCTTCTTCTTCTTTCTCTTCTGTAGTATCACCAAGTAATCAACTAACACATCATTTGCAATCACAAACGATATCATCGAGATATATATCTACTTATACTGTACCACGTTTGTGTTTATCTACATCCATATAATTATTACACTTTATCATATATTAATTTGTTATTCTACCAATCCTCAGCAAGAACAAATTATTCCCCGACTACACCATTTGATATTCAATACATTTTGCAATCATTGGTTTTAATTAAGAATCAGAGAGAAAAAGAAATTCGACACTGCCTTATCCATAGAGAGAATTTTTTTTTTTTTGTCATAAGGCTCAAGATTTTGCGACATTGTACTTTTGATTTAGGACATTGTTAATTATCAAACGACATTTCGTCCCGTTTTTTTTTTTCTGTTTGTTCCCTTCTCCTTCCCTCCGAGAATTCGTTTCGACCCTTTCCTGAACCGGAGAGATATATCTATCAAACTAAAAAAAGAGAGTAAAAAAATTTTTTTATTAAAAAACATTTATCAACACATTTTATATTGTTAATAATTTAAACCAACAGTACTATAATACACCATGTCAACATCACTAGAATCTCCAGTACAACCACAACCACCTCCATCAGAACAATCCAATCAACCAACACAGAAGAGAATAAGAGCTACTGGTGAAGCATTGGAATTTTTGATTTCTGAATTCCAAAAAAATGCCAACCCATCTCCAGAACATAGAAAATATATCAGCCAAAAGGCTTGTATGAATGAAAAAGCAGTTAGAATTTGGTTTCAAAATAGAAGAGCCAAGCAAAGAAAGTTTGAACGTCAAAGATTAAGAGTAAACAGTACAGGTGGTGTAAATGATTTCACTACTGGTCTAATGAAAATGTCTAATAATTCAATCCCAATACAAATCAATGATAAATATTGTTTTATAAACTGTTCCTCATTAAGTGTGGGCTCCTGGCAAAGAATTAAAACTGGTATTTTCAATGAAAGTTTATTGAAGAATAATCTCATCAACTTGTCACCATTTGTATTGAACCAAGTTATGAATAATGTGGATTTATTGATTATCTTAAGTAAGAAGAATTCAGAATTGAACTATTTCTTCCTGGCAATTTCAAACAACTCCAAGATTTTGTTTAGAATTTTTTATCCATTGAATTCTATTGTTAAATGCTCGGTATTCAAAAATAATTTCAACAGTAATTTAGAGAATTCCAGTGAAATTAGATTGAACTTAAACTTCCAACCAAAATTCTCAGTATATTTTTTCAACAATGACTCCACCACTCCAAATGCCATGCAAAACCAATGGTCCATTTGTGATGATTTTTCTGAAGGTCAACAAGTCAGTCAAGCCTACACAAAAGTCTACGATGGTGCTATTGAAGAAAATTCTACTCCGCATGTATTAGTTGGATCTACCAGAGCCCTTCAATTTTTAAGCAACTACATCCTGCATTATCAACAACAACAATTACACCAATCACCACCAGTATATGAAAGCATTCCAACAAATGTCATTAATAATGCCAACCCACTTGATTTAGAGAACGATAAAGATTATGACTTAGAATCAATCTTGGATCCACAAGGTTCTATAAACAATACTCCAACCACATTCACACCACAACAACCACAAGTGCTGACTGCTCCTGTTACTACTGGTACCATCACAACAGGAACTACTACAACCAATACCACCAACACCACCAACTTTAATGAGTCTCCATTTTCAATCAATTCCATGAACCAATATTACGAATCAGAAATATCAAACTCCCCAGATAATTCTTTAAAGAAAATGAATAGTAATTCCAACAATGATGCTGCATTGTTTTCAGGTATAACAAGATTCAACACCACCGAGACATCACCAGTTGACGATATCCTCTTTGGATTCGAACAACAATCACAACAACAACAACAGCCACAAATCCAACCAACCATTATTGAGAATGCAAGTTATACTCATGTGAGATCCAACTCTGGTGAATTATCAAGACTTTCTGATGCTTTCATTAACAAACAAACTAATCCTACCACTAATGCTACAACAACAACAGATGATTTTGATGAATTTGGTGACTTTGTACAAGAGTTTGATTCAAATAATCAAAATTTCGATAGTTTTATTGATTTTGGAAACTAACCCTACCACCACAACAACATCAATTCATAAACAATAATAGACACACTGTCCTCTCCATACACATTTTCATTTGCATTTTATAGATTTTTGTTTTTGCTCATTCTTTATTAATTTGGCATCTACTGTATTTTCACTTCCACTTTCCACTACATTATTTATTTTAATTCATACATTCATTTCGGTATTCTTATTTAAAGTTGTTATTTTATACTTTTTTAATTCATTACATTATTGTATCCTTATTTTAATTCAAAAATCTACTCAGGTGAAATAGAAAATAAACGATAAAATCAAAATCAAAATCAAAAATATTAATAAGAAAAAAAAAAGTAACTGTGCCATAAAAAAAACAAACGTGATTCTTTTCTATGTTCTTTTATTCTATGTTTTATTTAGTTTATTTATATTTTTATTAAGAAATGTATTTCTTTGCGTGTACTTTACTTTGTATTTTAACGTGGAGTACGGCACGTTCTGAGTTTCACGTGACGTGTTATCGAATGTTTCATAAACAGACAAATCAATCAGAAGAAAAATTTTCTGCCCACAAAAGAAGTATTATTGGGGCCCTGCCATAAAGATAACAATGATACGACAAATCAGATATGCTTCAACGGTAGCAGCTACTGCAACATCAAGCAGGCCCACATTATTGTCGGTGCTTCCATCTAAAAGAACAATAAACCGAATATTATTTGATAACAATGCTAGATTAACTTATAAAAAAATGATACCTGTATTAACCAATATTTATGAAAATTTAAATACGCCAGAAAAGATTTCCATTCCACAGTTTGTTCAAGGATCTGATTTAATGGATTTTAAAAAAATGTTAAGTACTATTAGAAAATTAACTAATACAACCAATAAGAATTTAGTTAATTTGGAAAATGAATTAATTGAACAATCTGCAGAATTAGGTGATTTAGATGCAATTACTTTATTATCATTTGAAACACTAGCTAAATCTGATAAAACAATGGAAGATACAAAACATGCAAATAAATTGATTAAAGAATTAGTTGAATTGAAACATCCATTGGTTTTTAAAATGGCTGGTGATTTAGCATGGTCTAAAAATGCTCATGTTCAAGCTATTGATTATTGGAAACAATTTATTGAACTTGAACCAACTTCAGAGTTATCAAGTCAAGTTTATTTTAATTTAGGTTATTATTATTTTACATTTTTAACTAAACCTGATTTGGTGCTGAGTAAATTATATTTTGAAAAAAGTATAAATGTGGGTGATATAAATGATGATTATACTATTAAAAGTCATTATTATCTCGGCCAATTATATGTTGATAATAATCCCAAAGTTTCAAAATATCATTGGGAAATAAGTTCTAGTAAAGGATTAAAAGAAAGTTATTCAAGTTTAGGATTCTTGGAAATGAACGTGTTTAATAATTATAATCAAGCAATTGAATGGTTTAAATTAGGTACTGAGTTGAATAATGATATGACATGTTATATTGGAATGTTTGATTGTAACATATTGTTAAAGAATTGGAAATCTGCAAATATTACATTAGCTAAGATTTATGACATCAAAGATAAAATAGAAAACCTGAAAAATAGAAAAGACATCCCGGAAAGCATTCAATCAAGTATAAACTACAACAAATCTGTTATATTAACATTTCTTGAAACGAGGAAAAATGATATCAATTTAGTACATAGTAAGTTTGTATAAACTAAACATACTCCTGTAAATATAGACAAATAAAAAAAATATGCTCAATTAGAACCACTGGCAAAATTCAATTGTGATACGTATTGTTCTTTTAAAGTCAATGGTTGGGTATTAGCTCTCATCATGAGACGTTTCATTTGTGATGGTTGACTGCTGCTCGATTGTAATGAATCTTCTCCAAATTGACTCTCTTCACTAGGAAGAAGAAGTTCCGGTTCCTTTTGATTAAACCAGAAATGACTTAAAGTCAGCTCAACATTGTATCTCTCACTAGGATTTACCACCAACAAGTTACTTATCAAATCCAAAACAACATCACTTATATCATCCCAATAAGGAGAATAAAAAGCATATTGACCGGTTAATATTTGTTCTTTCATATTTGGTGGCCCTAATTCATCACTAAATGGAGGGAATCCACATAAACAAACATATAACAACACGCCCAGTGACCATAAATCCACTTTTGTGGTGTACTTTCTGGAATCATGAGTTAATATTTCTGGCGCCACGTAAGCAGGAGTACCACACAATGTATTTGTAAATTTCAATTCACCAATGAACTTGGCTAATCCAAAATCAGCAATTTTAACACGTACATCAAGCTCATCTTCATCCCATGGCCCTGTTTGCTTTTGATGGGGGTTGGTTTTAGGAGTGATATCTAATAAAATATTCTCTGGTTTGATATCTCGATGGATTATATCATGATCATGAAGATATTTCAAACCTGATAAAATTTGTCTGAAAAATGCTTTAGTTTCATCAACTCTAAGTTTGGATTTGTTTACAATTCTTTGAAACAATTCTCCACTATTCATCTTTTCCAATACTAAATAAGTATTAACCGAATGATCATTAATAGGTTCAACATAATGACTTACAAACTTCACAATATTTGGATGATCTATGCTCAATAACAAATTCATTTCTTGTTGTAATTTTTCATCTTCGGTTTTACTACTACTTCCAGACTTGTTTGGATGGAATATCTTCACGGCAACAATTTTACCAGTTTTCTTATCTTTGGCTTCTTTAACCACAGCATAATGGCCCGATCCCAATTGTCTACCAAGAATATAATCATCAAAAAATGAACCTTTCAGGGTTTGTTCTTGTCCTTCCTCTTTCACATCTCGAATATATCGGAATATAAAACTACCTCCAGTTTTAGCAAACGTCAACACATCACCAGTCTTCAATATTACACTTGATCCCTTCCCTAAAAGTTCACCATTAATCTTTAAACCATTGGACGACAAATCAAACACGTTTAATCGTTCACCACTATTCCCGGCATGAACTAAAACAAATTTACAATGTTTAGATGAGACATCAATGCCTTGAATTTTCAAATCACACGAACTACTTCTTCCAATAAATATAGTTTCTTTACGTGGAAGATCAAGATTTTTACCCATTCCTTTAGTAGGATAAAGCCTAGCAATAATTGAGTTTACTGCTTCTGGTGTCGTTGTTGCTAGTTTTTTATTTGCTACAACAGCATCATCTTCAACGAGTTTCTAAATTGGAATAGTTAGTAATTGTGATCTGGATGGAATGTCAAGTTGTCTAATATAAACATACTCTCTTTCTAACTAAGGACATTGTTGGTAGTGAGACGTGTTTGTATTCACCGGTGGAATGACGATTGGTTAAATCAACAAGTCCCAAAAAAAAAAATTTCCTTCACAATCATCGTCGTTGCGTTTCTTTTTCTTTATACGTGGAAAATGAAAACAATCTGAAATGAGCCGCGCGTACTTTTCAAAAAGGGAAAGTAATATAACCAATCATCACCATGTTCAATTACACTAAAGTCATCATTGTTTAGAAATTGCGTTAATTAGGAAAAGGTCTACATAACATAAAACAAAATAAAAAGCTATTCGACTTGATGCATTTAAGACGCGTTACATACGCGTCTGCATTGTTTAAGACGTGTTATTGATCCTGTTTAATATATTACTAATGTCATGATAGTTCAACTCTTTCAATTCGTGTTGATACTTCAATCTCAACTCATTTAAAAATACAGTATCTAGCTTCTTTTCCCTCACTTTGTATTTTCTCACAGTTTCTTCATCAACAGAATCCATCAAATCAATAGCCTGAGCAATTTTTATATAATCTGGGTTGAGATCGTTTGAGTAATCAGCCCCTTCGCCAGTATTAAAATGCAAATGATGTTGTAAGATCTTGATGATATACTCAAAATCAAGTATCAACTGGTCGATTCCCAGTCTATTAAATTCATTATTAATTATAACATATTCAAATAGAATATCACATAAAATAGAAACAATTTTGTCGGTAATAATAAAATAGTCCAAATTCGACAAGCTTTTATGTAAAATAGTCAAATATTCTGGTAAAGTATTAACCAAAGATGATAAATGTGATGATGGTTCCGAGTTACCATCACCACTCAATTCCCACTGACTTGAGTTAACATAGACTTTAAGCAACTGCTTAATCTCGCTTCTGAAAAATTCTTCAAAACTTTTATACACTTTATTCAACAACTCATCGTACTGTGCAATTGCTGCATCAAAAATACTCTTATCTTCGGTGATTTCCAGAGTTAATCCAGTATATGTTTTCCATAATCGAATAAAAAGTAATTGATCACTCCATGTTCCCAAGGCATTACTAATAAATTTTACTGAGCAAAAAATTTCTGTCAACATAGTTAATCCATTCACCAAATGCTCCGAATTATTTGCACCTTTGGAGGTATCGTCTGTCATACTTCCAGGAATCATATTCATCATGTTCTTCAAACTGTATTTCTCACTGAAACTCTTGTATTGTTCATTGACAACTTCTAAATATCGATCAATTAAACTCAATTGAATACGTGAAACATATTGTAATTGATATTTAACAATACTCAATGTCTGGAAATGAGAATTTAAATTGTTAATCAACTTAACCAAACCATAAGCAGAATAAGTAGGTCTTAGAATATGCAAGCTTACTTCGTGATTACTACCTTGATAATCGTAATCGATTCTGAACGAATCCTTGGTATTGATGATTTCATTTTCAAATCTCTTGACCGCTAATTGACTTTCAAAATCCAACCAATTTTTAACTGCATGGTTTTGATCGTTAAGTAAAATATCACTCGTTATACCCAACCATTTCTCTTGTGGAACTTTGTCAAACTCTTCAATATATGGATTGTACTTGTATTTTTCCTTGATTCTTTGATCAAATGCAGACAACTCAAAAATCAAATGAGACAACAACCTTCCATTTTTTTCAAGAGAAGAAGTGCCACTTGTAGCTGATACTCGGTCATCAATCAACTCAACCATTTTCTCAACTTTGTTTCTTAATGGATTTAACAAACAAGTGATGATCTCGTAGACACCAATTTTCTGCAATGGTCTAAAGGTATCGTCCACTATGATTTGCAACAAGGGCAAGTTTTCTGTTAAGAAAGACTCCAAAAAATCAAATGCCCATTCCGGTTTGGATAATTTATTAGTCTCCTTGTTTGCACTGTTAAAGTGGTAATTAAACCTAGTGATAATGGGTTCTAAAAGCAATTCCAACCCCCACCAAGTGTTTGGGTAAATTGGAGATGCATTGATTGATTGTAGTATGATCAAATCTTGGAATTGTGTAGATATAGATGTCAAGGCTTGATTGGAAATACTTTTATCTGATAACCATTTGCTTTCCTTCAATGTGACTTTAAATCCAGATTCCAATTCTGATTTACGCAATTCAAGTTCAGTATTTAATTGTATCACCAAGTCTTCATTTGTTTCATCAAGACTAGAAATTTGATCATAAAGTTCTTTCAACTCATATAATGTCAACTTTTGGTTTAATTTTTCTTGGATTGATTTCCATTGTTTCAACTTTTCAATGGTTTTTACTGTTTCCAATTTGATTTCATATTGACCTTTCAAGTCGATTAAAATCGGCAAATCCCCATGATCTTCAATGATAAGTTGAAGTATATCAACAACATTCTCATCATCAACGTTTTCTAATTGCAAAATATCAGTGGTCAATTGACTGATGGCTTGTTCTAATTTTTCTTGATTTAGTTTTGTTGTTAACACCTGTTCACTACTGGAAGTGGGTGATGGTGTCGTGTTTGCTGCTTTTGATTCAGCAATTTCTTTCACATGAGTTTGTAATTTTTTCAATTCTTCAATTTTTTCAGAAGCATTAGATAGATCGTCCAATGTAGAAAACGAAGAGTTTATATAATCAACATCCATGATTGTTGTTGTTGTTGATGGTGGTGGTCTTACAGCAAACGAAACTGAACTTGAAATATTTGTTCGCTTTGCACGAACTTTTTTTCTGTCTTCTTTGGTGGAAAGAAATCGAAGAAAGCAAAACACAACGAGAAAAAAAAAATTTTCTATGGCAGGATGAATGAGGCAAAGAATGGAAAGAAGAAAAAAAATTTAAAACCCAAATCAACCGTTTCCCAACCGAATCAACTTCGTGTGTAACTCCATAGATCTGTTGCAAATCCAATTGACATAATGCAAGCACCAGTTGTATATTTAAACACATCTACTACCAGACAACAGGGAAGACAGGCACAAGTTGCCAACATTACAGCCGCAAAAGCTGTTGCAGATATCATTAGAACCTGTTTGGGACCAAAGGCAATGTTAAAAATGTTGTTGGATCCTATGGGTGGTATTGTTTTAACTAATGATGGTCATGCTATCTTGAGAGAAATTGACGTTTCTCATCCAGCTGCCAAGTCTATGATTGAATTGTCTAGAACTCAAGATGAAGAAGTCGGAGATGGTACTACCACCGTCATCATATTGGCCGGTGAAATTTTAGCTCAAACTTTCCCATATATTGAAAAAAATATTCACCCAGTTATAATTATAAAAGCCTTGAAAGAAGCCTTGAAGGATGCCTTGGACATTATTCACGAAGTTTCCACCCCAGTTGATATTAATAATGACGAAGCTATGTTGAAGTTGATCAAAGCTTCCATTGGTACCAAATATGTCAACAACTGGTCCACCAAGATGTGTGAATTATCCTTGAAAGCAGTTAGAACCGTAATGATCCAAAAGGGTGACTATAAAGAGATTGATGTGAAACGATATGTTCGTATTGAAAAGATCCCTGGTGGTGAAGTTACCGACAGTGAGGTTTTGGATGGTATTTTATTGAACAAGGATGTTGTTCATCCTAAGATGAAGAGATTTATTGAAAATCCACGTATTATATTATTAGATTGTCCTTTGGAATACAAAAAGGGTGAATCCCAAACAAATATAGAAATTACCAAGGAAGAAGACTGGAATAGAATATTACAAATTGAAGAAGAACAAGTTAAATTAATGTGTGATCAAATTTTAGAGTTCAAACCAGATTTGGTTATTACTGAAAAGGGTGTCAGTGATTTGGCTCAACATTATTTATTGAAGGGTGGATGTGCTGCTTTAAGAAGAGTAAAGAAATCAGATAATAATAGAATTGCCAGAGCAACTGGTGCCACAATCGTTAACAGAGTTGAAGATTTGAAAGAATCCGATATTGGTACCAAATGTGGTGAATTCAAGGTTGAGTTAATTGGTGACGAATATTTCACATACTTGGTTAAATGTGAAAACCCACAAGCTTGTACAGTTGTCTTGAGAGGAGCTTCCAAGGATATTCTTAATGAAATTGAAAGAAACTTGCACGATGCCATGGCAGTTACTAGAAACGTAATGTTTGAACCTTCTTTGTCTCCAGGTGGTGGTGCCACTGAAATGGCTTGTAGTGTTAGATTATCTGAAAAGGCAAAGACCATTGAAGGAATTGAACAATACCCATACCAAGCTGTTGCCGATGCTTTCGAAGTTATTCCAAGAACTTTGATTCAAAACTGTGGTGGTAACCCAATCAAGGTGTTGTCTCAATTGAGAGCCAAACATGCCCAAGGTAATTACACATATGGTATTGATGGTGAAAATGGTAAAGTTGTTGACATGAAAGATTATGGTATCTGGGAACCAGAGGTTATTAAACAACAATCAATTAAGACAGCTATTGAAAGTGCTTGTTTATTATTGAGAGTTGATGATATTGTTAGTGGTGTACGTCAAAGTCAATAGAGAAGATTAATAATAAATAAATCTGTTGATAAATATATGCGTTTCTAATTAGTTACTCCAATTTAGGTTTTCTAGTACCTATAAACTTGTCAGAAATTCTTCTGAGAGTAAATGTAAAGAGTGCTGACAAGATAGCAAATGGAGGAAACAAATCTAATAAATACCAGAAAAAGTTGGGTTTGATTTCATGAACTAAAGATTTAATTGATTCATGGAGTGTGTTTAAATCTCCAGAATTATCAACCACAATATCAGATCGGTAGTTTCTTTCTTGATTCGACATTTGACTATCAATTCTTTTAGTTGCATCTGACACCGACAATTCTGGGTTTCTTTCAAGTAATCTATCGATTTGAATTTCTTTAGCACATGATATAGTGACAGTCAATCCACAAACTAAACTTAACCCACTTTCATAAAGCAAAGGCACATCTAATATTATTAATTGTTTGAATGTAAGATAAGCAAAGAGGATTTGTTTGAACATTTCCCATTTAACAGCTGGATGAACAATGGAGTTCAAAACTGCCAACTTTTCTTTATTTCCAAAAACAGCTTTACCCAAAGCTGGTCTATTTAAACTACCATCTTGTGGGTTGACTAAATCTGGGACTTCTTTACCAAAAGCAGCCACGATTTTTTTGAATGCTGGTTTGTTGGGGTAAACAACTTCTCGAGCAATCAAATCTGCATCAACTATCGTTAAATGGTATTTCTCTTTAAGTTCTTTTGAAACAGTGGATTTACCACATGCAATCCCACCTGTCAATCCAACAATAAGCATCTGAGTCGGTAGTACTTCTTTTGTGTGTCTATATCTGAGGAGGAGGTGGAGAGGCAGGAGATTGTGGGCAGAAAGAGTGAGAAATTGATACTGTGAATTTTTTAATTTTTTTTTTCCTTCTTCCACAGGTTTCTCGTTCAAATTCATAAGATGATATGAAGAGAATTATAATACTAAATATCCGTTATTAACTTTTTCAGTTCAGCGATCCAGTTAATCATGTCATCTCCCTTGAAAATTCATATATTAGGAGTAGGATCCATTGGATCTTTAGTTGCGCATGATTTGAAACGCGCTTTTCCGTCTTTGGTTACCCCAATTTTATTACTACGTCCTGATTCCCTTGCTAATCCATCACCTCAGCATCAGATTCATTTAACTAGAATTAAGAATAATCAATTAATTACCAGTAATATTGAAACACCGTCTGCTAAACCACCTAATGTCAAAGAAACAATTGAAAACTTGATTATATCGACCAAAACAGGACATACCATAGAAGCCCTTCGACCATATGTTCCACAAATCAAACCAAGCACTAATATTTTGATATTACAAAATGGAATGGGTATGAGTAGGACATTACTTGATAAATTTTGGTCATCAAGTATTTCCAGGCCAAATATATTTGAAGGTAGTACAACCCATGGCGCATATATTCAAGATGGAATTGTTCAACATGTTGCCTCGGGAACTATTTCTCTTTCTGAATTTCCTGGAAATAATCCACATCATCCAGAACGTTTTCTTTCGATATTGGAATTACCAGATATGATTAAATATATTCTTGATGCTCCGGAATTAAATGCAAGTTTTCATGAGTATAATAAGTTCCTTTTAATTCAGGTAGAAAAGTTGATTGTTAACTGCTGTATTAACGCATTAACAGCTTTGTTTGATTGTAAGAATGGAGAATTATTATATTCTAATGATATTCTGTTTCTTTGGAAGAAAATCATCAATGAAGCAAAACTTGTTCTTGTACAAGAGTATAGCATGTTGAATGATGTTGAAGAAGCAAAACAATTTTTAGACACAGATCGTCTTCTAAATAAAGTTATTGGTGTAGCTGATCTTACCAAGGCAAATAGTTCTTCCATGAGACAAGATATTAGAAATTTAAGAATAACAGAAATTGAAAATCTTAATGGGTTTATTGGTCTTTTAGGTCGTAAACATAATCTTGGAGTTCCGCTTAATGTCACTTTGACAAGTTTAATAAGAAGCAAGTTGGCAATTGAGAGAGGTATAGATCAAGTTGCTGCCGCTGAACTATTAATGGAACAGTAATCTGGGAAACTATTTCTATTACTTGTATATACACAGTTAATCTTCTTTTATAAAACTTAATACACTTTTAGCAATAACTAATCTATCGTGATATAATGCACCAATCGTCTTTTTAACAGGATCTGCATCGTACTCCAAATATTGGTGTGCTTCAGCGTCGAGAACCACTTTGTTCAAGATTGCCGTCAATAATACATTAGAATGTGATCTAAAAACCTCCCCATCATTGATTCCATTGATCAAAGCGGACAATTTTCTAGAATTTTTAGGATCTTTCTCTTGAAGTGTAGCCAATGCAACTTGAGTTCTAAAAGATATATCATCCTTGGTCATTGTGTAATTATCAAAATAGTCGTTCTCTTGCAAGAATTCAACTTGTTCGGGTTTGAGCAATGGAATGATATATTTACTAATGTCAAGATCATTCCATTTATTACCAGGTATGATAAAGCCATATTCACACAATAAGAAATCATTACTATGAGGACCATAACTCAAGTATACTTGGTCATCTATGTTGTAACTACAAGTGGACAGCACTTGAAAACCTTTGCCATCTATCTTTAAAGTACAATGATCATCACAGGAATGATTCATGAAATCAACATATGGAGCCATAGTGAAATTATCAGCAGTATTTTTACTCGTTGGTAAATTCATATAAAGACAACGTGAGTTGATACATAACCAAGATAATAAAACGTCTTGTCTCGGAAGAAGTGTTGTGACATCAAGGTCAGTTTTCGTCTGAATTAAATCACAGATCAATTTATAATCATTTTCAAATCTATCTCGTACTTTCAAGCTACTCTTTTGTGTGGAATCTGGGGCTAGTTTGCATGTCTCATCTGACCAATGGATCGGCATTAATGCAAAATCTTCCATTGAAGGTAACATATCTAAAAACGGTTTCCAAAATGAATTGGTGCCTCTTTGCTTTTCAAATGTCAAATAAATGGATAGTAATTGAAAAGATGACAATTCGAGAATCTCTTCACGAGTCAATTTGCTATATATATTAGTAAATTGATCTCCGTCCAGGTTATCAAATGGAACATATATATGCAGTTCATCTTGCATACCATTATACCTGGAAATATGGGCCATTACTGTGGTGAAATTCAATAGGAATGAATGGGGGATATTCATGATGAGTTCTCCCTTTTTCAATGAATTGGTTGCATAAATACCTCTACCCGATGATCTGGCATCCTTAACATCTATCTTTGGTGAAATATACGAATGTGTAGATGGTTTCTTTTCATCTTGAGTGTTTTTAATCCAATCTAGCAAGGACAGTAGTTTTTGATCAAACTTATCCATTAGTGTGGTTCAGCAAAGAAAAAGAGATCAAATATAGAGTTTTTATTTTTTTTTTCTTTTTTTTCTTCTTCTTTGTTTCTGTTCACCATGTTAAATACAGTTTGGTCCCCTTCCTTTCGCAAGGCAATATTACACCACAGATTCATGAAACAAGTAAACAATCGTAAAATAAATAAATATACAGGTATATCTATGTAGTGTCATTAAAACAAGTTCAACGTCAATGTGTTTGCAATGGAATCTGTATTCACTGCTTTTTGGAACTCTTCAAAGTTCAACTTCCCGTCACCGTCCAAATCAGCTTCCATGATAGTTTTGTCAACAATTTGTTGTAACTCTTCATCTTGTAAATTCTTACCCACCATCATCTTCATGACAATGAAAAGTTCACCATTCCCAATATAACCATCTCTATCGATATCATAAATATTGAATGCAAACTTCAATTTTGTCAAGTTATCCGATTTACCAGAGAATGCAGATAAACCGGTGATAAATTCTTCAAAGTCAATACGACCATCACCATCTGTGTCAAATACATCCATTAGTCTTGTAGCCAATGGGTTTGAAGAAATTCCAGGTATAGATAAAAACTCTTGTTTGTCAATTTCCCCTGACCCATCTTTATCCAACTTCATGAATCTTTTACGCATACGATGTATTTCTTCAATACTGAAGTTTGTATCTTCCATGAATCCATTTAAAATACTTGAATTGGCCCCCATGGTTTACTTTGTTATATGTCTGTTTAAAGTAGATATCGTTACGAGTGCAACTAGGAACAAAAAAAAAAATATGACAGTAGACAAAAGTAAGCAAGAAAAACCAAAAAAAAAAAAAAATCAGAACAGGCTATTTAAAGCTAAAAATAGTCGTGTCTCATTTCTGGCGCGACGTCACCAACTTGCACCAAGTTTGTAGTAAGTAGATAAGTGATCGACAACTTCTTCTCCTACTTTAAATCAAAATAATTTGGTGATATCTTTAGGTATTGGTCTTGAACCCATTGAGTGAATCAACACGTGATCATTAAACTAATATCACTTACACTCAACTAGAAACTAAACACTGAGAACCAAAAAAATAGTGCAAAGGCAAACAACACAATCAACAACATCAACCAACAAAAAAAAAACAGCAGAGTTTGTCAGGAGGAGAGAAAGAGAGAGAAGGAAAAGCAGAGAGAGGAAAAAAAAAACAGTTGCTAGAAATAGATTCATTAACAACAAGCATTAATATCAATAAAGAACCCATAAGACTTACAGACGTACTACTACTAAATAAGACATAGTATTATTAAGGTGAATGCAAAGAAAGGCAATAAAGAATAATTATCAATGAATATAAATCTAGATACCGCTAAGGAAACCCTTTGCAAGAATATATTGATATATGGATATTGTAAATTTGAAAACAAAGGATGTGCCTTCAGTCATAATCGCCAACAGAAACCAGCACCACAACCACAGCAACAAGATCAGGAATCACCTCAAGATTCTGGATCGGCCAGTAATACAAACAACAATGCTGGTTTCCCAGATTCAGCTACTTCAACAGTTTCTTCAACCATGTCTTCGAATGATGCAGCATCTAAAAAGAAATACAATTTGAACACTCCTTCTTTCCAACCAGGAGTTACAGGATTGACAAGTAAATTTGCAACTTTATCACCAAAACTAAAGGAAATTCCCGTGTTTAAACCAGACAATGGACACGCGACTTCGGATTCGACAACAAACCAACGACCATTTACATCAAAGAAGTTTAATGTCAGTACTCCATCATTCACACCATCTGGTTTTGATTTTGGTAATAATGGCAATAGTAATAATACGTCATCTTCACCATTGACAATCTCATCTGCTCCTCTTGCCCAACAACAACCACCGTCACAACAACAACAACAGCAGCAACAGCCTGTGCAACAACAACAAAATGTTTTAATGCAAGCTCCAATTCCTTCTTCTTCTTCTTTAGCATCATCATCCCAACATCTTCCGTCACAACAAGTACCACCACAACAGCAACAACATACTGGACATGCAATGGGGATTCCACATTCTTCTGGTTCGTCAAATCCATATTTTCCAAATAGCTTAGGCATATCAACCCCTACAGCAATGGGACAAGTCGGTACACCAGGTGGTATTGTTCCTCCAGCTGTTGCAACTCCAACCTCAAATATGCCGGGGAATGGTGGTGCTGGTGCTGTTGGTGGTCAACAACCAATGTACCCATTGCAATATCATTTGTATGCCCCAGCTCCACCTCCAAGATTAACTATTCCATTGCAGCCGCACGAACTTAATAGTCAAGCGATGTTTATTTCAAACGAGTTGCGTGAATACTTGCATAAAAAGAACGAAGCCAGTTTGCAAACATTAAGTCATCTGAATTTGCCAGAACATGTCAACCAATACCATTCATTAGTTCCAATTGATAAATCATATGAACCAATTTCTAAACTCTGGATGGGGAAGAATAGTTTGATATTTAAAGTTTACAGTAATTATGATGGGAACTTGTATGTTTTAAGAAAGATTGAACCATGTAATGAGATTGTTAATGACAAGCCATTTGGTACCATCAAGAAATGGAAAAGTATAAAGAATGCCAATATTGTTGGTTTACAAGATGCTTTTACCACCATGGCGTTTAACAATTCACAGAACACCAACAATTCATTGTGTATTATTTATGACTATTATCCAAACAGTGTGAGTTTATTAGAGCAACACAAAAAGGGGTTACGAGTTGAGCCAATTACTGAAGACTTGTTATGGTGTTACTTGATTCAGTTGATCAATGCAATTACGGTTATTCATCAAAATGGATTGACGGCAAGATCAACCATAGATTTGAGTAAGATTATTGTTACCAATAAACATAGAATAAGATTGGGTTCTGTGGGTATCAGTGACATTCTTGAATACAATGAAGAGAATGAAGTTGACATCAAAGAGTACCAAGTCCAAGATATTAAGAACATTTCCAATGTATTGGTTGAATTAAGTGTATTGTTATTACCAGTTAATATGAGGCAAAGTGCTAATATTTACAACAGTTTGAAATCCTCAACCAAGTTGAGTGAAGAATTTGTCAATATATTGCAAGAATTACATGACTCAGATGAAACGTTTGATCTAGAAGAGTTTAGTAAGAAGTTATCTGGTAAGATGCTTACTGTTATCAACAATTTGGAAGATTCTAATGATTTTATGGAGAGCCAGTTGGGATCGGAGTTGGAGAATGCTAGATTATTTAGATTGATGACTAAATTGAACTATTTGATTTACGATGATAGTGATAAAACAGGAGTTGCAACAGGAAATAATAAGATTTTGAGATTATTTTTAAACTATCTATACAATAGTTATGATTCCAGTAATAATAAGAATAAGAAGGTGCTTAATTTGAATAAAGTGTTGATAAATTTGAACAAGTTGGATTGTGGAATTGATGAAAAGTTGTTGTTGATTAATAAAGATGAGTGTATTATTATAAGTTATAAAGAATTGAAGGAGATTATTGATAACAAGTTTAGATTAATGAGAGAATAATAATAAATATTTGTGGTATTATTGATTTGCAGTTACGTTTGTATATTAGTCAAAGATAATATTTTATTTTTCAATTAAATACAGTAAATATTAAATAAGTAAATAAAAAGTAGAAAACTGTCATCCTCCCCCTCTCCCTCCTCTTCTCCCTGTAATAACTGCCGTTATCGGTGGCGAAATAAACAGAAACTTGTGGCAATCACTATCAAGAAGATGGGCAAAAGAAATTCAATGAGTCGAGGTTGTTGCCGTAGCGGTATTGCGTAATTTAGGATGACTGGGTCGACTCCTCTGCCCCGCGAAGAAATTATGACTAAAACCCAAAAAGAGAAAAAAAAAAATTGTGAATTTTTGTAAATCCGAAATCCGCACGATAAATTGTGTGATGATGATGATGATGATGATGCCTCACAGTGCGCGACATTGTTGATGCGACATTTTTGACTCATAATTTTTTTTTTTCTTTTTTCTTTTTGCTTGCGGTGGTGGGTTTATCTCTTATCAGCGAGGACGATGACGAGTTTGCGACATTACCGGAACAACAAAAAAGAAAAAAGAAAAAGAAATGACGGTGAACGCGATTACTCATAATCTCTACCCACTGTGTGAGAGACCCACAATCCAATGTCGCAATTATGATAGACATATAAGATCCCACCACAATTTCTTGCTCTCACACTTCTTCTTTAAACCCACACAAATATTTTGCTTGTTTATTTATTTAGCACCCAAATTCAACAACTTATCTTTTATAAAACCAAAACTTATGATCATTTGACTATCTACTAAAAAACTACTGAGACTTAAAATATATAAAAAAAGACTGCTACTGCCGCCCCCGCCCTCCCATTTAGTGTTATTTTCTACAGATGCAAACTCCAACTACTTCAACTATTCAAGAAAAGACTTTCTCGGAATCAAAGTCAGTAAATACTGATGTTCCTAGTATTGTTTCAACTCTTGTTACTCCAACTGAAGACTCGTATTTATCACTCCTTCTTCATCTGTTCAATCACCACCACTGGCAGTTTTCTCCAAATCATCACAACTATATACATCCCATTTAAATAA